AAATTTCTAAAAGGACTTTGTCTTGCTTTGAAATTTGAACAGTCAGTTTGATGTTTAAGGGATGCAGATATAAAAATACAAATAAATAAGCAATCAACATTAAATAGAGCCTTGTGAGACTGCACAGGCTGATCTGGCCCTATACCGGTGGCAAAGGCTCGTATCTTTTGGTTCCAGCAGCCAGGTCAGTGGTTAATTCAGTTGTCTGTGAATATTCGGAAACTTAACTTTTATTTTTTGTTCTACATCTTTCTTTAAATAATCGAGTGCAAATAAAATGCTAATTCGTCAAATTTTCTTACGTTTTATCCCCCGATCTTTCGTGGAACTTGGAATTACTTTGTTGATAACTTGACCTGCTTCTGTAATTGCACATACATGCATTTCCTTCAATAATCTTCCGTCTTAATCTTCTTATACATGTATATACAGAGACGTAATCCCAGTTTAATGATAAGGTTAATTTAGCAAAACTCAGCAAAACCAGTTTCTTGAATGATACAAATGATATGAGATTATGGTATCACTGAGACCCGCCATTGAAATGATGCAAAAAGCTAAAATGCCCGGATGAGATAGTTTGTAATGTGTATGACACGGCAAACATCTGTGTTTATCATTCGACAGTCATTGCTTACATGCGGTGCATATATACATTTCAGATTGAACTTCTCTTTATTTCACGTACAGGTGTTCATCTTAATTTCAAGGGGTTTTTGCCGGTAAACTTTTGACCTGAACAAGTTTACAAATGCATGTTTTAAATTGTAAATACTAGTTTTTTGCTGTTTAATTGTTTTTAGGCCTTTTCTATGAAATAGAGATGTGTTATAATGGTAAACAGTTCTTAAAGACCCTACTTCAATCTAAAACTGTCTGAATACATATTTGCATTTCTAAACAAAACTAAGTCATTTCTTTGATGCATAAAAATGTGTATTTTGGTACTTTTAAATATTTCAATTTGATCTTATTTTAATTGCTTTGAATCATGTTTTTAATACATTCTAATGAACATGCACAACTAATACAATATAAAATATAGTTTTCACTCAAAGGAACTCATCTGACGTCCAAAAACCTAAAATCGCAATTGCATATATCAAACGGGCTTCATAAATGGGAATTATATACAAAGGATTATAAAGAAATATAAGAATTAAATTGAAAATCGATTTTTCTTTTTGTGCAGTTCTTAGCAGTTGTTCTTAGCGTGTTTTTTTAGTCAAATGTGTTCTAAACGTTATCATTTTTAGGTCATTTTGCACAATTAATATGATTATTCTAGAAAATTTGAGAGAGCGAATGATCTAAAACTTTTCACACAAGTTGGTGTTTATCAAATAGTAGACAAATCTTGAAAAAACATATTTCTAGTCTCTTCATGTCAAACAACTTGAGTGAGTCCATTTTAGAATGAAATGTAAACTTTGTATGTTTTTTTCATGGGAGTCAAAGACGTGTTCTTTTCATCATATCACGGAGCTAGATTATCACATATACATCACTGATTATATGTTGATTGACCAATACAATTAACAAACTTCACAAAAACAACAACAACAACTCACTTGTATGATTTTCTTATGACTCACAAGACCACATATTTTTGTGATATTACAAAATGTGCTTAATTTCTAAACCTTATAAATCTTGATTCTAAAAAATACTTTGTTTGTATGATTAGCAATCATGAATGCAATATTTTGTTTCGTTTTATTTTTTATTGACGCCACTGAATTCTCGGAATACATTTTAAACATTTTAATGCTCTCTCTCGTGGGCATATTACTGTCTACATTTTAGAGGAATTGCACATTATTGCGGAAAATTTAAATTTCAATGTATTGTAATATTTTACATTAAAGGAATACAATTTTAAATACATTGTTATTGAAAATAAAAGTGAGGTCGATTAAATTTTTTCTCACACAAGGCACCTTGTACTTTTATGTCACATTTATTGTTTGTCTGAAATTTGTATATGGAACTAAATACAAAAGGAAGGGGGATTTCTGACCCCCCCCCCACCCCGCACACACACACACCTTTTCCATGTCACTATTTTCTTGTTTTTTCCCCTGAAACTTGTAAATAAATGACTGAAAGTCTTGTATAAAATTTTGTATCATATAACTAAATACAGAAGTCGGGCTAGTTTAAAATTTACTCACACAGTACAGTCACATCTACAGTTTTTCTTTGCATATGAATGAATTATATAAACATTTAAATTATATAATAAAATATACAGGGCAAGTGAGTTCTGATTTTTCTAAACCTTTTCTTACATCGTACAACTTGAACGTTGATGCCACATTTATTGTTTGTCTGAAATTTGTATATGAAATTATTTTCATGGGAATTAAAATATTACTTGAATACAAATGGAATTTAGTTTCTTACTGCCATTAAGATGGGGGTTTAATCCCACAGTGCACCGCCAATATATAATATACCATATTATGATATAAAAGAACAACAGAAACAGTTTTATGTTTAAATCAGACAATTTTATTCAATAAAATTTCATTCGGTTTTTATTTAAAATAAAAAATAAACTATTTCCAAACAACCATAACAAATATATAACATATTTCACAAATTTACACAAAACATTATTATTTCAATAAATAAATGACTAAAAATACACATATGTGTGTCCACTGCACTAACACATACACACGAACATTAAAATACAAAATTACTAAAACAATTGAATGTGCTTGAATTTAGAACTAAAACATTTCAAATTACAACAAGTATTTCAAAGACAAATTGCATTTCCATGTAAAATAATAATGAAACAGTAATACAAAGGTTTTCTTCTTTCAAATTACCCATCAAATATATAAAACACTTTATTATTCAAACACATTTAATTTTTGTTTATCAAATTTAAATAAAATATTTCTTTACATTTGAATACTTTACATTATTTCATATACATGTACAATGTATTTACAGTTTTTACAGTCAACCAAAACTTCCGTTATGTGTACAAAAATGTAAGTTTTACACTTTATCTTCCAATTTTCTAATGTACAAAAAATTGTAATTGAGTCCCAGTTCTTCTTTTTACATTTTGAAACCTTAACAAAATGTTAGTTGTATCCAATTTTTTTACATTTTACCATTGAATTTCCCAATCTATACAAGTTGTAAGTTGTTTCCCCGTTTTTTTATTTATATTTTACCATTGAATTTCCCATTTTATACACAAATGTAAGTTGTATCCCAGTTTTTTGACCATTGAATTTCCCAATTTATACAATAATGTAAGTTGTATCCCAGTTGGTTTTTTTACCATTGAATTTTCCAATCTGTACAAAAATGTCAGTTGTATCCCAGTTGGTTTTTTTACCATTGAATTTCCCAATCTATACAAACATGTAAGTTGTATCCCAGTTGTTTTTACCATTGAATTTTCCAATCTGTACAAAAATGTCAGTTGTATCCCAGTTGGTTTTTTTACCATTGAATTTCCCAATCTATACAAACATGTAAGTTGTATCCCAGTTGGTTTTTTTACCATTGAATTTCCCAATCTATACAAAAATGTAAGTTGTATCCCAGATTTTACATTTTACCATTGAATTTTCCACTTTATACAAATTGTAAGTTGTATCCCACTTTATACAAATTGTAAGTTGTATCCCAGTTGTTTTTTTACATTGAACCATTGAATTTCCCATTTTATACAAATTGTAAGTTGTATCCCAGTTTTTTTTTACATTTAACCTTTGAATTTCCCACTTTATACAAATTGTAAGTTGTATCCCAGTTTTTACATTTAACCATTGAATTTCCCACTCTTTACAAATTGTAAGTTGTATCCCAGTTTTTACATTTAACCATTGAATTTCCCACTTTATACAAATTGTAAGTTGTATCCCAGTTGCTTTTACATTTTACCATTGAATTTCCCACTTTATACAAATTGTAAGTTGTATCCCAGTTTTTACATTTTACCATTGAATTTCCCACTTTATACAAATTGTAAGTTGTATCCCAGTTTTTAACATTTTACCATTGAATTTCCCACTTTATACAAATTGTAAGTTGTATCCCAGTTTTTACATTTAACAATTGAATTTCCCACTTTTTACAAATTGTAAGTTGTATCCCAGTTTTTTACATTTTACCTTTGAATTTCCCACTTTTTTACAAATTGAAATTTGTATCCCAGTTTTTACATTTTACCATTGAATTTCCCAATCTGTACAAAAATGTAAGTTGTATCGCAGTTTTTACATTTTAACATTGAATTTCCCATTCTTTACAAAAATGTAAGTTGTATCCAAGTTTTTACATTTTACCATTGAATTTCCCAATCTTTACAAAAATGTAAGTTGTATCCCAGTTTTTACATTTTACCATTGAATTACCCAATCTGTACAAAAATGTAAGTTGTATCCCAGTTTTTACATTTTACCATTGAATTACCCAATCTGTACAAAAATGTAAGTTGTATCCCAGTTTTTACATTTTACCATTGAATTTACCAATCTGTACAAAAATGTTAGTTGTATCCCAGTTTTTACATTTTACCATTGAATTTACCAATCTATACAAAATGTAAGTTGTATCCCAGTTTTGTTTTTACATTTTTTCAAGTTAATATCAAGTCCTATTTTGTACATGGTGTAAGTTCGTTTTCAGACTAATTACAATAAATTTTCATTTCATACAAAAATGATTGTGACTATTGCACAATAATGCACCAATCGCAGCATATGGACATACACAAAATTTACAAGATGATTAAAACATTTATGGCATTCAAAAGTGCTAATGATTGATACATAGATGGTAATGGTGGTAAGGCTGACATGATGATGATGACGATGATGACGGAAATAATGGTGATAATGATGACATTGATAAAAGTGATGATGATGAAAACAACGATGAAAATGATGGTGGTGTTTTTTATGATGAACATGATGTTGTTGATGTTATAAAGATGGTTGTGTTTCTGTTGTTGTTGGTGGTGATGGTGATGATGATGATGTTGATGATGATGATGATGATGATGAATTCATAAAATTACACTATCATTATGATTATATTATCAACCCATTAAAACAACTTTTTTCACGTGATAAACCTTTGACAAACGCTGATGGAGAAAATATCTGAAACTGTCAGACGAATTTTAGTCTGAACATCATATAAACCAAAAATCTTATACCCTAAAAACCATCATCAAACAGTTAAAATATTGTGCAGGGTTATTTTTGTTCTGATAAATATATCAATTTCAGTATTACAAACATTTTACATTTCAAAACATGAAAACTTCTGTGGAATTGTGTGAGGTCTATGTCCTAACTTGAGATAAAATTTGACGGGATCATATCTTTACATTTTCTGATAAAAAACAATGTTTCTAAATATACAGCACGGTTTCTCCGTGTGTTTTCAGCTAGACGCCAATTTTGACAGATCCTCGTATAATTACAAAGTTGTTATAAACAAAAGTTGGAATTTATCAAAGAAACGGTTGTCATTGGGTCTGAAGCAGGGAAGAACTTCTTATTGTTTGTATAGAATAGCCTGGGAAATTCTCGCACGATTTTTGATATGAAATCTGTGAATTGTGGCCACGTGGAATAATATAATTATTGTTCAATATTAAAATGGAATAATTTGAAGAATGCAGATTAACAGTCGCAATGTGATATGACATTACAACACATTATATATACTTATAAACAAACAATTTTGGCACAAATGAATTATTGGAAAAGTGATTTTTTAAACGGAAAGGAATGGAAATAGTTCCTAATCTTCAACAGAATCAATCAGTTACCAAAAATAAATAAAGAAACATCAATTACCGAAATGTTTCTTAATTGCACGAAAAAGTCCAAGACTGGATTTGTGATTTATCAACATTTTCTCTCATATAATGTTATTTCCCATCCGAAGGACAGAGACAGTTCTTGGTCACTTTATGGCGTCTTTTTTCAGATATCTTGACTAACTAATGGCACAGTTCAAACACTAGTATCACAACGTGATGCTAAGCGCGTGTTGCTTACAGTAACCGATTTTTGCTGCCCTCGCATGGTCATGATGTTCCGGTTGCTGGAATATCGGTAGACATATGAGTTGGAGACAATTTCAGTTCAGAAGCCCAAACCTCCTGTGGCCATCCGGTTCGCCCTTTCATTTTAGAGTCACATGGGCTATTTGATTTATTTTCTTCACTGCAGTTCGCTCTACTGTCACTTCCGGTGGCGTCTCTAGAATTAATTGAACTTCCGGTACTGTCTCTCGAATCTTCAGAATCCTAAAAATATACAAGAAATAAATTTTAAAATTATAAATAATGCACTACTACAAATAAATAGAATAATATAGCTATGATAATTGTATGATATATTGAAAATATCCTTTTCAGAAAATGACTGTTTTACATGAAATATTATAAGCAGTTGACGGGTCGGTCACTTGGTTCATTTATGTTTCAATTGCCTTTTCAAATTTGACTCGACAGGACCTATGATATCTTTGCTTGTTCGGAATTTCGGTGGCGTAGGGCATGCATATCTTAACTATTCACGTTTTCTTAATGTACTCGAGGTTTCAGACTTTACATGAGAAGCTATGTACGTATTAATGGATTTATGGTTTTGCACTGATGGATTCTAAATAGGCGTAGACATTTTAGTACTTTACATTTCGGCAACATAGAATATCATATGTCTTATAATGTCTGTATCATTTTTCAATCTGATCTTGTTAGCAGAAAGTTTGATATGCATCAGTATCATTAACTAATGCTTGTTTACGAAACCTGCTACTGTTTACGTAGACTGGACGATATTATCACTAAATATTCATTACGATAATTATCGATAATCACATTACGATACAATGATAGCATTTACTAAAGAAAACTTTCAGATAGCCGCCATGTTTACGCGCAGATGTTGCGCGTGCCGGAAGCACGTGACCAAATGATGCGTATAGTCCGAAACTGATTTTAAATTGTTGTTAAAGGAGTAATTCATATAGTTGTTGTCATTCACTCCTTCTAAATTGTCTAAATGATGGGCGCGGGACACCGCCAATTTAGCGTAAATTTCGTCTAAAATAAATTATAAAAGCTATCAATTTGTTCACAAGAATAAGAGCACGTGTTGTGTCTATTGCGTTGGCTATTATTTCATATTAAGATTAATAAATATCAAATGAATATAAATAAATCTAATTTTACATAAATGAACAAAGCGTAGTGTCTAATTTACTAAGACAATATAAATTAATTGCCTTTGCTTAATGTGTCGATTTTTTCCCGAAAAAAACGGGAGGAAAAGCGAAAAGTCATTTGATTCCATGCTATTGAATGTGCATTATTATTACATTTAAATAAATGAAAATACTACTATTTGTTTTAAAGTGAATGATTTTCAAAAACAAGCCTTTGATTTTAATATATTTTAATATAAATTTGATTCAGCGGTGTAATCATATGAGACATTTAATTGCCACCCCACCCCCATAAAAATATTACAACAAAGAAATAATGAAAAATAAAATAAAATAAAAAATAGAAATAATATCAATACTTATAGTCTGAATTAACATAGGAGTCTACTATATTTTAGATTTTATACAGCAAATGAAAAATTTCTAAATTTCTTATAAAAAAAATGAAAAGAAATTAAAAAAATTCAGAAATGATCGACACCACTTTCCACACATAATGGCTAGAACAGCTCATGGAATTGTCAAGATCATCCGAGAAAATATCAAATGAAAACGAGAACAGATCGGCATTAAAACATGATATGACACTGTTGTGTCTTTTTAATTTCGCCATCATTCATCCAGATGGAAATGTGGTCGTATGCCGGTAAATAATCAAATTAATATCAGGCCTAATAATCGACGTTCGCCGATTAGGGACTAGGCGCCTAAATGCTCACTGTATCAGTTACACGAGAAACGACCCCTTGACGGTTTAGTGCACGCCCCCTGGTGGGAAATCAAAGCAACTTCATCGATTTGATTTTGGCATGTCATTTTTCTGAATTAAATCGAAAATCAAATTTTCGAAGGAACATCAAAGATCTAGATAAAACTTGTAACAAATAAACACATTTATCATGGAAATCGTTCCCGTGTATTTTACAGAGTTATCAATCATAGAGGTATCATATTCGTAATCTCTGAAGCACGGAACTACTTTTTTTTCTTTTCTGGATAATCTTTGGTTGATCTATATAGCATAATCCTTTTAGATAGCAATTTATGTTTTTCATAGATGGAAGATGCCAATTGTCCGTGAAATACGCTCTCAATATAATTATATCAATAAAGTATCATTAACAAGAACCAAAAAAATCAAGGGAGATAAAAAATAAACCGTAATTGACCACATGTGTGTCTTCTTTTTTTCTCTCTTTTTTGTGATTGTTGATTTATTTTTATGCAGTTTTTTAGGGTTTTATCGTTTTAATGAATTGAATAATATTGATAAGACTATCTGATGCATCATTCATTTTTGACAAGGAACATTATTAAACATATTTTTTCTTATAAAATGCTTCAGAATTCTTTTTTTTAACAGTCAAGTAAATGCATTTCCGATGATAATCTTCGAGTTCTTGTCAAATGCTTTAATTTTAGGAGATTAAAAAAAATGTTAGGTAGGTAGGTGCATTAACTACAATCTATGCTATACATTAATATTATTTATCTGAAACTTCAAACCTTATATTTTCGAATACGAATACTACATTATATAATATAAAAGATGCTATAATATATAAGTAAAAGTATGTTTAAAATAAATCAAAGAATATCTATAAAGTATGAAACTTCAACTTAAATAACCGAATTAAAAACTATTCATCACCGAAAATTATCAAAGAATTAGCAAATAAATAAAAATGTTTGAAAAATTGGCTTTAATAAGGCTCCCATTTGCATAACAAAGAAAAAGGCAAAAATATGAACGCCAATTTCTTTTATGATAAAATCATTCTGAAAAATATGTTCAAAACTATTTACAACAACAATTATTCAATGAAAAAAACGTTTTGATTATTCTTAGATATTTATTTATTATGTTATTTTATTATGCCGCAAATTTTCAAAGTGAATTCATTTTTTTCAAATATCACAGTTGAATTGACGTAACGTTTGATTTATAGCATGACGTTATTTGTAAACAACGTTAAAACGTTTTTACAAATTATCTAATGTATTATTGCCATAAAATCAAGCGGAGCAAATTACATGAAATATTTGATCGTCCTGGATAAAGTTAGAACATAGGGCGGATGGTTATCTCCCCGTGGCCCCAGGGGGTGTCCCCCGTAATAAAGACTGGTTGTTTATTTGTAAACACTAAATAAACGTCATTTACCCAATTTATCGGATCTAAAAATCTAACTTTTAAAAGTTTTATATGTTAATTAGGTGGATACACTTTGACTGTAAAAGATACTTATGAAAACAATATGACTATGTTTTATTTATTGGTACATTATACCAATGAAAATAATGTCATGAAAATGTCTAATGATCCTGGGAAAAATGTGTATTAAATATTTTTTACAAAGTCTTATTCAACAACAAATGCGATTATTTTCAGTTTGTTAATCCAAAGAAAATAGAGTCACTGAAATACATTATTTAGATACATGACAAATAATACTGCTCCATTATGTCAACTTTAGACCTTGTATATTTGAAATATTAGCACGATAGATCATGAAAAATCTTAATTAAAAAAAAATTCAAAGAAACATTCAAAGATACTTACACATGAGTCGGTTGGTTTCTTTTCTGTTACCGTCGGCATAACTCTTCTTTCCCTCTTCCGTGAAATGTCAGCTTTGAACCCTGTTTGAGCCAGTTCGGAGTCTCCTTTCTCAAGAATTTCATTCAGATATGAGATGTAACTAATTGCTAATCTTAGAGTCTTGATCTTAGAAAGTTTAGTATCCGACGGCACGTTTGGAATGGAACCACGAAGATTGGAAAATGCATTGTTAATACTTAAAGTGCGTCGGCGTTCTTTTCTGTTAGCTGAAGTCCTTCGCCTTAGGCATCGATCACCATAAACATTTGTGTAAGCTTCATACTGGCCGAGCTCTGAAACTGGAATGTTGTGTGCCAAAGCTAACTCTCCGTCGGTCATTTGAAAATCCCGCCATTGAGACATATGCTGCATGGTCTCCGCAACCGAATATCCATACTGACTCATCGCCGTCGGCGACGGAGTTCCCGACACATTGCCGTACGATTCCGGTGACATTTGTTGATTAGTGCTTGAACTCAGAACCCAACTGTTGTATAAGTCTCTTTCAGTATAATCCTGATAGGTTTGAATCTCTGGTGCCGGATAATGAGCACCATAGTATCCTTGCGCCGACGCCGACGACAGACCCATAGTGCCGGGATATCCGTACCCGCACTCGTATGCTCCAACACTGAGACTCATAATAGGCTGTCTCTATGAAACCCTTCTCTTATCTTGTTCTTAGAATGTCTGTTTGTCACTTTGAAATAAACCACTCTCTGTCTGGTGCGAATTATGCTAGAAAATATGCCTTCCGCGTGTTTTGCAGTTTCCAATAACTGTCCTTCGCTCTCGGAAAACACAGAACCGATCAGAGTGATTTAAAACTGATAATTTTCAACCCTGAACGCCAGATACAAGAAACAATAATTATGAAGACAATATCTGATAAAGATTCTTGCAAACACGAAAATATGGAATTGTGACATTATGCAGATTCTTATATGCAAAACAGGTAAAGAATAATAAATCACAGGAGCCAATCACGGCGCGTCATCAGAGAGACGCTTAGCCAATAAAACACTTGCGCTGCCTCCGGTTAAATGTGGCTCCGCCTACTTGCGTAATTTGCCATATGCCAGAAGCAAACAGTTCGCCGATAAAGTTTCTGCGTAAACTATGAATGAAATTTTGTTGTGAAATAAAATAGAACCTTTTCCCCAAATAACAGACATGATATTTCCCATTGCAATTGTAAACTACAAAATGTTAATGGAACTGCATGAAAAAATAAACGATGGGTTTAATCCGGAATCTAATTCCGCATGATTTCCATGATTTCCTTTTATACTGTTGATAGAAATAGTAACAGCCCAGCGTCATTTGATAATAGAAATGTTTAAACATGTTTACTTTTAAAGACGATTTTAATTTTCTGCCGTGGCGTATTTTCCCAGCAAGGTAAAGTAAAATCAACATAATAATTAAATTTAGAAAGTAAAAAAATGTTAAGGCTATGGTACCAGGTCCACGATGCAAAAGAATCTATTAATTTAGAAATTCTTATGTTTCTTCTTAAACTTTGTTTTAATGTAAGAAATATGTAGGAAATCCACATTTATGAGAACCCATAAGGAAAAGCAACCCAACAATTATAATGCAGCAGCAGTAAAAACAACATCATCAACAACAACAACAAGTTATTATAATTATTGTAAATAATATTATATTGAATAAGGAACACAATTAGCTGAAACATATTAATAAACATGTAATGATTTAAAGCTTCGAGTAGGAGATGGACCAAAATATTTTAAGAAAATCAACCATGAGAAAAAGGTTCTAAGATATTCAGTAATTTACATGTTATGTGCCAGTAATTACTAATTTTGTAGTATTAATACAAATATTTCTACTGCGTGACTTACGCAGTAAGGCCTTTTTTTGCATATTCTGACTTATTTTTCTTTCCTTTTTGTATTTTTTATTGCTGTTTGCAATGTAGATTTGTTCACATGACAAATTTCATTTTTTAAAAAAAAAAACAACACAAATTTTCATCAAAATTAGCATGAATCTGGAGGCATATTGCTTTAAAACTAAACAAAAATAGCAAAATAAAGTTCTCACATTAATGAATGACCTTGGGTGACCTTAGGGGGCTTTGAAAGAAGGTTGATAAGAGGGACAATGACTTTAACAACATTATAGCGGTATCGAATACACACATTAAACACCGACAAAGGTTTTTAAAAAATGCCATGGGCACCATAATGAAGGAGTACAAATTTTGAAATAAAATTAGAAAAAAATGTATGAACAAAATGCATCCGGTGCAGTGCGCACGGTAGCACATTCAAAACTGGTTATAGGTTAGAATTGTTCTTGTACATCTTAACGTTAAATACGAGTGGAACTTGCCATGGTTTCAGTATATTTTAAACAGTATCAGCGTAAATATCACTTTTAGAAAGAGAAAAAAATTTGTGTGTTTTTTATGAGTTATTAGGGACAACAACAAAACGATATCATACTTTACCTAATTTTATTTTATAGTCATACATAGTGGCATATGTAATTTATCTCACTGAGTAATGTCTTAGTTAATCTTTGGCATTTTATGGGCACGACTCCATTAATAAAAGCCAAAAGGTTTGGATACCGGGCATACAAAACCCTGTTAGGGCATCCATAGCAAAGCAAACAAATGACACAAAATCAAAACAAGCAAATGGAACAAACTGTATAGCTTTTTGGAACAGTATGTTCTAGAAAATCATTGATCAAAGCTGTTCAAGCAATACTAGTCTTTCAATTCTTCATTCACAAAATAGTCAATTTTCACAAATGTATATGAGCAACAACACAGCATTGACACTGTTGCGCGAAATTGGTTCTGGGAAGCAGAAACCAGTATCGCCAGTATCACAAAATGTCTATTCGCCGGCCGCAAAATGCAAATTAAGCAGACACAACAAGTGAAATCTAGTATTTGAAAGTTCATAGAACACATCTCTGGAGTCGCACCGTTGTCGAATTCTCTCTGCTGGTGGTTTTGGCCCAAGCAGTATTCCTAAAGATACCTCTTCCGGCTAGCTGTCTTGAAACACGTCGCTTATGTTTGCCAATCTGAAAACATATCAAAAGAGGCCAGAAACAACGAAACAAGCATGACGCTAGTATTAAATTCAAACTCAAATCTTTGACACTTCACACTCATAATTGACCGAGGAGGGCGGGTGGGTTTTTTCAACAATTCATTTCTTCCATTGTTACAACATTCGACGCCAGCGTTAAAAGGATATGACGTAGATACAGTACCTACGTCATAACCAGGGCAGGGTATAAGTTGTTCCCCAAATAACAGAGACTATTCTATAGAAATAGTCATCATTATATTGCTAAACGATAACTCACGAATTTAAGGCTCACCCTATATTTCAGGTTTACTACGCCTGATATTCGGGCTTATAACGCCTGAATCATATATTTAAAGTACAAATGTACATTTATATAATTATGTACTGATTATGTAAAAATAGATGATATGTGTAGTTAATGGTAGAGCCTTGTCAGGTTAATTGTCGGAATTAACAAAATATTTCATTCCTTTAGATTTCTTAAAGCAGGCCTTCATATTCTTCAATTGTTGTTTTATTACATTCAGATAATTGTCAGACTGGTATTTGTTTCTTGTTATTAATAAATGGTGTCATCCTCGTGTGATTACACACGTGTCATATGAACCGGATACGTGTACGAGCTCGTGTTATTTGTCAGTGGTACACGTGCATGACACTTAAGTTGAAACAACAACATTTAATCAGTAATCAAGGGACTTTAATTAATTTGTTAATGTTGTTTAATGACGCTTTGTTTATCTCTTTATTTTAAAATGACACGTGGATTTACAATATTATGATATAAGACATTCTTAACTTTCAATTGATTGTCAATCTTTCAAATTTGTTAACTATTTGGAATTCATTAGCATTAAAGTTCCCGGTAAAAAGCAAGTCAAGCGCTTGTTGTTAAGTTATGTTTTTGGTAATTGGATATATTTCCTCAAACTTAAATATCTGTTAATTGAATATATTTGTTGAAATTTATGTTTGTGTTTATTGGATATATTTGTTCAAAGGACATTACGATTAAATTTGTATTAAGCATAGCCTTCTTGTTATGGAGATGGAGAAAATAGACATATATTTCCAACTATTGAATTCTTTAAATTCAGAAAAGTTCCTTATCTTACTGTCACCACGGAATTTCATTACTGTAATTAAAGTCCATGGTGTCACCTTGTATATTGGTACACGCGTTAATCTATCTAACGGAAGCTCTGAATCAACTAATTAGTTAATCAAGATGACACCTTGTATATTGCGCGGCTCACGCACACGTCTGCGCTACTGTTTTAATCAAGTACCCTACCGATCTTTTATTGAACTGTAGCAATTATTTAACTGTAACTCTTTGCCTGTGAATAAACTATGGTGAAAAGAAACAATCTGTTTATATATTTGAGTTTATTTGAGTTGTAATCGTTGCCTTTTTCAAAGTATAACCTATTAAAATACATTAAAACAGTATGCACCCAGATTCATGCTATTTTCATTAAAATATTGAGAATGTTTTGAAAAGTAAAATATTGTGAGGTGAAGCGGCATTTACAATCCACTTAAATTACCAACTAGTGGTCAAAATATGCATAAAATTTCTACTGCGTGACTAACGCAGTAAGGTCTATTTTTGTTTAAAATAGACGTTACTGCGTTAGTCACGCAGCAGAGATATGGTGATAAATACTGCAAAATCAATCATTAACTGCACATAACATAAGAGTTTTACTTGAATCTTTTTACTTTTTTATAATCTTAGTATATCTTTCTCAAGTTAGATTATGTTGGAAAAGTTTGGCTCATCTGCAGGCAAGAGCTTTCCTTTTGCATTATAACTTTAAGCAGCAAACCATTCACTCTAGGTTTTGTGATGTTGAAGAATCATATGATATTTTAATTTTATCACTTTATACACGGACCTATGTAAATTAAGGTCCCTGCTTTATAGCAGAATAGAACAGGACGAAACAGAAAATGAACTTTAAATGGAACATCATCCTATAAACTTTAATTTGACAGTCAATCTTTCAAAATTTGTAAATTATATCACAGAGCTATATTTGTATACAAGTCTCTGATTATATTCAGAATAAACATTTATGTGTGACTGAAATCTTTAGAAAAAGAATCAAGCATTAAAGTAACGAAGTCAACAAATGCAATTGCAGACGTGAAACTTTCCTAATTCTGAAAATTGTATTTGAATTAGTCTTGTATTTAAAAATCAGCATCTTAATTTACTGGAGAAAAAAATGTGATTGAAACTTTAGAATCATAGAATTATGTAGTTGTTGACAATGACAAAACAGAACAGAACTTGGATCCAGTTTAAAGCAAGGCTTTATACCCTGCACATCTTAAATACTGTTGTCTGCTTCACTGAAAAGAAACCCTCACATTCACAATTAAAAAGCATGTCAAGTGCATTATTAGGTTATGTTTTTGTTTTGAATAGCATATTTGTTCAAAGGACATAAATTAACAACAAAATAGTATTAGGCTTAGCCTAATGGAAATGAAGAAAATATACGTGTATAAATATGTAAATATGGATAATCAATTAATGAATTCTTTAAATTTGGAGAATTCCTCTTATCGTATATTGGGACACGCGTTAATCTATCTAACGGAAGCTCTGAATCAACTAATTAATTAATCAAGATGACACCATGTATATTGCACGGTACACGCACAGTATGCGCTACCGCTACCGATCTAAAATTGAACTGTAGCAATAATTTTAACTGTAACCTTTGGAGAGAAACAATCTACATTGTGTATTTTATCCGTTCACTTATAAAACTATATTATGGATTTTCTTTTGAAAGAGCTCTGCTCTTAAAGCAGAAAACTATCTAAACCAGAGATTTTAATTGCAACTTTATTATGGAAAAGAACGGGACGAAACAGAAAATAACTCTAGTGAGCTTATCATTCAATAAAATTAAAAAAAAAAAATAACATTTAAATATAAAGAATGATTAAAGATTGAAATATAACAATATGAAATTACATTGAAATGCTTCTGAAATAAATCAAATCGATCGTCCAATGTCATCATATCTTTTCGGGTTAAGGTTACAGTTAGTTAAATCATGGCTTTCGTTGCTTGAAATTTTCACTAAGAAGCTTACCAAGATCAAAGATACATTCTTGTCTTTTTTCAGATCTGTTGTCGGGTGGTGTTGAAAGTTATACTTTGTGTAAGATTTGTACCCGTGTCCCCTCTGGGATGTAGCGGCACTTTCTATGTAAGTTATATCATCAACCACAACGTCTTTATCTCAATCTAAAATCATCTCAAATACACGTTAATGTCTTGCTAGAGGGACAAATATTTGTAGGGCGGTTAGTTTAAAAGAACAGTAAAATTCAACAGAAGTTTCGACAATACAACATAGAATATGTGTCAGTCAAACAAGTTAACCGAAAAATATCTACATTTTTACCATATTCACAAGTGTTACTATACTGCCTGCTTATTTATTTCGAGTTATGCTGGGACATTAAATTATGTCTCAGAATATCGTTAAAGTTCGATTTAAATATAAATTAAATACATCTGTACAGGGTCATTAAGATAGAATACTGTTTGAAAGACCCTGATGTATTTATGTTTTCAAAATATAACAACTAAACATTTATTTTAAAAATATCTCAAAAGTTTTCCGCGTCACAATGTACTAAGCAATCGTATCTTCTCGGCCCTTTCCGCCGAACTTCGGATAAGGGCTCTCATTAATAATAGTCGAGGTGTTCCGATTGGTATATCAGATATGGATACGACCAACTAATTGATGCCTTATTGTATATTGCAAAACTCACGCACACGCCCGAGTCATTCTTCTCACTGATCAAGTTTGTACATTTAAATTAAGCAAATAAAAGATTTTTATTTTCTCATGAAGACAAAATTATACAAAAATATATTCCGAAAAGAATAAAAATTGCAATTAACAGCTGAATATATTTTGATAGAATTTTATAAAAAGACATTCGATTATTGCAACATTTAAGGAGATAAAGGGACATCGTGCACTTAAGCACATGTGGGAGATTTTGTATGGGTTGGATTTTGGCCCAGTAATTAATTACAGTTTCCCTTTAAAAGTATTTCAAACATTGCTTATATTTTTCAATGTTCAAATCTAAAATTGAATATATATAGTCAATTCAATCAGGGCTTTCATTGCTTGAAAAACTCACTATGCAGCTTACCAAGATCAAAGATATAGTCTTTTTTTCCGTAGGTGTTGAAAGTTAAACCATGTTAAAGATTTGTACCCGTGTCCCCTCTGGGTTGTAGCGGCACTTTCTATGTAAGTTATATCATCAAACAAGACGTCTCTATCTCAATCTAAAATCATCTCAAATACACATTAATGTCTTGCTAGAGGGACAAATATTTGTAGGGCGGTAAGTTTAAACGAACCAAATAATTTAACAGAAGCTTTTTTTCCTCTCGTTGATTAATACAAGCATTCTATAAATTAGTGTCTTACTTGATATTTTGAAATATCGAGAGAGCATAACTTTAAAGAATCATCGAAATACCTCAATGCACAAGGTCCATCCGGACCTGATACATCTTGATTGCACTCCAGGATTGTCCCTATAAAATAATTATTTTTACTTAAAAGGTCGACTTTCAAGGACAACATACATACCTAGCAGAATTCATTTTATTTTACAATAAACATATCTTATAGTAAAATAACCAGTGTATCGTCTCTATAGATCTGTCTTCGGCGGTGTTGAAAGTTATACAATGTTAAAGATTTGTACCCGTGTCCCCTCTGGGTTGTAGCGGCACTTTCTATGTAAGTTATATCATCAAACACGACGTCTTTATCTCAATCTAAAATCATCTCAAATACACATTAATGTCTTGCCACGAGGACAAGAAAACTGAGATAGGCTTCTTTAAACGAACCGTTAAATTCAAATAAGCGGACTTTATCTATGTTTCGTTGCTGCCGCGCCACCCAAACGTATTTAAACTTTATTTATAGTAACAAGCGTAGAGCCTAATTCTAGATAATAACTTACTAAAGTGACCCAAAAAAATATTTGAGAAATAGTACACAAATGATATATATCGTGAACATATTAAATTAAAAAAAAACAACTTTAGGCCCTATCACAGAGCTGTATTTGAATTTGTATAAAAGTCTCTAGCCATATTAACCAATTTAACGAGATTGATTTTGGTATGTGTTTTTTGTTGTTGTTTATATATATATAATGAGGATTTTGGTATGTGTTTTTTGTTGTTGTTTATATATATATATATATATATATATATATATATATATATATATATATATATATATATATATATATAATGATAATAAGTACATTATATATATATATATATATATATATATAATGATAATAAGTACATTGTACGTTTAACCTGGAACGGAAAAGATGTATGAAATGTTCACGTTTTGCAAGCCATTGCACAGTAAGTACAATTTCACGAAAAAAAAACACTAATTTCGTAGTCATGGTATATTTGTATCAGAGTAACTTCTCCGCTCTGCTCTGACAGACGTGATAGTAAATCTCTGTGATTGAACAAAAAAAATCACTTGTAATACAAACAACTTTCAAAGTAAACGGATATACTTCTGCAAAGTACGTGCTGTGTGCGCCAGATGATAGTCAACAAACAAAGCTCATCTGTCCCAAAGAAGCGTAAAAAGTAAAATAAATAAACAGAACTTATTACGTATTTTTGGATGTGTTGAACCTTTATACTCGTTTCCATTAGCAAGGGTGTTCATTATAACAGATATGAAGTTTTTTTCCAAGAGCATCGAGCTGTAAACAGTTTTTTCCTCCATTAAATTGTTGTAAGCAGTGTACTTCTCAAAAGACCATTGTTCCGTATGATTGTCAAGGATTACAATAATAACACAATAATAACAAATAAACTCTTTTTTCTTTTCTTTTTCACAATATTTCATAGACCTTCATTTACATATTGATAGTACAAAATAAATTACAGAAGATTAATCACAAATAAAATATGATTACACTATAACCAACACACAGGATTATAATAAGACTGTATCTCTTGAGTTAAAATCCATTTTAATTAAAATGACCTTTACGCACAGAGTCAAATAGAAATATCTAAACATGCCAATTTACACAGACTGTTTATGGCACAAATGAAGTCGTTTCCAGGACATTTGTTACAAGGAACATCTATCACATAATTTATGAAAAGTCTATGACAAAAATATAAACTATACATTTATATAAATAGTCAGCAGTGTAAACACTGTGCTGACATATTGCAGGGTCTTCCACAAAGACCCTTCAAATAACAATTCTAGTATCAAAAACAATAAACATATAATATAACATAATTTACCATAAATTGAATAACACTATGATTATCCAGAAAAAAATCATCCACATCTGAGCATGAACAGTTTTTCTGTACAAAGGGAGACAATCCATGATTCATATTTTTCTTAAACTATTAAGAGTATTTTCCCTTACATAGTATAGGCTGTGCACCTGCTTCTGTCACAATCCACACTATCCTACGCTGTCAAAGTCTTTGAATATCACAAGTGCTTCAAGCACACAGATAAGTTTTCTATCAAGACTGAACATCTTGAGTTGGGGGACTCCCTGAAACAGGTAGAGTAGTGCCGGCTTGTGAAGCCATTTCCTGTGCGATACCTGGAATGTTTGGAGTCCTTCCTTCAGCAGCAGCTTTCTCTAATTCTTTTACTGTAGCCTCTTGTTTAGCATTTTGAAATTCCATGAATGTCAACATTAGACGCTGATTAAACTTAACATACCTGTCCACACAACCACCAACACAAGAATTCTGAAAAAAAGCCAAGAAATAGGTTAGTATGTGAGTGTTAGACATTGCAAAATATCCTTTAATTTATGCTCAAAATATATATTAGGGTCAACCTTTTTAAAGTACAGTTATCATGTTTTGTCTTTGTGCCTGAATTCAATTTTGAGCAACTGACATGTCTTTCAATGAATCTGCAAATGATCAATGCTCATTTAAATGGATCTTTAGTTAGATCAATGACTTGAGAAGCTATTTGAATGTCTTGCCAGGCTTTAGAGATGTGCAGACTGGCCAGGTCCTACACTAAAGGCACAGACCTGCTTTCAGGAGGTCTGGTCATCTTAAATGAGATAAAATATGGAAGGACAATTTGTAAAGAATTATGGGTTGCTCTTGTGTGATATTGTGAATGAGAAAAGAAGTAAATGCTGTAGAAATTAAGAAATATTATCCAAGGGAAATAACTGCAGCTATAATGCAGTTAAAATGGTGAGAAAAGGAGTAAATGCTGCAGAAATGAAGAAATATAAATAAAGGGGAAAAACTTCAGTTTTGAGTAAATGCTCAAGAATTATGAAATATGTTTAAAGGGGTAAAACTGCAAAACTGTAGGCATTAATTAATATATAGATAAAACATTGGCCTTTAAGTCTTCAACAGGCATTATATAAAGATAAAGCATTGGTCTTAACTCTTTCATCTCTGGCCATAATAATGAACAGTATCTTTGCTGCTCAAGGAATTTGATACTGATAGTCCATAGTTTCCAAGTTTTAAAGTGCCTAAAAGTACAGATTCCTAATTCAATTGGTAGTTCAGGAGTTTTATGAAAATATGCTTGAAGTTCATACCTCATCCGTTGAAAGACCCCTGTTATTAAAATTTGTGATACAGCGTTGAAAACACATTTCTGTCAGCTTATTATATAACTCCAGAAAATCTTTCATCTGGAAAATAAAATTGAATTATATACATAAATACAAAAATTATTTTCTATATATTTTCATTATTTTGTTATTATAATTAGTAATTTCTAATTTAAGTGATGGACTTTTTTCAATAATTATTAGTAATAAATGGCCCGCATTACCCAAAAAGGAAAGTTACAATACATTGTCAAAGAGATATATGGCAGTCCTTTAAGTCTTGTTATGTAAAGTGTATACATACATGTAAGATCACAAACATCTTTTTATTCTAAATTCCTCCTTTTATTTGAATTATAAATGATAAATTTCAGTCTTCTACAATTATTTGCAATTTAAAAAATTAAGTCAATTCAAACAAATTTAATAAAATGATTAACTTAAAAAAATTATGAATTCTAAATATTTAAGCATGGTTCGAAACGTATGCAACGCGAATCATATGTAGCAAACCGGCAACATTAAGTTTATGATATATACTGATATATTAACACATTGTCTTACATTTCTCACATTCTGTTCATCGGCACCTATTAGCCCGCTCATTATTATAGATAGTTCTTAACAAATCAAACTTTGTAAATTATTTGACTTTGACAGCTTTTGCACGTGTTGATGTTTATAAATATTGAACACTTAAATAGCGAAAGGATCTATATACGCGGAAAGAATTTTGATGCTTTAAATGCATTCATGTGTATGTGGGGGGTTTGCCTAAAATACGAAAGTGAGATTTTTGACGAAAGTGAGCGAAAGTGACTTTAAAAATATTAATTGTAACGTTTTAATAGACTTTTACAATAAAAGTGCAGTTTGTAGACGTATATTATTAGAAATTACTCATATTTATTATAAAAAATAATCATAATGATGATTTATTCGGTTTTTATTTGCATGATTTATATACACAAATTCTTATATCTTCCTTTCGCTTACATTGAAAAATACGAAAGTGACTTATAAAATATAAAATATACCGTTAAAATTGAAATTATTTTTACTATTATTGCACAAAGTGGCTTACAAAATACCAAATATACTGTTTAAATTGAATTTATTACTAAAATTGCAATTAATTTGTAGACGTACAATATCAGAAGTCAATTATATTTATTTTTAAAAATAATCATTATGATGATTTAACCGCCCTTTATTTGCATTACACAAGTTAAAAGATCCTCCTTTCCCTCACATTGAAAAATACGAAAGTGACTTCAAAAATGTCAAATATAGCGCTGAAATTAAAAATTAAAATGTTATAATTACTATTTTAAAAGTCACTTTCGCTCACTTTCGCTCACTTTCGTCAAAAATCTTACTTTCGTATTTTAGGCATACCGGTATGTGGGTCCTGTTATTTTACTAGTGACAGCGAGAAAAAAGTAATAAAACATTTTTTTAAACTAGTAACTTTGAAAATATTGTATGACTTTTTTGTGTTTTGTCTTGCTTTACATGTACTGCTCCAAAGAGCTGTCAACAACAGATTTTCATGAAAACCTTGTCTACTTTGGGGCCCTCTACTTTGTACAGACCCGTAATCGGAAGAAGAGAAACGTTACCTAGCACCACTTTTCCATTAACCTTTTCTGTTAAGAAAGTCGGATAATTAACAAAATAAAAAAGCACAAGATAATGTCTTCAAGGAGTTTTAAAAATCGTGACCTTTACTTTTCTATATAAATAAATAATGGTAATAAAATACTTGAAATATGATAAACAAGATCAACAAGGAATGGCGTTAAGTTAACAAGTTTTTAAAAGCTACAAAGACTAATTGTGCTTCTAGAAACACGTTCCATTACTTGATATCACGAATCATTTTATTGAATAGAAAAAGTTAACAAATAAAAAGTAGTGTTAAATAGATCATAATAAAATTGGGGCCGAGTTGACCAGAGATCAGATTGACTTTGGACCGGATTTACCAATCTGGGCCGGACTGACTTGGGGCCGGGCTGATCGGAGTCGGTTTGTCTTGCACCGTTAAGTATGTGGTACCGTTGACGCTTCTGAAAATGCGTAATTTTTATTGTTTTGTAAAAGTAACAATTAAATTAGTTAATATTTACTATTTTGCATTAATAAACAATCATTAAACTATCTTAAAAAGTCCTTTATAGTCAAATGACAAACTTTGGACACTTGCCATACAGTCGTATCAAAAATGGACAAAAGTGCAGGAAAGTGCTCTTTCATATTTGTATCTGTCCTGGGACAAAAGATGATTTTGGTCCCAGATCTGTCATAATGTCTTTTATTGCTCATATATATAGTGTTGAAACATAAAACTGTCAACATATTTTTACAGGTGCTAATGTAGTAACTCAGTTGTTGTCGTCGCCGTCGTTGTTGTTGTTTAACACTTTTGCCCTTTGTTATTACTGTTGTAATGTCTAAAATTAAAATAAAATGTGTACATAGAGCAATTAAAAATCATATTAAAATAAAACTTTATAACAACAATGTACTTATTTTCTATAATACAAATATTTCATTAAAATCAACCTATTTATTATATTTGTTTTCTTTTAAATATTCGTTCCTTTGCAAGTGATACTTCATGAGTAATTGTTGCATCACTCCCTAATTGTCAATAATTTTAATGAAGATGTAATTTTCATGTACTGTCAAATGCATTTTTTAATAAAAGAGATTCATTTTACCTAGATCTGTCTCCGTTTAAAATATTCAATAGTTAAATTGCTTGTTGGACAAAGTTTCACAGGAATCAGGAGAAAGAGTTGAAGCCCGAACCCTCACATGTATGTAAATGAAAAAAAATATCACATTCAAACATAGTTTAGCAGTTCCAACTTTCTACAGAGACATAATGATGAGGTAAATACAGTCTGTCTCCAATAAGGCTAGTGTCAGTGAGAAATAAATATTAAAAAAATAATTATCTAGTAGGACTCATGCATGCCTGTTCAAATGAGACAAAGGTGCAAAAAGTAGGCATAATCACGGCATTAAAACCATGTCATAAATATAAAATATGCCCGTCTGTTTACAAATACCAACAGTACTATGAAATACACTTAAAAAATTAAACTTTTACACAATCTCTCATCAAATTCCACAAAGTTCCGATAGTTTTCTGTATTTTCTGAACCACAAATTTATATCCTTTATACAATATATTGTATAAAGATCCCATACAAATTCATTATTTCTTTGTATTGCAATACAAAGAAATAATGAATTTGTATGGGATCTTATTCTAAGTATTTGTTTAGATATAAACTGTATATGGATAGTAGACCGTTTGAATACGCGTGAATATTAAATTTACAGGATATTTATGTGCTAAGCTACAATATATGGATTACCTTGAAACTCAGAAAATAGTGACAATTTCGTATATTTCCGCGACCATGACTTTATTTCGTTAAATAGGTTTTTTCATGTGACTAATGTGTATCAGTCTGGTATGACGTCATCGCCAACCTGTCAATTTTTCTATTCCTGCATAAATTTCTTAAATTCTTTTAAATTTATTTAGTGAATAGTCGTTTGACATTTTGGAGCATATAAACCAATAGAGTAAGTGAATGATAATAATTGCTTTTATGTGTTATATGCCTTTTTTAAGGTAGAATTCTAAATGCAATAATGTTTTGTTGCTATATGCAGTACCCCACCCACCGGCTTCCCCATACATGTTATTTTATCCTGTTTATACATGTTATTTTATAGCACATGCTTTATAAAATCCATTATTTGTGAAATATTATCAAATCTTGGTTGTAAATTGCTTATTAAATGTACTATCATTTGCAATTTTTTGTTTTGCATGCAATGACACTGTCACAGTGATGACATATAACCACTGACTGATTCCCAGTGTAATAATTATAAAATGCACCTATTATAGGGGCTGTAGACTGTATAAGGAGTTTCAAGGCTTTATATGCGCCTGTTTATACTGATAGAAAAAGAGTTTGTGACCTATAAAAGAGTTTGTGACCTATAGTGATGTATTTTTTTCCTCTCAGTGATTGGACATTCTTTCCTTAGAATAGTTGTCCTAAATAAGGCTAATTTGTAAATGGTAAAAATCTTAAAAATGTTATGTAATTTGTTGTAAATAATAGAAAAAACTTAAAAATTTTTTTATCACTAAATAAGTTTTAAGGTAAACTGGTATAAGAAATTAAAATATGTAATTCTTACAGTCTGTAACTAGCGCAATTTTGATTTAAAAGATAAACAAAACTTTTAAAATGCATATTCAGTCTCTGTTTAAGAAAGAGAAAACTTATTGTCCTTCTCTCACGGATGTATGTGTAAGATATGTAAAAGATCAACATGCCTAATTAGAATGTATATGATACGAATCAAGTGATTACAGATCATTATGCATCAGTAGATCAAGGGCTATCTTTTTCCTGACTATAATTTTAATCTAAATTGTCGTTTTCTAGAATTTTTTTTAATTAAAAAAGCATAAATTATTCTTCAGCATAAAAACTTATTACAAAGCATTTATTCTAGTTATCTGTGTGTAAAAAATTACCCATGTGTGTAATTGTATCATTCCAAATAAAAAAATGCAACATATAGCATTGCAGGGTTGTCATTAAGAGGCGGCAGGAGGCCAAAATGCCTGTCTCAAATGCATTAATGGCCGCCTCAAAATTAAGAAAACACTCTTTGTTATGCATGATAAAGACAGAAATGACCGCCTCAAGTTCAAAACAAACCTTCTGCAAAATATGTTAATGACAACAGTGTCTATTCTAGGACGCGCGATTGCGCGATTCACGCTAGTATTTAACAGATCGCGCACAATTCAAAATCATGTGCGTGAAAATCGCGCATCTATAAAAAAAGTTAATAAAACCGTAAAACTTCCATCCCGCATCATATTTGGTTGTTTTGTTTACATTTACACCGAAAACCGAAGGGAGGTTACTGTAAGCTAATTATAATAATTTAGTACCGTATGGTACTGGTTACGTGAGTTGACGGAAATTAACGGAATGTTCCGTATCGACCGGAACTAGTGTGCTAGGTCTGACAGTTGGGCGCCATTTTAGTGTAGTAAATAATCAAGAAAAATGAGGCAATTCCTAGCTTGGCTACGATCTAGACGTGAAAGATAGTTCGATTATTTGTATTGCCAATCCCTTTATAATCAATCGCGGCAGTTCTGTAATAATTTGTTTTCGTTTAAAAATTCAGGGGGGACAACTTCTGCTGCCTTAAATTAATATTATCGTTTTAAATACTTATTTCATCGGTTCAACGCCTCAGTGTAAACTTAATGCAGACGATTTAACATTGGCAGTTTATATTGGCGCCCTTTGATTTTGAAAATCGCCCCCTTTTTTTAAATAGAGGGGGGAAAATCACCCCTATTTTTCAATTCCTAGAATAGACACTGATGACAACCCTGGCATTGCTAAAAAACAGGCAATAAGAAGGTACTTTTGACATTGACACAGTTCAAACGATCAAACAGACCTTTCATCTTCGTCTTCCAAAATCATCAAAGAGCCATGCAGATAATTAATTTGGTCATAAAGATGATTGGCTAATGATATTCCACATCCCACATATTGGTGGTTACAGTTTCACTCATCAAAAATAAAAAAAAATGCTTGGGATTTAACATTTTCAGCAATGACAAGTATTCTTTTCCCGTGCTAAACATGGTTTTGTCTTCAATCATCAGAAATTAAATTATTCAAGGAAATGTTGACAAATAACTATGAAAATTTGACGGTCATATTATCTTAGGAACAGTAATTTTCTCGGCCTGAAGGGTGTACTGAGTTAATTTTTTTACGTCGTCTGTCCTGGGCGGAAGGGTCGACCCAATTTGAATCACTGTGCTCTTGCTTATTATTTCATGTACTGTTGTCAGCAGGAAAATATATTAGGAAAATATAAATAAAGTCTTTTATAGTGAAAGGCTAAGCTTATTGCAACACATAACACTTGCTCAAGAAGTTGGCAGTGACTAGAAATAGATACCTTGGGGTGCAATGCCAGTGAACCATTATGTGAAAGACCCTAGAATTGTACCAAGCAGTTAGTGTGGTAAACTTTGAATTGTACCAGCATTTAGAAGCTATCTTTCATGGATTCTATCATAATATTGTCAGAGATGTATATTACAGAGGGTTAAGAATTTCTAAAAAAATTTCCCGTCCAGACCCACAATTTTCTTGGGCGAGATTCATTGGCCCTTGAAGTAAGTCTATTTCTGCCATCTTGTTTTGCGTAACCAAATGTGTTTACATTTTCATCCATTAATACGGAATAATTTACAACTTATCATTATGTTTTTGAAATTTTGCAACTACTTTTTCATCACTTCATTTCATTTGATCAGGGTACAAATTAAATTAAGATAACATGGCAGTGTGTGTATCGGTGAATTTTTGTGTCAAACACGTCCTTAGACTTAACCTAAAACACACACATATGCTAAGTATCATTGCAATAAGTATACTGTATTGAGATTAGCTCTAGGAAAACATTATAATTTCGAAAAATACAAAATATGATTCTTTTAATAAATGGAAAAAAAAAGATCTTTAAACTGGATATTCAATATTTGGTAAATTTACCATTGTTTTGCTCAGTTTGTTATCTAGAGTAGTGGCATACCTTAATTCCAAGTCTGAAAACATTTCCCTCATCTGTAGATGACATCTAGTCATACAATTTACAATAACTGTCTTTGACGCAACTTTCTAAAATTGGAAAGATTTGTCCAAAAATTTTGGAAATCAGGAAATTGTTCGGGAATTTTGAAATGTCTGAAAGTTACAAGATGAATACTCCCATATTTACTATGGAAAATTGATTTGAGAAATATGTAGGATCAAAGGCTATAATATTTACAAAGATTGAATTAAGATTAGGTTAGAAATAAGTAGTAAATGACATTCCCTAAAGAATGAAAAACAAGGACAGTTGGTGAGATGAGGAGTATGTAACTTATATGAAAGAATGCTATATGTTGACTTGTCACTTAAGTCTTAATCAGTAACCTACTCAGCTACTGGAATTTAAAGTGATTATCCTTTGTCATCAGTGAAAGAACCAGGCCAGCCTGCACATCCGTGTAGTCTAACTAGGCTCTATACTGTTGGATCAGGATGGGTCACTTAAAATTTTCTAATAATATCCAATAATCCCTTATATTGATAATAAGACAGTTCCATGTGGGACAAGAACATTTTAGAAATTCAGCCAATTAATGGGTAAGGGATGCTTTATATTTTGATTTATTTGCTTTGGCCGTAAATAAATCTTTACATGTTTGTTGAGGTGGATGTTGGTTGTTCAAAGGTCATAAAGTTTGCTATAGCTTGTTTTTACAATTTGATTGTAATTGATCATTGTTTTGTGGTAGTTAATCAAACTTACATACTTTTGTTCTGACATATCGTTTTATGTAAAATAGACATAAAGATAGCATAGTAATTCATATTCTTATGTAACATTCCTTGTTATAAAAGTTAGCAGTGCAAGGGATATAAAGCCTTTAAAAGCTTGTATTGTTAACATGTTGAGAACGGTACAGTAGTTTGATTAAAGATTTACTGATTTTGCGTTCTAGTCTTGTAGCTTTTGTCACAGGCTGTCATCTAGTGGTTTCTTCTGAGATTAATTAACTAGTCTAAGAGTTATCTAGGGATTTAGAGACAAGTAATATGTCACAAATGCAAACTTTCTTACAAATGTTAAGGCATCATCTATGTACATAATGTTTATTAGTCCAACTTATTGTACAACACATTGAGATATTGTGCTATTTTGTGTATGGGCAATATCTACACTCTAGTAGGATTCTGACCCAGAACAAATATATGTCAGAAATCTAGATTTGTGCACGCCGAAATATTTTGACAAGATGTTTATTTGCTAGTTATGAAATGACAGTTATCATTTTAAATTGTTAGTTACTCATAATTAATACTTAAGTAGTCAGTTTTTCAGCTGATATTAATATGTATTAATTATACAGCTGGTAACCGTGTCTGTGATTTATCATAATTAAGTTATTAATATCCAGCTTTCAGCATATATGTAAAAATATTTCAGTGTAAGATTCTAGCTATGGATGTAGCTGATGATAGGAGCTTGTGATCCAGGGGTACATTTGTAACGCTCTGGGTGCTGGTTTGATATTCAGATGAGGTGATTTTTTTTCTTGATAATTGAGCTCAGACATTGAGTCTAATGGTCAACTGTCTCTCACAGATGATTCAGAAATTATGTGGGATTAGTAGTTGGTCACTTGGGGATAAGTCAGTCCCTTGGGGATAAATTGATAATTGCAGGGTAGTTATCCAGGGAAGCCGTTTAGGTTGACCCAAAAAATGGAAAATGTGTTGACATTGGCCTAAAAACAAAGATTTTGATACATGATGTATTTATTTGCTGTAGTCTGTCTGAATGTAATGTCACAAATGTGTGTAAATATTGGTTTGTACAGATTTTCAAGATGATCCCCAGGAGCAAGTAATTGCTAGACTATCAATTGTTTATTAATGAGTTCAGTTCATTACAGTGTTTCCTAGAGATTGATTTGTATTGTTATTGGTCCCCATTATGTCAGTAAATAGAAGCTTTATTGCATAATAAAACTATGTAAAAGTTAAAAACCAATGTAAATGTAACTAATTTCGGAAACTTGCATAGATCAACAATTTGTAATGGTGTAAAAAAGTTTTATCCATAAACTTTTGAAACATTAAAACTAGTTAAAAGTAAAACCATTGTAAATGTAACTTACAAAGGTAATATAGTTATTAATTTTTTTGTACTTTACAAATTTAAGGTACATGCGATAATTTAAATAATTGATCATTTAGAACTTAAGGGTTTGTAATAAATTATGTTAATAAAGCTAGTGTGTAAAATGAGAATGAAACACCTTTACAAAGATATTTTTTTTATTTAAAGGCCCATTATGCCTCAGAAAAGCTTTCCTTTTTTTTCAAAAATTTTTTGGTAATTTGTTATAGTTTCAAAAAAAAAAAATCATTTGCCACATAGATGATCTTACTTTTGCTTCATTTGCTCTGTTTGCAATTGGTATAACTATAGTGATTTTGTATGGAAGTCAAAATACTACTTTGTTTACACTTTGCTTAACTTAACAACACATTACTGCACATTCAGCCTATTTTCTTCAGTTGGTAAACTTCTTACATGCTCTAAAACCATCATTATAACATCCCAAAATACATGTTTGAGATTTCGAAAGAATTAAAAAAAAATCAAACATGAATTTCTTAGGCATAATGTGTCTAAAACTATTGATTTTTTTGTAAAATTGATTTTCAGTGAATATTCAGAATGATTTTTTTCTCAGATTTAAATATATATAACCTTACAAGTATGAAGTGCCATGATACATTGTTTTAATATCAATTATATGTTCTTGTTTAATCTGAGTTAACTGAGAGCCAGTCAGTTATGCTTGTCAGTCTTGTTTGAAAGATTAAAGAGAACACATGTTACAAATCTTTTTGAAGTTCAGTTAATGCTTGGTAAATCCAATTATGACTTGATTGAAGTTCTGGGCCTAATAAAAGAAGTCTGTTTTTTGTGAATGTAATGAGAAATGGGACTTTGGACAAACATTTAATTGACAATGTAATTTTAATGTGGGTAAATTTGGAATGTAGACTGGTTTTGCTGATGATTGTGGCAATAGTGTAGTCAGGCTTGCCTGAAAATCCTTGGTCTCACCAGACTGTATACTGTATGTTTATAATGTTGATATCAAAATCCCTACCATTGGACATTTCCAAATTCAGAGCATTCATTATTTAAATTTAACATGGAAATGAAAAAAAAAGTTTTATTGACAAAAAGTTCAAAGGTAACCTAGTCAATAAAAGCTGTTATTTCTTAGTATGAAAATTTCATTTTAAGACTGACAAATATCCCCTTGTGAAATACACAATTTGTCTTGAATTAGCATGAACAATTCTCCTTTTGATGTATTCTCATTTAGTGGTTTGGGTCATAATTTCCCTGCTACTGTACAAAAGTATATATGGATTGATTCATCGATATGTGGTTTGCTCTACTTCTTTTGAATTTTCATTTACCTTATATAGTTTTAGAGCAGTTTCTAGACTTCCTTTAAACAAAATTTCTAAAAAGGGAATAGACTCTCTTGTATAGGCAATATTGATTACTTTATAGGTTCTGTACCAGATCTATACTGTTTTATTTCTCTAAATTGAAAAGGTTGATTTATATAAATTGGCCAGAAATAATGTGGTTAAAAACCCCAGCTGTTGCCCACTGTGATACAAAAACACCATCACACAGCTGGCCAGATTTCATATGTTAACGGTTGTGTAAGATATAGAATTATGTTACATGACAACTGTTTTTAATGTGTTTCGTGAAATACATGTGAAGTTAGTGTTGTGAACTTAAATGACAGGCTGTTGTCGGTAACTAATTTGATATTCTATGTGTGTTTTGAATGTGTCGCCATGTGTTTCCCCGGACAGTGTTGATAGTGAGAGAAAAAAACAACACATATTGATTGTTGTTTCCATTTCAACAATGTTAAGTTGAAAAGTCATTTGTTATCAAGAGATGAAAAGACCTTGCCATTACTATTTTCTTATGATCTTGTCATGTTGTATATGGTGGATGTCAGAGCATTATTGAAGGGGCAAGACATTGATTTACCTGTCAAGGTAGATGTAGATAACTTGTAGATAAAACCTACAAGAAACACATGTTATTGTGATCAATATAAATACATACATATACATTAAAATCAAGCAAAATAGACGTGTGACGACAACATCTGATATAAATGATATTTTCACTGTTGTACAATGCGGTAAATCTTTTAGTGAGTAGATTGCATGTCTGAAAGGATGTATTATTATATGTGTATACAGATATGCGCAACAGTCTTTAATTATGTCTGAGCTAGTGTTCTTTAAAAGGTAAAAGCTGGATAAAATCTGTGATATCTTTGTTACTATGGTATTAGTTCTGTTTTCTGATTGTTTTATTACAAAATTATGTATAATGTTGATTGTGTTTGAAATATGATTTTAATGTTTAAAAGAGTTTTAAGACGAAAAAATCTTTGAAAATTGAACTATCACATTTTGACATATTAAATTTTGAACTGCAATTTTAACCAATTAATTTAGAATATTATTTTAAATCTAGTTTTTCCAAGTTGTTTTTGTGGGCATGCCTTGTAATCTTATTATCCCTTTTCCCAAAAAAGTGGAAACAGGGATTTAAATGCATGATGTTGTGACCAGTGCAGATCCAGAACAGCCTGCACATCCATGCAGTCTGGTCAGGATCTCCACTGTTCACTTTTAAATTTATAAAAAAAATTTGGGACCATTGAGCATCGGCATTCCTTTGCTGAATTTAATATGTATTTTGCCTTTGTCTTTTATGCAATGTGCCACCTTTTACCTAAAATAAATTTAAAAAAAAGACTATGAGTTAGTTGGTGAGATAGAAACGGTGATTGTTGGACTAGATTTCTGGGTGGACTGGTATTGCTTCACGATTAAAGCTGAATTTTTTTTTACTTTAGTCTCAATCCAACATTTGAATTAAGTCTCCGAGCTAAATTATGTTTGTAATCTAGGCATAAAAGTCTCCTTTTGATCGCCTCTTTTCCTGCAAATGGTTTTCTTGCATCATAAATTTCCCACCAAAAATTGCTATTTTTCATAGACATTGTTTTTTTCTTTCACCTTTTCCTGAGATTTGAATGAGGATATTATGCCCAAAGAGTTGGTCACTGTCTCCTGTAAAAGAAAATATTAAACACTGTTAGTACAAAAACGTGTTTCACTAGTTATTTTAGTGGTTATAATTATGAATTATTGTATTTATTTATCTTTTTTTTCAGGATGGCTGATAGTAGTATACCAGCCAGTATGAACGGGATGCCGATGGACGATGACGAGTTTGAACGTAACTTACAGGAGATCATGGATGACGGTCCCACGCTCAGTGATAGCAGCAATACCGTTCAGAGTGGCTCCCCACAGAAACCAGTAGCTCTGTCCCAGTCAGACCACATGCCTGATGGAGGACAAGTACCCATGTCACAGTCCCTTAATTTACCACCAGGTAAGTGACTGATTATGATACCTGATTTTCTCAAATAAGTGTAGATTTCAGTACTGCTTGAGAGTTTGTTTATTTTCTATGGATATTATACACATTGATTAATAATAAAAAAAAAGAATTGTAAAAAATGATGTCTTCATTTATACTAAGAGACTGAAAATGAAACACTCCTGAAAATTTAAACTCTAATAAAATCATAGAAATTCTTTTATTAATAATTATTGTTCTTGAGAAATATTTAACTGATAAGTTAATTTTTCTGTTTGTGTTGTGTTGAAAAGAAATTAATGCTGTTAAAATTGCTGTGGTTCTTCTAGTATATGAAAAGGAAAAGTAGCTCTTATAAATATCCTTGCATTTTAGTTTGTTTAAAATATCTATGAATTGTCTGAACTACATAAGTTTTGCTCTATATCAAAAGTAAATAGTGATTTATATACATGCACACAACTTAATGAGAGATTAAATATCACGTTTCAAACATTGTAAAAAGTAGGATTTGACCTTCAAGGTTTCTTATATCCATGAAACATTTGTAATTGAATAAGCATGTGTTTTACCACAAATTGTATAAAATGTTTAAATTACTATATACTCAAGTTGAATTCTCATGGTTTATAGTAGCAAATAGATAGATTCTCACATTTTCTGTAAATTCTCATCCTGCTGACATAGTATAATGGACACTCCCAGATTTGAATTTAGAACTGTATGTATGGAATAAAAAGGATGTCAATGTCATATTAATAAAGTTATGTAATCTGAAGCACAGGTATACCATGCATAGCCAGGTCAGAAATCTTAGTACTTCTGCAGCAAGCAGCCCTTAAATATATGAATAATATCATTCAAAACATTATATATATTAATAAAATATCACAAAACAAAAAAAACAACAACAACACAACTTATGGCTCATCCAATAAAACGATTTATCACATTAGTGCAGTAATGGGTTAACTTCTATTGAATTTTAATAGGAGTTAACCCATTTCTGCACTAAGGTTACAACATTCTGGCCTTACACTTTCTTGGTTGTTTATGCAATAATTCAATTAAGAATAAAAGCAATTAATTATGTAATAAGTTGTTTAATATTTTACATTCACTTTATTGATACAAACACAATTGTATGTGTAAATTCTGTATGAAATGCTTCAACCTTTTGTGAGAGATTGTTCTTCTGTACAATATACGTCTTTGTTAAGATTTAAAATGTCTTTTTCATTTGAATGGCTTGTCATTCTAAGTTAAGTAAACGTACATACATCCTGTTACATATGAATGGCTGGGAAAATATTTTAATTGATAATGATTGAAAGTTACATGTTGAATAAACAATTAACGGAGGTTGTTTCAGTTGTTTTGGTAATGATTTACCCAGGAGTATTTTCTTTTTTAGTTTCAAAGCCATCACCAGTGATCAAGTCGCGGAGTTTGAACGGTGATTTTGTCCCTAAGCAACAAACAATGACACAAACAGCACAGAATAAACTTGAACAAGTTAAAAACTGGAGTATAAATACATATAAATGTACAAAACAATTGTTATCTGAGAAATTAGGAAAAGGTTCACGGACAGTTGATCTAGAACTTGAGGCACAGATAGAAGTTTTGAGAGACACGAAACGAAAGTACGAGAATATTTTACGGTTGTCGAGGGCATTAACAAATCATTTCTCCCAGGTCGTGCAAACACAGAGGGCGCTAGGTGAAGCGTTCTCGGAACAAGCTCAGAGGTCGGCCGAGTTACAGGACGAGTTCACTTACAACTGTGAGACACAGAGAGCACTTGTGAGGAATGGAGAAACTCTGTTAGGTGAGTATACCAAAAACATTCAGTTGATAGAATAATAATACCATGTAAAGTTTGGATGTTTTTCAGAAATTTGGATATTTTCATTTATACACTTGTTTTCCATGTTATATATAAACACTGTGTAAACAAGATATGATGTTTTTTGAATAATTGTGTGAACAAAGAGAAAATGTCTTCTCTATTTCTATATATTAATTTATTAGTTTACATTGATGTTCACTAGTAGGGGTGACTGCACTAGTGAGACTAATTGAAGAGGTCCAAGTAGCTCAGTTGGTAGAACTGTGAAACGGTATTCTGAGGTTTCAGGTTTAAATCTTAACCTAAGGCTATGAAGGGTTAAAGTTCGGAGACATTGTGAATTGTTCTCTGTACTCTTTGAAAATTTGGGAACAAATTTCAGTAAAGTGGGGGAGTTTGTTTAGAATGGTCCTTTGTCAGGCAGCACATTTTTCTTCTCCTGTGACATAAATTTTATAACTTGGAGTAGCTTTCACAAATCACAGCATAATCATCTTTGATTGTAGTTACAATTCCTGTTAAAGATTGCATGTGGATATTTGTTATGTAGATATTATGTATTGACTAATGGTTGTTGTTTTCTGTACAGGAGCAATGAATTTCTTCACATCATCTGTGAACACGTTGATCAGCAAAACAATGGATGATACATTACTTACAGTGAAGAACTTCGAAACAGCAAGGTAGGGTCGTACAGAAAAAAACTTCAGTTTTTGTATATTTTGCTTCCAGTATTTATGTAATGTTAATTTCTTGCTTATTAGCTTGTAATAAAGGATGTGGAAATATGAAAGAAAATAGAGGATTTTTCTGATTTTAAAGATGAAAACATAGAAAGACTGATGAGGTTTTTTGTCCCGACCTATTTTTACATTGCTAAAGATATTGTCTAACTGTTCTGCAAGAATATGGGTGTAAAACAAGAAATGTAAAAGTGTTTGCACTAGTGCTGTATTAAAGTGCTTGTTGTAAAGGGGGAAGTCGGGAAGGGTAATGTTTTAGCAGCACTTGGGATCACAGTGTTTTGCAAAATAGGGGGATTAAGAAGATTGCAGTATCTGACCATCCTATGATGTTTGGAAAGATGTTATTCTAATGTTTTTTAGTTGAGTAGAAAAGTTATAAAAACAGGCTTTAAAACACTATATAGTATACAATGTTAGACTCAAGTGTTGTAATGCTGAAGACACCTGATAACTATCTATCCAAGCTTAATATATATGGTAAGAAGAGTTTTGTACATTTTGTCCTTTTCATGGTAATAGATAACTCATATGTTTTTTCATGTGTGTTTAGGCTGTGAAAAATTATAAGCAATAATTTGTGTAATCTAGATATAGAAATATTTTCCATTTCATGTACTTTAAGGTCATTGGAAAAGGAGGGGTATAAAAATGTTACTAGGTTAAACAACAGTTATGAATTAATGTGCCTTTTTTGTTTGCTTTATTGAAAGTTTATTTTTTATAATTTAATTTTTTATGAATGATTGATTTTCATTATGAAATATTTCATGCTGCTTTACATTGAAGTCGGATTTTAAGGTACATATGATTTAATAAAGCAGTTCATGGGATCAGCTTTTTTCTCTCATGTTTTTTTTGTCTCCTTTACGATGTTATGCTTTAATATATTTGTTTTACATTGAAGTCGGATTTTAAGGTACATATGATTTAATAAAGCAGTTCATGGGATCAGCTTTTTTCTCTCATGTTTTTTTTGTCTCCTTTACGATGTTATGCTTTAATATATTTGTTTCACATTGAAGTCGGATTTTAAGGTACATATGATTTAATAAAGCAGTTCATGGGATCAGCTTTTTTCTCTCATGTTTTTTTTTTGTCTTCTTTACGATGTTATGCTTTAATATATTTGTTAAAAGGTAGCACTCTGGTTATATTTTGAATAATTGTTACTGTAATTTTGCAGCGGGAAACAAAAACCCAATCACAGACAGAATAATTTTCAATATAGAAAATATGTTTTCTGTAAACTGTAGGTACATGGTGTAAGGGAAGTTAGATATACTTAAATATTGCCAATATTATATTGTTTATATAATGAACTTGCCTCGCTTTAACCTTTAGCCAGCTGGCGGGGCGATTTACCCATGTGACCAATGCAGACCAAGGTCAACCAGTACATGTGTGCCATCTGATCATGGTCTGCACTGTTTACTCTTCACTTAGTAGTTATATTTTGTATTTTGAAATTTTCCTAAAAATTGATGAATTGTTTTGTTCCAATTAAGATGTGGACATGTCCATTGAAGATATTTAGCATGAAAAAGGTTGTCCATTGTTTTCAATGATCATACCATTTATAAGTCCATAGATATAGTGTTAAGATTTTGGTTAGACTAAACAGATGTGTAAGCTTGCCTGGCTTCATATTGGTATTATTTACGAAGCTTCCCCTTAAAATTTTGTTCTAAAGTTTTGTAGACTTCATAATTATATCACGTGACATGACGTGACTTTTATATGTTTGTGTAAATGTTTGATATGTAGCATTCTAAATTTTAGAGTTATTATCAAACTGGCGTTTCTGAAACCTTTAATTCTTTCTACGAGGATTCTCTGTACATGATCTGTTTATTAAAACCCAACAAAATACAGAAGATAGATGGAAAGTTATCTAAATAGCACTTTTCCGTAGAATCTTTCAGCATGGATTTTAATTGAGGTTTTCTGAAAATTTACTCTCTTTATCTTCAACTCATTATCTTGTTTTGTTATTCAAAGTCTTTGATTTTCTTTTTATACGAATTGATATTGTAAAAATATTTAAGAAAAATAGGTGAAATACTACTATTTTGTATTGCGTGATCTTAAGAGTTTAAAGCTCATTGGCCTTAGAGAATTCTTCAAAATGCTTTTTTAAAGCAGAAAAATAGAACATGTGACCAAATGAGTATATCATATTTTTTTAAACAGTCGTCTTGAATTTTAATTTAACCCTTTACCACATATATACGCGAAACAATGCACTTTCGACCCCCCCCTTTTTTGGGCCTCAAATAGGAAAAAAATGTCCTATTTGGGCCCCAAACATAAGTTTTCGTTTGAGAAATGTTGATAAAAAAATTGAGCACTTTTTCGGCGCCGCCCCCCATCCAAAAGATACATGAGGGGGTTGCCAGAAGGGGGATGTGCCCCCTTCTGTTAGGGGGGTTTGAAGGGGGGCGGAGTCCCCCTCATCCTCATCGCCAAGAAAATTTTGGACTTGTGAGAGGCTAAAAATGACCCCAGGTCGATCATAATGTAACGTTTAACCAACGCTGAAAAGCCTTTGACTCTATCTCAATCCCTTGAGAAGTTGCAGCACTTTGAAATAAATTTTGATGGAAAAAATCGAGGCAAAATAGTGATTTTTGGCAATTTTGAGATGCCCCCTCGTTGCCATGGTAACAGGAAATTTAAGACTGAGCATGTCGTTACAAAGGCAATGGTCCAGTCAACATTTGTGCCAAGTTTGATTAGTATTGAAGCATTTTTCATAGTTTCATAGCAGTTTGAACTTGTAACAGGAGGCTTTTCAGTGAAAACGGCCATTTTTCACAATATGCTCATGGGGGAAAGGGTTAAGAAGTTGCATCAAGTTGAATGAAATAAGCTACATGTACAATGTATTTATGGTTTTATGAAAGTCTTATGATACCTGTAAATTTGATACTATATAAAAATCAAGTTTATATCTTAAATATACAAAATGTAGAGGAAATTTACAATGCACAAATATTCCACCCATTAATCATAGTTCAAAGCTGTCACTGATTGTTTGGAGCTAGATAACATTAAATTGGTTTATTGACCTTTAGACTGCTGGTTGTAACATATTCTACCCATGCTGACTTGTCGGACTAATTGTATTTCTCAACAAGATATTGTGCTATTTTGTGTATGGGCAGCATCTCCCGACCCAGAACAAAAGTATCTCAAAGTCTAGCTTTGTTTATCAATATATTTTGACTACCCATGCGACCAGTGCAGACCAAGATCAGCCAGCACTATTTTCTTTTCAGTCTGTACATATTTTGAAATTTTCCCTAAATTTAATGAATGGTCTTGACCAGATGAAAAATATAGACAAGCTCATTGTAGATATATAGGGTGGTTAGGGTTAATATAGTCTCAATGAATATTATTTATATTTTACAGGTTGGAGTTTGATGCGTATAGAGCTGATATAGAACACCTGAATCTGGCACCAAAAGATTCCGCCAACATTGCTAAAAGCGAGGAATTGAAACGCAAGTTTGAGGGACAGAAAGAGAAATACGATAAACTACGGGCAGATGTGGCAATAAAACTCAAATTTTTAGATGAAAATAGGGTAAGTTACCTGTAATTAACTGTGTTGTTGCTAATAATAATTAGTACTTGTCACTGGCATCAGTATGTAGTCTGGTTGACCAAATTTCTGTGCAGTTTTCACATTTTGATTTTTAGCAATTTTCACATAACCATTATCTTAAAATCACAAATGTTGATCCGTGCAGCTCTGCAAACTCAAAGTTAGGCATGTTCAATATATATTATATATTTTATATTTAGGAGGGTAAAATCTTATATGATTATTTAAGATGAAAACTTAGAGGAAAATTATGTTGATCTGGTGCGAAACCCTGAATATCTTCCTTTATTGTAGCATAGTTATTGGCGTGTTTTTCCTGTAAGAATAAAACTGCTGAATCATTGTGCGATTAAATCATTGTGCAATTAAACAAGATTTCTCAAAGGAGTATTGTGTTGTGATTTTAAAAGGCTATTTGACATGTACATGTGTATAATGAAATTGCTGCAGCATCATGCAATACAGTAAGGTTTCTCAAAGCAGTTTAAGTTGAGATTTTGAATGATATTTATGTCTGTGATGATGATACAGGAATACAATATTGTCTGAATCATTGATATAATTTCATCGTCTTATCCCTGACTCTGTAGAACTTGAACTTCTTTAAATTTAAAATAGTGAGAAGTTTAAAGAGAACTTTATATCAGTTTCAACAGCAGAGAGCCTGATCAAAATTGCACATACACAATGTATATGCAGATTAGCCTTGCTTTATAATGATGATATGATAATACATAGATCTGTTACTGTTGTTGACACATGAGTTCATTGGCTTGGTAGTAGTGCTTGTTAACCACTTGGCCTTCACTTCTGTGGTTTTGCCAGGGGTTAAGTTGTTATTTTTTTCATTTGAGGAAGCTATCTTACAAGCTTACAGAACATCAGGTGTCCACTTATGCATGAGATAATGTACATGTAGGGGCATCTGAGGTCTAACTCTACTAGTAAAGTGATGTGAGCAATAAAAGAATGTTGCTTGGACTTAAAACTAGAAAAAACTAAAACAAAAAGGCATTACAGTCCAGATTGTATAGGTCTGAATCTAGTAATACAATAACTGCAAGCTGTTTGAAGTGCAGAAATGAGTCTTGGAAATCTTGATTGATTAAGATATCCATAAAAGAAACAGAAATCCTATAATTGTGTTCATGATTTTGTTACCTAGTGACACATGGATTTCCTGTAAAGGTTTATTGCCATTTATGGATTCTGTATAAACATAAAAACATGGATGACAGATGACATCTGGGGTGAAACGAACATTTACTACATTCAGAGATTTATACAGGGATGTTCATAGTCTCCTCTTATACATTATTGATCCCCAGATAGCTCATGTGGATTAATTTAGTTAAATCTCTGGACATGAACAGTATAAATACAAAAATGAAAATATTTTGTGAATTTTATCTTTTGATTATTAATTTATAAAAAATAATATGGGATAAGTAATAAGTCATTTGCAGAGAAATTGTTATTCCAGGTTATTTATTATTCAGGAAAACAAGTAAGGTGGGCTTATTGCCGAGAAATTGAAATTTTCTTTAAAATCATGCAGTTTTCCAAAAAATCTGTACTTACACCAGCTTTTTTTACTACCCAAATTAGCAATTGGAGCAATTATATTTCCCAAAATCAAGAGTATAAGGTCCTCTTCCCAATTAACTTGAATTAAGTGAGAAAAACTACTGGATAATATTTGTGAACTTTAATTTGTAATTTCAGATCAAAGTGATGCATAAACAGTTGTTGTTGTTTCACAATGCGATCTCAGCTTACTTCAGTGGCAACCAATCGGCGCTCGAGGCAACATTGAAACAGTTCAACATCAAACTGAAGGCTCCAAATGCCGAATCACCGTCCTGGCTTGAACAGTGATGAGTCATCACTATCACAAGCTAAAATCTCACTCATTTTTAACCATATACTACATTTGTGAAAATTGCACTTGATAATAATATTATTTATATACTGTCAATGAAGTTCTGGGCGTGGTTTGCTGGCATGTTTTAACAGCTCATTACGGAGCATACAGTGTTATGAACATATTATATCAACACATTATGAAATATGCTCCAGTGTGAATATTGTGAAATATGAATATCATAATGTAAATATCACATTCGGTACTTATGATTTGAACTATTTGGAACAGTTGACTTACCATGGAAATAAGAAGTGATTTCTGGTGTTGATGGATTTTTTAGCTGCCAAGGACAAGTTCTTTTGAAAGTTATCGAGAATGTGAAAAATTTAATGCCAGCATGTGTTTTATGCACTTGTAAAATTCTGGAAGTAGGTTTTGTTTTGATGATTAAGTTTGAAAGTAAATGTCTTCTCTAATCTGTTCTTTTAACTTGCTAGTCTACATGGCTGAGTGAATCAGGATGATGATTTTGAATCATCTGCCCTTTAACATTGTATGCTCAATTTTCAACCAGTGTTGTTAATTTGTTCTTCATACCAGCTATCCACTTTACTGGTTTAATGTCAAAGATTATGCCCAGAAGAGGCAAGTACGATCTTCCTTCACCAGTTAAAACTCAGAAATGGTCATTCGGTTATATCCTGGACTAGACCCAGGGGTGTAAACAAGGATAAGTCCCAGGGGTCTAAACATGGATTAGCCCCAGGGGTCTAAACAAGGATTAGGCCCAGGTGTCTAAATAAGGATTAGCCCCAGGGGTCTAAAAAAGGACTAGACCCAAGTGTCTTAAACAAGGATTAGTCCCAGGGGTCTAAACAAGGATTAGCCCCAGGGGTCTAAACAAGGATTAGGCCCAGGTGTCTAAACAAGGATTAGCCCCAGGGGTCTGAACAAGGATTAGCCCCAGGGGACTAAACAAGGATTAGCCCCAGGGGTCTAAACAAGGATGAGCCCCAGGCCCTTATCTGTAGTAATTTACTGTATTAAATATAAACAAAGGGAACACAGATTGCCATCCATATGACATTTGTGGTGTTGGTGTGATTTTAGGACACAAAAATATGTCCTGATATCCATTAAGTCCGATAATTCTTTATTTTGGCAAAACTCTGAATCTTGTCATGGTAGTGGGATCATTTTACATTATTATTTAGTAATTTAACGTTACTGTAACCTTGTCAACAAGACTTGGGGCAGTTAGTCACAATCACTCAGGTAGATTGTCCTTATAGATGAGTCAACATATTCCTCATATGGTGGCATACTGGCTTCTCAAGCTCGTATCATGAGTCTGTTACATAATTGGTAACCTAGCAACCAAGCACCAAGATTCTGCTTTCTAACAGTGTTATATATTTGTCAGTTCGTTATTTTGTTAATTGCTTTAATTAAAGTTATGTGGTTTGTAAATGTATGTTATGCAATATATTACTGTGTCAGTATTGATTAATGGGAACATTGATTTAAAGGGGAAAAAGAAGAAAGCCATTAGATTTTGCACTGGGGAATTTAAAAGTGGCTTACTCCACATGCAGGTGATAATCTACCAACACTACCACCACCAATTAGACTTTATTTTTACTGACCATAGAATAAATTGTAATGTTTCACTAAAGATAAATTCTTTGAATCTTTGAAAATGGTTGGACTATAAAAGCTTATTTATAAACATAAACTGTGAAAGTTTGTAATTTAACTGTTAACTGTTTTTTTAGAATATTTAAACTTCCGTATGAATCTAAGTTATGATTGTCTGTTCATTTTAAAGCAATGTTTGTCAATGCAAGTATGAACTGTCATTATTATAAATGCGTATATTCTATTGTATGATTATATGTTAATTGAACCATTTCTATGTTAAGTTGAATAATGAGCTTGTCCTACTGTATTTGGAAGTGTCCATTATTAATGTAAAGGGATGTTGGTATCAAAATTCTACAAATAAGCAAGCACCTGTATAGATGTTAAGGCTGGTTTTACATCACAGACAAACATATTGGACTAGCTCCATACTGCCACTGGTGATATAGACAAGTCATTATTGCAGCTACCATTTTAAAGCTGCATGCCTCCAGATGAGCCAAACTATTTAAGAACATGAATCTTGAAAAAAATGTAAGAAATTAAAAAAAAAAATGTAAAGAAGAAAATATGAATATTTGCAATTTAACAGATAATTAACATGTTATATGCAAGATTTATGCAAGTAGTGACTGGTTTTCAGTATTAATCACCATATTTCTACTGTGTGACTAATGCCCTAAGGGTTGTTCTTGCATATTCTGGCCTGTTTTTGGCATTTATTTCCCCTTTTCAAGTGTTGTTTACAATGTGCCAACTACTTTCTGTGTTAACTTGACAATATTTTACTGTTTTATACATTTTAAAAATATCCACTTAACTTGGAGTCTGGAGGCATGCTGCTGTAAGGGTATATATAACCTGTTTGTCACTGTATGTCTAAATTCTATGTTAATGTGATCAAATCATTGTTCTGTGTTCTTTATGTATGTTACTTCTCATATATTTTCCTTTGGTTGTGGTACATTACAAGTTACAGACTCCATCAAACTGATATCTACCTTAAATATTCTGATCCTGTTCCTGGTAGTTTAATTCTACAATTCGTCACTTTAGTGCAGTAACAGGGTAAGTCCTTCTAAATTTAATAGGAGTTAACCAGTTATTGCACTAAAGTGATGTAATTTATTGATATAATCAATCTAGTGGTTTTACTTAGGTGATTGGTTGTGCTAAACATTAAGTACATAGGTGAGCTTGAGGTCTTCCGTAGGAAGTAAAGTTGGAAAGTTTGCCATTTGGTTATTGTGTTGGTTCGAATGAAAATGCAATAAAAAAATCAAGTTACAGAATTATTGATGAGGCAAAAAATTGTCTTAATCTGGTTTTCTGAAATACCTTGTATTTTATGTCTAGTACTTTTTTTTTTTACAAATTACAAATGGCATTTAATTGGCATGTCTCATTATATACAAGTCCTCCTAATATCTTTGTTTCTTGTTGATAAATATATATACTAGTTATTAAAAGCCTGCAAAGGATTGATTCATGGAGAATAATAGAACTAAGTATTCAATTAAATTGATTTACTTATAATTGAGATATTAATTAATTTAACTTAATTAATCAAGGAACACTTAACTAATCAAGCTAACATACAGTATTGTATGTAAACTCTATGCTCACTATCATTATATGTTGTATTTTCTAGCTCACATCGCTGCGCCAAATTGTTGCATGTAGAGATTGCTTCTTGTTGAGATATTTCGCTGTATCTTTTGAAAAAAAAACGCAGTTTTGAGGTTTTTAATATAAAATATTTTTCTGTAAGATATAATTCTTTACAATTAAAGATCTTATTTGTCCTAGTGAATGATGTTGAGGTAACGGGAGTGCAGGTAACTAAAAATCCTGCACGCCAGTTAATGCACTGGGCATCAATAGGGATACAATTTTTCTCCCAACACATTTTCAATGAAAAGATTTCCTAGCTATTATACAGTGCTAGCTTACATATCAAGTTAAAAGTGATAAATTTATAGCTGCAAGTGAGATTGTTTAAATTTTAATATATTTCAAATTATAAATGAGAAATTTGGTGTAGAAAGGATGTACTGTAGGTTAAAACCATTTCCAAGACAATAAATTGGAATTAACCCATTACCGCATGAGCATTTTGTGAGAAATGGCTGTTTTCATTAAAAACATTTCTGAAAAATGAAAACCAGTTTGGGGCCTTTTTCACTAGTATTTGAAGCCTCTAAGGAGCGTGGGAGAGGGTTGAAAAGGAGTAGAAACACGTCTATGTGAGGTAATTGGTTAAACTTATGTTTGGGGAATTTCAAGTTATAAGTGAGGAAATTTAAGTTTAAAGGTGAGATGTAACTTTTATAGAAGAAATAGGTGATAATGTGATGTAAAAATTGTTCATTTTTTTGTGGACCATGATAAATTGCATTCCATTGTAAATACACCTTTTTCATAAAGATATAGTCTATTTTAAGATTGCACAAAATTAGTTTAATAATGTCAGCATTGTATTACATAGTGAGTAAAGATATTGTGATTTTTGATGGGGGCAGTTAGTTCTATAGATTGTTTGTTGATTATATGTATATTTTTTGCAATAATTTTTAATTCCTGATACCCTAAACCTGCTGGATTTGTGAAATGGAATGTCCCGACTTTGAATTTGGAACAAATTTGGAACAGTCCATTCAAAGTTAAGGGGATTTTAATATCAAAATACAGAAAATTTAGCTACTGACAGTATATTAGACTGGTAGGACTGCACTATGTGCAGGCTGCCTGGCTCTATACTGGTGGCAATTGCTAAATCACTTTGAGTTCAAACAGGGTAAGGGTCATTTGAATATCGCTGATTATAATGTAAATGTTTAATTAATATCAAGCATTATTTGGTGATATTTAAAAGATGAAATTGTTTTAAAAAAAATTTGTAAAAATGACCCCTTATTTTTGTGATAGCATGGGTTTTATTTGTAGAAATAGAAATGCATTTGATGAAAACATAGCTTAGTTAAGCAGCATGCTGAATAATCATTACATTCATTTAATTTGATTAAGAACTTTGAATTTTTCACTCATTTCACTTTTTCTTACTTTCCTTATTTTTCTTATTTTTATCAACCCTTTAGTCCCTTGTTTAAATGAAATTTAATTTTTTCTTTAGAAAATGGCAAAATGTATATGTTTAGTTTCATTTGACTTCACCGTTGATCCAGGCTTATCTCCCCTTCATTTTTTTTGTGGCGCCAATCATTTTTCTGTATATTGTAAGATATTGTTTTACTTGTTGAGAGTCTTTTTGTTGTTTCTGTCATGCCTTTCCTAATAAATATAACATTTCCGTCCTATAAATTATTCATGAAATACAAGTCAAAACCTCGCTACGGTAAATAACACTGTGCAAGTACGGTAATAAAACAGAAACTTTTATTAAATGACAAATGTTTATGAACATGTTAAGGTATAATGATGGGCATTTTTTTCAAAATTTGAAAGTTATCATAAGGGCATGGAGTTATCGATCGAATTTAGTCCTCTATAATTGTTTGACTGTAATTTTTGTATGAAAATATGGCGTTAAAAACAAAACTATACATTCTGTATATACTAATGGTTCTTGCTATAAAATTATTTTTTTGTCCAATTTTCTGCATCATTTTATTAAAATGAAGCTGTATTTATGCCAATTTTATGTTGACTCAAAAGCTATACTAACTTGTTTTGTAAAACTCTTTTATGTTTTTGTTAAAGATAATAATTATATTATAAGTTTTATTTTGCCTTTTTGCCATTATTTTGTTTGTTTTTTTATGTTTAACTTATAAACCCTTTTTTGATGTATTCTGTTTTTTCCATTGGAAAATGAATATAAACCACTATTTTCTTGTATTATTTGACATTGTAAATTATATATTTACCATCATAAAAGCTTCATATGCAAATGAAATAAAACATCACAATGTCTAGATCAAGTGTTCTTGTCTATTGACTCGGCAACCTAAGTTGAACTAGTTTTGAAAGTTCTGACACATTCTGAACAAATTCCTGGTGTATGTAATGTAATTAACTTTTAAGATGTTGTTGAAGATTAAATACTTCTATTCATAGTGTGTACATTAAACTTCGCTTGAAACAATGCTTGGGGGACCTTCCAATTTGTTTTTATATCCGACAGGCAACTAATTGAAAACATGACTTGGGTGTGGCAACAGCAAACTTCTCTAATAGGAAAAATTTGATTTCTTTATAAATTGACAGCAAAAAAACAATAAAAACATTGTGCTTTTGAAAATGAAGTGATGTTACAACCTACAGTATCATTAATATGCGTATCTCTTGTTTCAAAAATGGAATCCCTAAAGAACACCCGTGTCGGCAAAAGGCTAGGTTTATCAAGCCTGTTCATGGATGGTTCTAGCAAGTGGAAGCTACTGTTCACACTGCCTAGTACAGACTTGAGCAGAACTTTTACATTTAAACATGAACTTTGAAATTTAATTCGAAATATTGAAAAAATCTGCATTTGTTTTCAAAACCATGATATACCCATCAGGGTGAGGACAGCAGAAAGGTGAGAACATGGCTTATTCCACTGCATACACACTGGTCTTGCAGCCTTGCTGGTAGGGAACACAAACTTTCAAACTTACGACTTACTGTAACCTTGGAAATTGTCTAAAACTGGCAAGATTTCCTCCCAGCAGTTACATAAAGAGCTGGGCCAATTGTTTCAGGCAAAATGAAAAGAAAGATACCACACATGCAAAAATCATAATATTTATTCAGATATCATTAATCATTTATGTAGCATAGACAACACAGTAATATAAACAACTAAACAATATTTTACAGGAAAGAACTAACTAACTAACCAAATTAAACATATACTTTAACAAAATCACCAAACGTTCTTATCTAACCCAACAACAAAATCATTATGTCATTCTTATACAACACCCAAATATATTTCCAAATGTATTTGACATAATTAGTTTTATATAGATAACAAAAGATAAAAGTAACCAGTCATGAGGTATATCTCCAAAGATTTATTTCAATGTTTTAACTATAAATACTGCTTGACATGACTATGTAGATGTTAATTATGTTTAATTGTAAACACTTTGATAGAAAATAAAAGCAACTGGATTGTAAAAAAAACAAGAAATCTTCAGCATGCAAAACCTCCAAAACAAACAATGGCAACAGAAATAGCAAAGCAATAGCAGAAAAGTTGATTTTTTAAAATTTTAACGCAGGCTCTAAATAACAATACAATAATAAAAGTACACAGTTATTATCACATTGAAAGTTACCCAAAATTGTATAAACACATGCAATAAAATAAACACACATGTGGAGATGTTTATACTTTCTATTTTACAAGAGACATTAAATGTCTCAATTATTTGACTTTAAATTTCCTAAAAACCTTAAAAATTAAAACTACATGCATTTTAGCACCAGTATTTCCTTGCTCCCAAAAAAGCACCAATTATCTATAATGATGAGGTATTTTTGTAAATAAACAAATTTCAGATCTTGATAATGATACAAATTTATTTTCACAAAAACCTGATTTACAATAAATGCATTTGATAAACTCATTATTTTACAGCATAACCTTGTATTGATTTTAAGTTCACAAATATAGATTCTAAACATAACAAATATCATTGCACCAGCTTGTGGAAATTATGTCAAAACAGTTTCAGAGATAAAAAAAATGCTGAATTATTAAATTGGCATATACTTAATGCAAAAATAGTGCTAATGCACCTGTTTACTATGTATTAACATCTGTAGAAGCAGGAGGATCCTTGCCCTATAGGCTCAGACTTTAAATGTGTCCTTGTGCTTCCGCAGATGTTAATGCAAGAAAAAAGGTGCATTAGTCTTCTATTCTTCCAGACTTTACTAACATATTGCTAAGATGTAACAGTTCAATTTTCAAAACGAAATAAGAGTAAAATTTGTAAAATAAGTAAAATTTGGCAATGGAGGCAAAAAAGCAATCTTAAATTGTTAATCAATTTAATCAGCAAAAGATGAGATAATCTTATTTGCTGTACTTTCTTTACTAAATCCCCTTGTGGCGGAGGGGTTGCCTTTAAAAAATTGAGGCATCAGAATTGCAGCCACCGTTTATCCCTGTGTGATGGTTAACCGTTATTGGTGACTAAATGGGTTTAAATTACTGGAGTCTATGCATCTCATAGCTCCAGTAGGTGAGGTGATTGATCACTGGTGTTGCTGGAGGTTGGCCAAAATCAAAATCATCTTTCCTGTTTATATGCCATATGACCTAAATTTGTATTGGTGCGCTGTGAAACCAAACAAACAAAAAATCTATATTCAAGCTCCTTCATAAGCAATTTAGATCCATCACCTACTAGCACACACTCTAGAATATAAAATATAATCTGTTTCATGCAGAGAAACTATTGCTACATAAGACTTTTTTAAGTATACAAAAAGTACGGTAAAGTAATCATTTTATTTTGTCATGTCAATTTGCGTTCTTTATTTATACTTATTTATTACTAATTAAAGGGCACAGTTTGATTATCCAAAACAACTGGTGGAATCTGAAGTGATTAGCCTTTGCAACCAGTGTAGTTTGACCAGTCTCTACGATGTTGGTTTTCTAAATGTGAAAAATAATCCAAAATTGAAAAGTGTTGATTTCCACTCAAATCTGGCTTAAATAGCATAAAAATATAATTGTTAATTTATTCTGAGGATATTTCTTAAATATCTTTTCCATACCTTTCTGTTTTAAGTGCCCCAGTTGGTCTATGTGAGAAATTCATATTTTATGTTTTTAGGCTTGTGGACCTCAGTGGAGTTCCTTTAAAATTTAATATGTAACATCATTTATATATATCACTACAAAGTATATAGTTATGAACACATTTCAATTTTTCAAGAATAAAATATGGCAAGTTCTGTTTCAATACTTACAAAAAAAAGACTACAAAAATATGTAAAATATAAATGTATAAAAGCTATTTTCCCATTGCAAATTAAAGAATACCTGAATTAAAGAATTGCAAAAAATTAATGTTATAACTAATCAATTAAATAATTGCAAAAAAATTAATGTTATGACTAATCAAACATTTTTAAATGCACAAAAAATGAATTAAACAAACAAAATAAATGTAGAAATTGAAAGTGAATATAAGAGAACATCTAACTCCTTAAGTCATTTATCGCACATACATCAACAATGAAATTATTACTTTTTTGTTACATTTCATAGAATCTGGATAGAGCTCATTTTTTTCAAGTTTGATTTTCCTAAAGTATTTTGCCTCATCTGTAGACATGCAGCTTTAAGACATTAAAATAAATGCTTCAACTCCAGTTGAAATGTTTGTCACCCTTTCCTAAGCCATGACTTGTCTATGACACCAAAGGGGCTATACTTTTATTATCTTGATGTTGAAAACCCTTTAAATACACAATTGACTGTTCTAAATTCAAAGCTGGACTGATCCATTACACAAATTAAGCAGATATAAGGGTAAATGTTGACTGAAAGTGCAATTACTCTTTAAATGGAATGTATAGTAATAACAATTTAAATGCCATGTTGGAACACATAAATATATAAAGATAATACTAACACTGCGATATGAGTACTTAGTACTTGGACTTAGTATTTTCATACTGCCTTTTTTGTGGCAATTTTTTTGTAAATTGTATAGGTTATTGGTATAACAATGATTATAGTGAATACACAGATAATACAATATTAAGTATACATGTACTAGTAATTAAATTATCAACTTGTGTATTATCTCTAACAAAAATATATTAACAATCAATGGTTTAAACTATGTAAAATTGCTAGTACTATTTTCATTCAAGATCAATGAAACAAAAGTCTTATATCACTTTTTAAGTTAAATAAACATCCTTCCAACAAAAAGCCTGCCTTTGAAATCTTCACTTCTGGGTACATTATTTAAGTTAAAATTGTAAAAATAGTAAAGCACTTTGTATTCACTTTCATTATGGCACATTTTAATAACATGTACAAGTAAAACATCAATTATAGCACAATTTAACAATGTTTTTGATACGTTTCATAATTTTTATCAGATTATCTCTAAGAATCATGTAACTTTACTTAAATCCTTGTAAGAAAATCATGATATAACTAAAATTTGGAACATTAATTTTAGACGCTGAATTCAAGATCTTCAACACAAATTTACCTGCATTTTGATTAAAGCCTTCATATTTTTGTAAAAAATTAAATACAATACCCTTAACACACGCAAAAAAAGAAAGAAAAGAAAATCCAGATTAATGATAAAATTGCAAAACTTCTACAACTATTGCTAATGGTCACACTTGGACTGGAAATAACAAATTACGCTGATCATTAGAATAAATCACTAGAAATCACAGATAATTAATTAATTAACGTTCATGGGATGTGAACTGAAGACTATCACAGTTCAGCCGAAAAACATGTGGATTAATACATGTATTACTCCCCCGCAGATCGTTTCTACGACTCCTCGACCAACTTCATATGAATACTGTTCAGACCCTTGAAGTATTTCACCGTCTTCACTTTGAGTTCCATTGTGGCATCCTCATCGCAAACAAAGATGGCGTTCTTGTGCATCTGGAAGGCGGAGACTGTAAACATGTGACTAACTCCGCCCTCTATTGCCTTGTGAAGGGCGTAGGCTTTGTGTGCTCCAGTAATGAGAATCATTACCTGAAAATAATACAAGGAATATCAAGATAATTATATGACCAGTACTTTTTCACCTTTTTACAGAAAATAATTTTAACTAAAATGAGACGATATGATTTTATCAAAAATTGTTGAGTAATTCATTTAATGAATTCTATAAGGCATTTACACAACTTTTTAAACCTAGTGCAGAATCCAATATAGCTTTTGCAGCTGTATATGTGTCCATTAAAATCAGTATTGTACTCAACAATGTATGACCTCTTTATTTCACATCACTTATTTCTTAACATTTTGATAAAACTTAGTGTTTGTTGCAGATAATATCTTATTACAGTGGTACTTGATGATAGAGAATACAAGAGCACATTATGCGATGTTAACACCAGTCTGTCAAAATGACATTTTGTTACAACTTTTAACAAAAATAAAGAAGTGGCATAACTCCAGAAATATAGATTTTACAATTATACCCCTTGTCTTACAAATGCCTCTTGTCATGATAAGTAAGTGTTCATTATTTCATATTGGTGCCTTTAAAATTGTTCGAGAAATGGCCTAGATTTAAGTTTTTGCACAACAACAAGGACAATACTGCCTTGATCATAATAGCTTGACCTTTTCTTTGAAACAGACACGCTGTTTTATAGAAAAAGTTGAGCTAAATCATATCAAATAGTAAGAGAGATAACTTGTACAAGAATAATTAATGATATCATGCAAATTCTGGAAATTCATAAGGTGTAAAATAATGATAAGTATGTCTAGATTTGCTAAAATGCTCATGTTTTATTCTTTGTAAGAATAAATAAAGCAAAGTACTGTTTGATGAGCAGGCTATAAACTATGTACGGTAGAGTATAACTTACAACACCAAAATGTACTTACCTCTTTGGCATCCATAAACAGTTCCAACTCCCACTGTTAATGCTTTATTTGGCACCTGGGATATATCACCATCAAAGAATCTAGCATTGGCAATGATAGTTTCCTGAGCTAACGTCTTTATACGTGTACGTGAGACTAGACTGGACCCTGGCTCGTTGAAGGCAATGTGACCATCGGGACCAATTCCTTATTGAATATAAAATACAAAAATGTAATAAAAGCATTCTAAAGCATTCAAATGACCTTGGGACCAATTCCTTATTGAATATAAAATACAAAATTTAATAAAAAAAAAAAAAAAAAAAAAAAAAAAAAAATTCACTTCCTGTTTATTCACTGACGAAGAACATATTTGTTCGAAATCGATTTGAATATTAAAAAAAAATAACTGAATGTACGCGTGTGGTTGTTCTTTTTGGATTCATAAAATTTAATAAAAACATTCTAAAGCATTCAAATGCTGTAAATCAAATAAAATTTAACAAGAATCTCAAAATCATTACAAGTATTTTATGTATACATGTATTTGTATATCTTCAGATCTCATAAATAACACAATTATTATAAATTGTAGTAAATAATAAGACTTAATTATTCTTAATCATACATATATTATTATCTTTTTAACCTTAAAAAAAACAACTTAGTAAGCTGATTTGCCAGGGATAGCAATGCTCTATTTTATATGATTGGCTATCTCTCTTTTTCCACTCTTTCAAATTATACTGTTCAATTAAGTCAAATTTGCCATGTTACTTTTCATACTTTTGGTTCTAAACAAACAACTTTGGCCAACACTGTACAGAAATTGCTCAGGTAAATTTCCCAGCTCTGCCTTATAATTTCTTTTTAAAGCAAGACTGGTGTACTCACTGCCCCAGAAAGGATCCAAAGATCTTTTATCTGACAAGAGCACAAATCAGTGTAACAATAAACAGGTAACACATACCTCCAAGGAAAAGCTCTATTCCACCAGCCTCTTTTATCTGTTTCTCGTACTCCTCACATTCCTTCTCCAGATCTGGGGCATTCCCATCTAACAGATGAGCATTCTCTGGTAATATGTCTATATGCTTGAAAAAATTGTTAAACATGAACGAGTGATAACTTTCAGGGTGGTCCCTTGCCAGATCTGAAACAGAACAGAATTTACAAGTAAACTAAATTTTAGTTACTAAGTATTAAGTTTAAACATTATTTAAACTTGACTTATTGTTTTTTTAGTCTGCTAGTATATATATAGCTTTCATTTTGTTCAAGATATCAAGATGAACTTTAAGTGTTGAAATGTTCAGGTGTTTACCACTGGTTAGCAGTCAAAGAGATAAATCAAATGAGTTAGAACTAAGTTCTGACATTGTTGCATTCACTGCTAATATAGTATCAAGGATTACAAACTCTGATGAATACCTTAATACATGTATCAACAATTGTTGGGTAAAATCGTGATGGATCAAAAACCTCTCTCACTTCAGACACATTGACTGTTTTCATAATAAATGTACATGTACCTATTTCTAATAAATTTTTTGTCTCATGTAAGGGCATTGCCACTGAGAAGATGTTATTCTTTGAGAAAATACCAATATTGGGGCTGGCATACATGTTAATCTAATAGACATGATAGAGTCTGTAAAACTTTAAAGCACATACTGCAGTATTCGTCCATGTTGAATGTTTTAACATACTTGAAGGATAGGTTACCCGCCTTGTAGAATTCTATCAATTTTTTATATGTACCTAATGGTGTACTACCTGGAAAAAATGTAAAAACAATCTGTCTTATCATTAATCAAAGCCCTTTTATCTGTATGTAAACATGTATATAAAATAGCTTTCATTGATGTGGAAAATGATTCTTTTAACATTGGTTAATACAGAATTTATTTTAGTTTGATTGTGTAGAAAGCTATAAGCTTATAGACACACTTTCGAATCCGTTCCTGGAACCAAGCAGTACTGAGCAATGAGTGTAAGGAAACAATGACTTGCCCCCCACCGGGTTTGAACCCATGCAGCTAGCAACAATTAGATCACTAGTCTGACGTGTTAACCACTCGACCATGCCGCCAGTTTCTTTTAACATTAATACTTCATTCTGTATGTCTAACATTCCTCTGTATTTATCTTTTATATAACACAACAAATATACATGTATTATACCGGTATGTTAACATTTTTCTATGTGTTGTAAGTTACAACTGAAAAAGTAACATAACATTTTTCACCTTATAATAATTATAAATGTTGAAACGATGGTAAAACTTTGACAAAATATCATTTCATGTACATGTATATGGAAATTAGGTGTATGGTTATCACACCTTATATATACAAAAGTACTTGTATAATATTCATATAGTACATATAGAAGTGGATAAATCTTACAATTATACAAAAAGAATAACAAATAGTTAACAAATTATAAGTGAGAAATACATAAAATTTTCAAAAACCTGTTGGAAGACCAAGGGTAAAATATCTATCTGGTCCTGGTTTAAAGTCATGGATCTTACGTCGTATATATTTCGCTGCCCATTCGCTCACTCCATTTGATGTATCAAGAATAACTAACCGCATCTGAAATTGGAAACAGTTGATTTGATTTGCATGTTAAATTGACAATTAAAATTAATCTTTCATTTTCTTATATGTTTTTAATGACAATACGTTGCTAAATATTTAAACTGGGATTTTTCACTACAGAACGAGATATAAATTTTGAGTATGTTTTTGTAGAATAATGTACGGTTCCAGTTAAAATGCGCAGGAATATAACAACAAAGGCCAATAGGCCCAATGATTAATTTCCAAGCATTTAATTAAAAAACAAAATGGATCAAAATGGTGTAACAGTTCAGAACTGTTATGGTATTCCAAGGGTCCCGGATTTGAGTCCTGGTCAGGCTGCACATTTTTATCACCCTGTGACATATGGCGCCCAATGGGGGACCATGACTGAATATAGCTCAGTTTAAATTACATTGCTCTGTAACTCTGTGAAATTCGAGGACGAATTTCAATAAAGCAAGGGAGTATGTCACGGTTCAGAACTGTTCACTATTTAATGGAGAAGATGTGTAAGCAGCTGGATAGCTATATTGGTACAGTATTCCAAGGGTACCGGGTTCGAGTCTCGGTCAGGCTGCACATTTTTCTCACTTTGTGATAATGGAAAGAAGAGTTTACTTCATCCGAGATCTACATGGTACAATCCTACAATTAATTTCCGATTAATATGACTGGATGGCGCTAACAGTTAACAGTTTACAAGAAGCGAATTACATTAACAGATGAAGTTAATAGTAGAAGTTCAGAGTCCACAGTAAAAACATAAGCAGGGATAGGTTTCCACAACCGGTCTCTCAGAGAATATTCCGTGACAGGGGCTAAATCTGACCAAAAGGGATTTCCGAAGTATTACTGTCTATGGTAAAAGTGAGTAAGATTAGTTGTTAGGTCTAGGAAGGGGAATATATTTAGAAATTTAACTGCAACTGGTTGGCTTCTGATTACACATGGAGTATGAGCACATAAGAAGATGACAACCATTTGCTTTTTGGAAAATGTAATCGACAATAAGTTTTGATTGGAAGCATATTGACAAATCACTGTTACATTGCTTCAAAAGCTAAACAAACTGTAAATGGTTTGAAAGTTTTGTTTTTTCTCTCCTTTGTCCTCCCAACAGCTGATTGATGTCGTGAAAATAAATTAGTTGACAAACTTAAGATAACGTAAGAACATAAATCAAACTTAACTAGATAGTTAAAAGATATAATAATTGATTAAACGGTTACAAAATAATTTTTGAACGCATAGAAAAAAAAATATGTATGTCGTAAAGTTGCCGTAGACTTATTTGCGTTAAACATGGCGACTGCTGGAACGAAACTTATTTCGCGAACTTGTAAATTATGTAATTTTTTAATTGTAAGGCGTTGTTTGACAACTAAAACACATATTCCTCGATTAAAGAGTAATGCTAAATTAAAAGGACCATTTTTCAACTTTTCATTGTTAACTGGTTCTAATATCGAAACCACTAAAGCTATTTTCATTGGAACGACATTCGGCACCGGCTGTTATTTATTGCGTAATGGTTTACTTTTTGCATATAGTCAAGACGATGGACGTGGCAGTGATAACAGTGAGTACAGGTTTGGTGACTTTAACTAAATAAACCTTATTCCAGACGAATGTGCCCTTTTTGCTATTGTTTAATGCACATGAAAGCTCTATCAGATGATTGCATCAGACCCGAGTCTAGACTCTTATAAAGTATTAAAATAGGAAATTAGGCAAAGCCTATATGAATGGGGGAGTCATGTTTATAAAAAAATAGTTTTTCATTTTTCTTCATTTTCTGTTTTTTTAATGGTTTCATTCAGTATTTCATGCACCGATTCTGTTTTCAATGGGAAAACTTTAACAATTATTATTAAGTGATTGTTACGGAATACCGGTGCCTAACTAGAAATGACACTGAAAATTTCACTAGATTCACGAATTCGAAAACATTGCTAAACGCCTTTTTCCGGTACTTTCTGTACATAGCTCTGGGGAATTTACCTAATGGAGTGTAATAGCGAACTCAATGTTTTCGGCCTTTTTATACCCCCAAAAACGAAGTTTGGGGGGGGGGGTATATAGGAGTCACCCGGTGGTCGGTCGGTAGGTCGGTCCAGACGTCCGTTGCATTTTCCTTGTCTGGAGCATAACTTGAAGACTAATGGTTGGAATTCAATATAACTACATACAATGGTCAAGCACATTGAGAGGAAGTGCAGTGCACAAGAACCATAACTCTATCTTGACTAATTACAGAGTTATTGCCCTTTGTTACTTTTTCTTGTCCAGGGCATAACTTGAAAACTACTGGTTGGAATTCAAAACAACTTCAAACAATTGTCAAACACAATAAGGGGAAGTGCAGTGCACAAGAACCATTAACTCTATCTAAAGTAATTACAGAGTTATTGCCCTTTGTTACTTTTCCATTGCTTTCTTTTGTCCGGACCATAACTTGAAGACTAATGGTTGGAATTCATTATAACTTCATACAATGGTCAAGCACATTGAGAGGAAGTGCAGTGCACAAGAACCATAACTCAATCGTGACTAATTACAGAGTTATTGCCCTTTGTTACTTTTCCTTGTCCGGGGCATAACTTGAAAACTACTGGTTGGAATGAAAAACAACTTCATACAATTGTCAAACACAATAAGGGGAAGTGCAGTGCACAAGAACCATAACTCTATCTAAAGTAATTACAGAGTTATTGCCCTTTGTTACTTTTCCATTGCATTCTTTTGTCCGGACTATAACTTGAAGACTAATTGTTGGAACTCATTATAACTTCATACAATGGTCAAGCACATTGAGAGGAAGTGCAATGCTCAAGAACCATAACTCCATCTTGACTTATTACAGAGTTATTGCCCTTTGTTACTTTTCCTTGTCCAGGGCATAACTTGAAAACTACTGGTTGGAATTCAAAACAACTTCATACAATGGTCAAGCACAATAAGGGGAAGTGCAGTGCACAAGAACCATAACTCCATCTTGACTTTTTACAGAGTTATTGCCCTTTGTTACTTTTCCATTGCTTTTTTTGTCCGGAGCATAACTTGAAGACTAACGGTTGGAATTCAATATAACTTCATACAATAATCAAGCACATTGAGAGGAAGTGCAGTGCACAAGAACCATAACTCCATCTTCAGTATTTACAGAGTTATTGCCCTTTGTTACTTTTCCTTGTCCAGAGCATAACTTGAAAACTACTGTTTGGAATTCAATACAACTTCATACAGTTGTCAAGGACATTAAAAGGAAGTGCAGTGCACAAGAGCCAAAACTCCATTTTGACAAAATACAGAGTTACTTCCCTTTGATACTTTTCCTTGTCCGGAGCATAACTTAAAAGGTACTGGTTGGAATTCAAAACAACTTCATACAATGGTCAAGCACAATAAGAGGAAGTGCAGTGCACAAGAACTATAACTCCATCTTCAGTATTTATAGAGTTATTGCCCTTTGTTCCTTTTCCTTGTCTTTCTGGACTTATTACAGAGTAATTCAATAAAACTTCATTAATGGCCAACCACATTGAAAGAAAATGCAACATACAAGAACCACAACTATCTTTAATTGCCCACAACCATAACTCTATATTTCAATTCTTTTACAAGGTATTCTGTTACTAGTAACATCCTCATTTCTGAAGCAGTCTTGTGGGGGTATTAATCACATTTAGTGATAGTTCTAGTTTTAAATTAAACTGAAATGAAACAGTTATTTCTTTATAAGAAAATAATTAAATATCATTGCATGAATAATTCCATACAAAAAATAAAGTAAATATACAAGTTTACGCAGAAAATAACCTTATTTATTATGGAAGATTCCACTACGTCTGTTTGAATTTTATTGATTTTCATTATAAACAATTTATTATTTTGAATAATTTGCAATAGATATTAAACAAATATTGATAATTTTCAAAAACATCAATTTTTTTCACCCTAAACGGTTAAATAATAATTGAAAAATAGACATATCTCGTAACTGTGTTATGTACTTCATTTGGTGTAATTCCCCAGAGCTAAAACGGTAACGTACCGGAAAACGGTGTTTAGCTAGGTTTTCAAAAAGGTCAATAGGTAAAGAAATCTATATATGTTTTGATTGTTTTTTTTTGGTTTGATTTCCTTTTAAATATACACATGTTGTCTATAGCTGGGCAAGCCAAAGCCTGGGCCTACTTTTTATTCCCAGTCTTTGACTTCCAAGTATTATATGTCTCTGATCAGACTCTCTAGCTATGTCTTATATATTAGATGGGTTGACACTATTGGAAGATAGATTAAATTTCAGAAGTAACTAAATGTCTAAAAGAAAAAAAAACAACAACATAGTTTGTGCATTCTCTTATTCATTTCATTCATTTAATTAGACATATTCAGTAAGTATTTCTCAGATTTCAATAAATTTCAGCAATGAAAGTATTTAATTCAAAGATGAGCATAGTACATTTATTTTTAAGTTATAGAAAAAAATCACTATTTTAGTATGTAGTTAGTCTCATTCATCATTGTTGATATAACAATATTAACTGTATATTATTTTTCTTTTAAAGATGAAAGACTCTTGTTTGCTGTTAAAAATGGTGACAACTATGCCATTAGAAGGTAACTTAAACATTAAAATAAAGACATTCACTTTAAATTTGTGAAAGATCCTCCAATGATACAGATATTTAAATTCAAGAATAGAGAATTTTCTGTAATGTGTTTTATTTTTCTAAGCTTTCTTCATATTGTAAGAAAAAACTGCAACAAAAAAATTGAGACTTTAATTAAGATTTTTTCATTATACTTTTTCATTTCAATTGCAGTCTTATCAGCAGTGGTGTAGATGTTAACAGGAGACATGCATTAGGATGGACAGCTCTCCATGTGGCTGCTATTAACAAAAATGTTCAGTAAGAATATTGATATTTTCAGATTCTTTATCCTCCGTAATACAGATGATGGTTTTAAAATATTATTTGGACTGTTGTACTTGCTTTTAAAAGCATTTGCTTAACTTTATATAGTTTAAGTTAAGGTTTTTGTATGCAACATCATATCAGTTAAGCGTTAAAGGTATTCTCTTGATACTCCACATATTTTAAAGTCCCTTTACTCTAGTGAAGGTGTTTGCAGGCGATTATACACTTTTGTTAACTTTAAACAATGTCTTGCTAATGGTCAGGTTCTTTTTTCAAAATCACTAAATGTATTTTCTTAAAACCTCAAGTATCTTTAAGAATATGAGTGCAGGTAAATGACCAAGACACATAGCTTTATTTTCTCCCTTTGTATAAGTGCTTGCATTGTTAACTAGTATGAAGTAATGACTGTGGTGATCTTTAAAGGTTTGATTGAATTGTGTTATGTGAACAGTATCAATTTAATCATAATAATGTTTCATTCTGCTACATGTAATTATACAGGAAATAAAACAGTGAAATTAAATACAGTTTTAAATGGTTATAATTCAGAAGTTAGGAAATGTATTAATCCAACATTGCCCCTATAATGGATAATACTTAGTAAAATATATTATTGTCATTATGTATTAGCAACACTAATTTTATGACTGCTGAAAATGTGTCTTGCAAGTATTCATTTATATAACTTTTTTGATACCTGAGACAAAAGTTCTATTTCTATTGTCAAGATGAGTCTCAAAATTGTACTTTGTTTTGTACCTCATATTGGTTAATGATTTTTTTGTTAGAGTTTCATTATTTTCAGTTGTTACCAATGAGTGACAAAAATGATATTCTATTACAGCGCTGTAGAACAGCTGATAGCGGCCGGGGCCGACGTTAACCTAGGCGATGATTACAGCACCATTAATCAGGTGTCCCAGGAGAAACACATGCATGCAATGCACGGTATGTTGTAATAAAATGCCAGGAAATATGATACAATGTACTTAGTAACGAAAACAAATTTTGAAATTTTGTTAAATAATTTAGAAATTTTAAAACTTTAAAAAGGATAATAATAAATGTTTTGTAAGTACAGATTTACTTATAAGAAACATACATTGTTGTATCTCAACATGATATCATAACTAACAAGTACATATCGTGCCTCTCAATAAGGAATTGACAAATATTGAAAATAGCAAACTTTAGCTAATGTAGAGAAGGGGAAATAAAATGCAGTGAAGAGCTATTTACTTGGTGTAAGACAGAAATAAATTTCCTAATGGTTTATAATATCAGGACTTGAAATAAAGCTTGCATAATTTTTTTTATAAAGAAAGATAATGTTCATGAACAACTGGGATGACTCAATAAAGAATATACAAAAATGTATCAAAATGTGTATTATAAATACAATAATTTAAAAGCTTATAAATACCAATGTTCTGACTTATCATGGTTTATATTTTCAGTACATAGAAGTCGAGAGGAAGAATTTAGTCACAGATTACGTGCCAATGCCAACTATAAGGACTGCACAGCTTTACATTATGCTGCTCTCATGGATGCTGGAGATATTGTTAAAATCTTGCTTGATGCTGGTATAACTCTTTATTTACACATCATTGATTTTTCATTTCACTAACTCCTTGTATTGTCCAAAATATTGTATAAAAAATACTATTGAGTTCTAAGATGCCTACATTGTATTTTCATTGACATGAATTTGAGTGTTCAATTTAACACTTAATGAATCAACAGGACATGGTATTATTCTCTGACCTGTTTTTAAGTTGTAGAAGAATTTGTTTTAAATTGAACAATAATTCGTTAAAGCAACCTTCAGCTTTTATTTCCTGTTGGAAAAACAATTCAGTGTTGTTTTAAACTTAAAGTATTTCAGTAATTATATCTTGGAAAAGTGCATCATATCACTGTTATGCCTTCTTTAAAACAGTGTCCAGAGAGCTCTTAAAAGCGCATCAATGACAAAATCGTTTCTGAAAATATAAGATCGGGAAACAAATTGTCTACTTAAAGAAAGAGAGCGGACCGGTAATGTTTTATGTGTTTCGAGCTGTTCCTACAGTCAGGTTGTCATTGGTGATGCTGTCCAGAAACTTTAACGTTGGCCATTATTTTTTTTTAGGATGAACTAGTGTTACTGCATGCTCACAAAAATAGCTTACCCTTAACCTGCTGAAACAAAATTTATTAACCTTTACCACCAGTATAGTGCCTGATCGACTGCACTGTTTGCTGGCATACTTTAAATTTCATCTTGATATTCCCAAAATGACATTTTCTAAAATAGAAGCTGGTCAAGTAGATTTAAGAAATTCAGCAGACTAAGGGTTTAAGATTAGTGGATGAACTAATTTGAAGGTTTGCTTTTTTGAAGGAGCTGATCCCACCATAGAAAACAGTAATGGTCATAAACCAGAAATGTATACCACAAAACCAGAGATAAAACAATTAATAGCTAACAGTGAGAAAAAGGTAAGGGTCTCTTAGTCTTTATTATTTGACTCTTTAAAGGATGCAAGATTTTTAAAGCAATTTCCTACTCTGTGAAGTATCATTATTCATTTAATAGTTTTAAAAAAAATGTTAAAGAAGGTGAATAAAAATTTGTTTAATAAGCTGAATGTATTCAATGGAGATACCTTTATCCTGTCAAATAAAAACATAATTCTATTCCAAAGTTAAATTAGGTCCACTGTAAATTAACATAAAAATAAAGGATTGTGAGGAGACCACAATCATGCTTTTCCAAAATTAAGTTTGTTGGGATTGAACGAGCACTGAACAATTAGTATGTTAACATAATAATACAAATCTCAATTTGCTTGAATAGAAAAGTTTAATTTAACCCTTAAAATAATATATCCCATGTCAATGAGGTAATTTGATACTTGGTTGATAAATTGTGTGTTTGAGCCCATCATCAAGTTTATTGATGGAAGTGCCCTTTTTAGCTGATGTTAACCCATGTTAATCTTCTGTCTATCTGTGTAATAGAATTGCCCTGCTTTGAATTTGGAACATCTCCTTCAAAGTTTAAGGGATTATAATATCAAAACAAAAGAATAGAGCTACCAACACTAATTCTATAGAGCCTGGTTAGACTGCACAGAGTTGCAGAGTTGCAGGCTGGCCTTGCTCTTTACTGGTTACAAAGGTTAATCACAACCTGCAAGAAAAGGATTTACTATAATGAAGTGAACATATAGACTATCAGTATATATATTTATACGAGGGATGATATTTTTACTGTTACCCACAAACCCATGTGTTATTTATTTTATTACCCCGAACAAATACTGTGATGATCTCAATTTGGCAACTAAATCTAACTGTAACAAAAATAAGCCACGAGAAGCAATAACTAAACTGTCCTTACCTTGCAAGTTTTAAGTGCACTGTAGGCCTACTTGAGAAGCTGTTTTTCTTTTATTCTTTAGGCAAGTGATGATATCTACCAGTCATAAACATAAAATAAGCTGTGTTTTATTCAGAAAACAAAACACTAACCCATTTATAAGGTTATGATCTGTGAAATCTGATCCTTCTGCATCCAGAATATTCTTCGCATGGTTTTTGACAAAGTGCATTTAGAAAATAACGATGATATCCTACAGATGTCTGTCCTCCAACTCTATCTGTAACGTTTCACTGGTTAAAATTGTTAAATTATCCTTTGTTGCATGCTTTAATTGTCTGCATGTTCCAGTTTGACACAAAATTATTTACATTACAATTACTTCCGTTGAAAACGAATGTTTCCTGTTGACTATTCAACAAAAAGATATTTAATACGCAAAAGGGACTCTAGGGTGCAAAGAACTAAATTTTATCAGAGTAATAGTTACTTCGGCGATGCCCTATCGTCGAAAATAAGAATGAATCGAGAAAAAAATGGCGGCCATTTTATTTCATTTTATTTAGAAAAAAGACCACGTGACCAGATTTTATACTGTTAAAAAATACTGTTACCTATGTAACAGTACAAAATTCGTAGTCATGTGGTACACTTGCATTAACAGTAAGAATAACTCCCAGAGGCCTATGGGAAATAAGCATTACGAAAAAAGTGAGGGGTGATAATATACATGTATGCTATATCAATTTAAATTGTTACTTATTCATTACACTTGCTTGAATATGCTATATAAATTTAAATTGAGACTAATTCCCTACATTTGCTTGCATTAGTTAATCACTACTTTAATACATGTTTACAGTTTAAAGCTGAGAAGGATAAGCTGGCAGCGGAGGAGAGAAGACGATATCCTCTAGAACAGAGGTTGAAGGAACATATTATAGGACAAGAGGGTGCCATCAATATGGTCGCCTCAGGTATGTCTATATTACCTTAATGTTAAATTTAAACTTAACTTGACACGCTTATTACTTAAAAGGTGAAATTTAGGAAGAATCCAAAAATTAAAAGATCCATAAAATAGAACTATAACGGCATGAAATATACATTGAACAATGATTGTTTAAGAAATTTGTCATAATTTTTCCTAAAAATTTTGAGTAATTGATTCAACAATGCTTTTTATCACACACCCGTGCCGATTTTGCGACTCCGTAAAAATGGTATTGCACGGTCGTGCATATATTTTGACGTGACGTCATTAGCGTTATACAAACATAGTGTAAAGACTTGCTGAATGTTGGCGTTATACTATAGGCGCGTCAATGAAAATGACTCTTATTTCACTTTAAACGGTCTTTATTTTGGGTATGTGATAAATAGAATATTAAATTCGTGTAAGTTCATTACTGAATTTATTGCACTCGTTGAATAAAATAATATTATGCTCGCCACAGGCTCGCATAATATAATTTTATTCAACTCGTGCAATAAATTCAGTATTGAACTTACACTCATTCAATATCCTCTATAAATGTAATAGAAATGTCAAGAATATTATTTCTAAGTTTTAATCAGTTAAGTGTAAATTAAGACCTTCCAAGAACTAAGCAGAATTTTAAAAATTTATTCAAAATCCTAATTTTCCATTGTTCTCGGAGAATCCTTGTGATAGAGTTGTTTTTACATTTGCTAAGCTTGCTTTAAGTAAGGATTTATCATGTTATCTATATATATAGCGATCAGAAGAAAAGAGAATGGTTGGTATGATGAGGACCACCCACTTGTATTCTTGTTTCTCGGATCCTCTGGTATAGGTATGTATCATAGAGACATTCAGTACATTAATATAGTTAAGCTGGTTTAAATTGTATTTTAGTTAACATTGACGGGCACCTGCGCGAAGCATTTCCCTTATTTTTAAAGCAAAAAGGTACCAAGTGACATTTTAATGTTTTCGAGAAAATCACGTTTAAAGATTTGAAGTTCCATATCAAATCAGGTTTTTACAACATGGGAAAGAAACTTCACATATATTTAGATAATATTTGAATGTACATGCTCAAAAAGTTGGAAATCTTATATATTACTAATTAGTGATAATTAATCAATTAAAGGAAATGGTTCCTTTTTGCACTAATAAATATTTTGTCCGACAAATGCAAGAAGGTACCATATGAACGCTTGGCCCCTTTTTGCATTGTATGATTTTTAACATTTGCTGTCGAATATATCAAAAAAGGTACCATATGGCAGTTGGCACCTTTTTGTCCCAATAATATTAACATTAAGCATCATTTGGTTACAATTTTATTCTACAATGATACAAATAATAATATTCTTGTGTTTTCAGTAAATGTCTGATACAAATATCACACTTCATGTTTTGAAAGTCTTCCTCTGTGATCAATCTCAATGCCTATGTCAAAATCTCTTACATTATTAGTCAAAATCAGAATCATTCTCATTGTACAGCTTTGCTGCTTGGCAGGCGTTACAGGTGTTTTCATTGTACAGCTTTGCTGCTTGGCAGGCATTACAGGTGTTTTCATTGTACAGCTTTGCTGCTTGGCAGGCGTTACAGGTGTTTTCATTGTACAGCTTTGCTGCTTGGCAGGTGCTACTGGTGTTTTCATTGTACAGCTTTGCTGCTTGGCAGGCATTACAGGTGTTTTCATTGTACAGCTTTGCTGCTTGGCAGGCGTTACAGGTGTTTTCATTGTACAGCTTTGCTGCTTGGCAGGCGTTACAGGTGTTTTCATTGTACAGCTTTGCTGCTTGGCAGGCGTTACAGGTGTTTTCATTGTACAGCTTTGCTGCTTGGCAGGTGCTACTGGTGTTTTCATTGTACAGCTTTGCATGCTTGGCAGGTGCTACTGTTGTTTTCATTGTACAGCTTTGCTGCTTGGCAGGCGTTACAGGTGTTTTCATTGTACAGCTTTGCTGCTTGGCAGGCGTTACAGGTGTTTTCATTGTACAGCTTTGCTGCTTGGCAGGCATTACAGGTGTTTTCATTGTACAGCTTTGCTGCTTGGCAGGCGTTACAGGTGTTTTCATTGTACAGCTTTGCTGCTTGGCAGGCGTTACAGGTGTTTTCATTGTACAGCTTTGCTGCTTGGCAGGTGCTACTGGTGTTTTCATTGTACAGCTTTGCTGCTTGGCAGGCGTTACAGGTGTTTTCATTGTACAGCTTTGCTGCTTGGCAGGCGTTACAGGTGTTTTCATTGTACAGCTTTGCTGCTTGGCAGGCGTTACAGGTGTTTTCATTGTACAGCTTTGCTGCTTGGCAGGCGTTACAGGTGTTTTTCATTGTACAGCTTTGCTGCTTGGCAGGCGTTACAGGTGTTTTCATTGTACAGCTTTGCTGCTTGGCAGGCGTTACAGGTGTTTTCATTGTACAGCTTTGCTGCTTGGCAGGCGTTACAGGTGTTTTCATTGTACAGCTTTGCTGCTTGGCAGGCGTTACAGGTGTTTTCATTGTAGAGCTTTGCTGCATAGCAGGTGCTACTGGTGTTTTCATTGTACAGCTTTGCTGCTTGGCAGGCGTAAAAGGTGTTTTCATTGTACAGCTTTGCTGCTTGGCAGGCGTAACAGGTGTTTTCATTGTACAGCTTTGCTGCTTGGCAGGCGTTACAGGTGTTTTCATTGTACAGCTTTGCTGCTTGGCAGGCGTTACAGGTGTTTTTCATTGTACAGGCTTTGCTGCTTGGCAGGCGTTACAGGTGTTTTCATTGTACAGCTTTGCTGCTTGGCAGGCGTTACAGGTGTTTTCATTGTACAGCTTTGCTGCTTGGCAGGCGTTACAGGTGTTTTCATTGTACAGCTTTGCTGCTTGGCAGGCGTTACAGGTGTTTTCATTGTAGAGCTTTGCTGCATAGCAGGTGCTACTGGTGTTTTCATTGTACAGCTTTGCTGCTTGGCAGGCGTAAAAGGTGTTTTCATTGTACAGCTTTGCTGCTTGGCAGGCGTAAAAGGTGTTTTCATTGTACAGCTTTGCTGCTTGGCAGGTGTTACAGGTGTTTTCATTGTACAGCTTTGCTGCTTGGCAGGCGTTACAGGTGTTTTCATTGTACAGCTTTTGCTGCTTGGCAGGCGTAACAGGTGTTTTCATTGTACAGCTTTGCTGCTTGGCAGGCGTTACAGGTGTTTTCATTGTACAGCTTTGCTGCTTGGCAGGCGTAACAGGTGTTTTCATTGTACAGCTTTGCTGCTTGGCAGGCGTTACAGGTGTTTTCATTGTAGAGCTTTGCTGCTTGGCAGGCGTAACAGGTGTTTTCATTGTACAGCTTTGCTGCTTGGCAGGCGTTACAGGTGTTTTCATTGTAGAGCTTTGCTGCTTGGCAGGCGTTACAGGTGTTTTCATTGTAGAGCTTTGCTGCATGGCAGGTGCTACTGGTGTTTTCATTGTACAGCTTTGCTGCTTGGCAGGCGTTACAGGTGTTTTCATTGTAGAGCTTTGCTGCATGGCAGGTGCTACTGGTGTTTCATTGTACAGCTTTGCTGCTTGGCAGGCGTTACAGGTGTTTTCATTGTACAGCTTTGCTGCTTGGCAGGCGTTACAGGTGTTCTCATTGTAGAGCTTTGCTGCTTGGCAGGCGTTACAGGTGTTTTCATTGTAGAGCTTTGCTGCATGGCAGGTGCTACTGGTGTTTTCATTGTACAGCTTTGCTGCTTGGCAGGCGTTACAGGTGTTTTCATTGTACAGCTTTGCTGCATGGCAGGCGTTACAGGTGTTTTCATTGTAGAGCTTTGCTGCATAGCAGGTGCTACTGGTGTTTTCATTGTACAGCTTTGCTGCTTGGCAGGCGTTACAGGTGTTTTCATTGTACAGCTTTGCTGCTTGGCAGGCGTTACAGGTGTTTTCATTGTAGAGCTTTGCTGCATGGCAGGTGCTACTGGTGTTTTCATTGTACAGCTTTGCTGCTTGGCAGGCGTTACAGGTGCTTTCATTGTACAGCTTTGCTGCTTGGCATTTTCCGGTTCAATGATTTTTGTCAGAGTTATGGCCCTTTAATAATTTTTATTTTTGAAGTTTGTCCGGACTACTTCTCTTATACCACTTATGCAATTTCAATGAAACTTTACAGTATTGATCTGTAGCTCAAGTCCTTGCGCATAATGCACGGGTTTTCCGGTTGAATGATTTTTGGCCGAGTTATGGCCCTTTGATAAAAAGGTCTTTTTTTCTGTGTGTTGCCAGATACGCAAAAGCTTGTCCGGACTACTCCTCATAAACTACTGGTGCAATTTTATCCAAACTTTACAGGAATGATCAGTACCAAGTTTAGTTGTGCACTGTCCGTCTGTCTGTCTGTCTGTCACAAAATTTGTCCCAACATGAAATTGGCCATCATGAGGCGACACATGTGATTACTGATCGCTCTTGTTGTCTCATAAGGAACATACTGTCAAGTTGTGTAGCAACAGAGTTTTCTTGAATAGTAAAGCTCCCTCACTAATGAGCAAGGGGTTGTTACAACGGCTTTGAGATCAAAACATGCAACGTAAACGAATGTGTCACCCATTGCTCCAACTTTATTTTAAATCTTTTCTTCTTGTGAATTTTCTTTTGTTTTGATGTTCAATATATTGTTCCTTGATGTGCCTACTGCCTTCCTGTATATATGTTGTTTTTATTTCTTTCATTTCACATTCAATAGTTTACAGTGTCCACATCTTTTTAATGTTTAAGTCATAGTCATGAGATAGGTATTGTTTCTTTCAGTAATTTTTCTTGTATAATGATATTTTATTTTAGGAAATTACTCTTTATGCTGTTTCACCAATTTAACTGTATCATAATCTAGTTTATTTGCAGATGTACGCTTCCCTGGCATGCTTCTCCTTCCAAATAACCCATGTATCTTGTTGGCAAGAGTACAGTCAATTACTTTTCTTTTTACCTCCACATTTTTGTGAAGAAGTCATTTATACACTATCATTATCTTCGCACTGTTATCATTCCTCAATTCTAAACAGAAACAATACTCTGGGATTTATTGTTATATTTGATGTCCTTAGCAACATCTAGATTGTGTTTTCATTAAAAAGCTAAAAGGTTCCAAGCAAACAATTTAATATATAAAATAATCTTAAGGGTCGTAGATTCTTTGTGTGCAGAAAGGGACCATGTGACACATGGTTCCTTTTTGCATTTAAAAAAATGCTCAAAACATATATAGTCATACAATGCAAAAAGGTACTATGTGACACTTGGTACCTTTTTGCTCAAACTGATATGCATATGGTACCTTTTTGCATTACTAAATGGGAAAATATTGACATAGTACCTTTTTACATAACCTTATATGTCTGTAAATAAACATGATACTATAGAGATATTTCTACAGATTTAAGATAACATTAAAACATAATGAAAAATGTTAAAAAGTCATTTTTGGCCAAAGTGTGGCTTGGTACCTTTTTGCTTTAATGGGGCGAATTATGATCTAATAAAAAGCATTTTCCAGCAAACTTATTTGTAAAAAAGAGGTTCATTTTACCAGCAAATTTATCTGTAAAAAAGAGGTTCTGAGAGTAACGGAAACTAAAATAGGCATGCTGTTTTTATTTATTTATCATAATAAGACAAATCCGTTTAAACATTATTTTATTTATGAAATTTCAGGTAAAACAGAACTTGCGAAACAAGTAGCAAACTACATGCATAAAGATTTGAAAAAGGTAAATGCATGATAACTATGTGTATGCTATGTCTTTACCCAATTAAAACAGATATAATTGAACATATATCTGATAACTGATTCATAATCTGTATTATACCTTGTAATATTATGATATTGTCATTCATATTAAAATTGTTAGATATTGGTATGTACTTAGACTCTATATAATGTACCAGTGCTTTCACAAGCAGTACTTTTATTTTCCATGATTCATTTGAAGCAGTAGTGATATGTAAATTACAATAGATGTACTGTCAACCACATCATCCTGGAGAAACATGTGATTAACCAATACTGGAACTGAAAAATACTATGTTCATACATATATTCATCAAACATTCTGCTGTGCAATTTAATACAATGTTTAATGGGCAACAGTGGCTGAGTGGTTTAAGGTTGTTGACTTCAAACCACTTGCCCCTCACAGCTGTCTGTGGAAATCCGGACACAGATTATAATTTCTTTTGTGTTAGGAAGTCATCCAGCTAGCTTACGGAATATCAGTGGTTCTACTCTGGTGCCCGTATTTGTGCACAGAAGAGTACCTGAGGTCTTCCTTTAACAGTAAAGATAGAAAGTTGCCATATGATCCATAATGTGTGATAGAGACATAAAACCCAACTAAAAACAATTTAACACAACGTTTTTGGTTATAATATTTTTAAAGATGTGTTACAGTCAGATTATAGTCACAAAATTTAACAATTTGTTCTGGCATTCACACTTTCACTTAAACTAAACTTTATCAATGAATTATTGTATTAGCTATTTTATTATGTTGATTTAATCATTTCAGGGATTTATCCGACTTGACATGTCTGAATACCAACAGAAACATGAGGTAAAACAGTTGTTGAATAATATAAGTTTATTTTTAAAAACTGTTTGATACAGAGTTATTGGCCACTTTTTAGTCATTCCCATTCCAATTTTATAATGGACACAAATTATCTGATTTAACTCTTGGCTATACAAAAGAAGGCAGATTATCGGTTACTTGCTTCAGTTAACATGTATAAAACTTGAGCCATATTGTTATATGTCATTCTCTGCCAATCAAACGAGTCAAGGTGTGATATCATGTGACCACGAAATACTTAATTTAATATAAACATCTTAATTACTGTGGTTAATGGTTGGTTTGGACCTCAATATGTAGTTTCTTGTAACCAATGATACACTATAAGTGAGTATGCTAAAAACGAAGATTTTTATATTAGATCGGGACCTAGTGAAAGTGTTTCTTATAACCAAGTTAATGCTGTATCCCAGTTTGCTATAGGTGAGTTCCACTGTATAGCTTTATACTGTTGAATGTTAATTAAAATAGGATCTCAAAGTGAGTCTGTATATATAACTATGATATTTCAGGTATCAAAGTTTATTGGGTCACCACCAGGTTATGTTGGACATGATGAAGGGGGACAACTCACAAAATTGTTGAAAGAAAATCCAAAAGCTGTTGTTTTGTTTGATGAAGTGGACAAGGCACATACTGATGTCCTGACCATTATGTTACAACTGTTTGATGAGGTAAAGTTAGCATCATGTTACATCCATTTGATGTGGTACAGTAACCATCATGTTAAAACCTTTTTATATGGTATAGTACCTGTCATGTTACAACTTCAATGTCATAAAGTAAGCATCATACTACAACTGTTTAGTGAGATAAAGTGAGTATTATTTTACAATTGGTTGATGATGTATAGTAAATCCCATGTTACAACTTGTTAATTCCGTATTACAACCATCATGATGTTACAGGTACTGTTACCATCATGTTACAACTGCCTTTTGAGTTCTTGTAACCATCATGTTACAACTTCTTAATGAGGTCTTGTCACCATCATGTTACAACTTCTTAATGAGGTCTTGTCACGATCATGTTACAACTTCTCAAAGAGATGTTATAACCATCATGTTACAACTTCCTAATGAGTTCTTGTAACCATCATGTTGCAACTTCTTAATGAGATCTTGTAACCATCATGTTACAACTTCTTAATGAGTTCTTGTTACCATCTTGTTACAACTTTCTAATGAGGTCTTATAACCATCATGTTACAACTTCTTAATGAGGTCTTATAACCATCATGTTGCAACTTCTTAATGAGGTCTTATAACCATCATGTTACAACTTCTCAATGAGATGTTATAACCATCATGTTACAACTTCTTAATGAGGTCTTGTCACCATCATGTTACAACTTCTCAATGAGATGTTATAACCATCATGTTACAACTTCTTAATGAGTTCTTGTAACCATCATGTTACAACTTCTTAATGACGTCTGATAACCATCATGTTACATCTTCTTAATGAGTTCTTGTAACCATCTTGTTACAACTTTCTAATGAGGTCTTATAACCATCATGTTACAACTGCTTAATGAGGTCTTATAAACATCATGTTGCAACTTCTTAATGAGGTCTTATAACCATCATGTTGCAACTTCTTAATGAGGTCTGATAACCATCATGTTGCAACTTCTTAATGAGGTGTTGTAACCATCATGTTGCAACTTCTTAATGAGGTGTTGTAACCATCATGTTGCAACTTCTTAATGAGGTGTTATAACCATCATGTTGCAACTTCTTAATGAGGTCTTGTAACCATCATGTTACATCTTCTTAATGAGGTTTTGTAACCATCATGTTGCAACTTCTTAATGAGGTTTTGTAACCATCATGTTGCAACTTCTTAATGAGTTCTTGCAACCATCATGTTACAACTTCTTAATGAGTTCTTGTAACCATCTTGTTACAACTTCTTAATGACGTCTGATAACCATCATGTTACAACTTTTTAATGAGTTCTTGTAACCATCATGTTACAACTTCTTAATGAGGTCTTGTAACCATCATGTTACAACTTCTTAATGAGGTCTTGTAACCATCATGTTACAACTTCTTAATGAGGTCTTGTAACCATCATGTTGCAACTTCTAAATGAGGTCTTGTAACCATCATGTTGCAACTACTTAATGAGGTCTGATAACCATTATGTTACAACTTCTTAATGAGGTCTTGTAACCATCATGTTACAACTTCTTAATGAGGTCTGATAACCATCATGTTACAACTTCTTAATGAGGTCTTGTAACCATCATGTTGCAACTTCTTAATGAGTTCTTGTAACCATCATGTTACAACTTCTTAATGAGGTCTTATCACCATCATGTTACATCTTCTTAATGAGTTCTTGTAATCATCATGTTGCAACTTCTTAATGAGGTCTTATAACCATCATTTTATACCTGCCTAAAACTTTGATTTTTAGAACATATTTTATTTCATTTTGATAGGGTAGACTAACAGATGGTAAAGGAAAAACAATAGAATGTAAGGATGCCATTTTTATTATGACATCAAACTTAGCACAAGATGAGATAGCAGCACATGGATTAGAACTTCGTAAAGAAGCTGAGCAAGTCTCAAAACAGAGGAAAGCTGGAAAACTTGGTTAGTACCATATTTCTTTGTTCTGCAAGCTGAAAGTTACAGTAAAACCTTTTACTGAAGACTACATATGCACAAAAGTCACTTTCTGTTTATAACATAATCTTATTACATTTCAAGTTTAACCCAGTTAATATATATGCTATTTTAAAATGTTATATATGTTTGTTACTAAATCTGGAATATTTTCCATATAATATTTAGTTAATCAAGTCAGATTTAACATAACTGCTTACTACATTAACACAGTGATATTTCTATGTATAACTAGCTAAAGATTATGTTGAAATTTAGTGATGTCAATTTTGGCATCATCACAATAAAAGTAGTAATCTGATACATTTATCTCCAATGTTTTGTCTTTTGAATATCTAATATAACAAGTTGACTGTTGTAGTTGCTGAAAATCAAAACTGCTACATATATAATCATTTACCTCACAATTTAACTTTATTTACGCATCTGAAACTCCAATACCCTGCTTCGTGTGAATAAATGAGTGTCTCTGCTTTTAATTTTGCATATCCCATAAGCAGGATTTTTTTTTCAATTTTCAACTTTAAAATAAGATAAAACTTGGATCAACAAATTGTATAGTGTCTGATCAAACTGCTTAGATGATCAAGGTTGTTTTGATCTGTACTGGTGACATAGGTCAGTTATCATTGTAGTTATCATTCTACTGGTTTATTATCATACCATGAATATATAAAATGGTGTTATTTTCAGATGATTTGAACAATGATGAAGGTATCACAGTTTCTCGGAGCTTTAAAGACTTCATTGTACGACCTATATTGAAGGTAAGCTAAGTGTTTAACAGTTATAGTTATATTTTTAGCTTGACTTTTCAAAGAATACGGAGAGATATTGTACTCAACCTGGCATCAGTGTCACACTTTGGTCAAGTTTTTGCGTGCAAGTTGGTTTTTTCAAAACTACTGTAGGGAATGGGTTTAAACTTCACAAACTTATTTAAGAGCATGAAAGGTACCTGTCCAAGGCACATAACTCTAACATGGATTTTGACAAAATTATGGCATTTATGTACCTTAAAAATTTTTATATTATCCAGGCTCTTGTTTTATTATCAAGTACTGAGAAAAGTGGAGCATGCTGTTCTACTGCTAGGTTTTGTTAGTTTGAGATGTTTGTTTGTTATCATCTGATATTTTAATAATAGTAAGGAATTTGATAACAATGTGATAGCTTTATTTTGAAAAACATAGCAAAAATCTTTATTTGAACAAAATCGTACTGGTGATTATTCTTACAAGTTGTTCAATAAATGCAGAAATAAAATTTATAATCTATTAAAATGTTACGGCCTCAATCGCTTAACTTTCACCAGACTTTAAATTACTAAGATTTTACAGCTTGTTCAAATCCAGTTATTGAAGAGAACTTTATTTCATTTAATGAACTTATGATCATATACATTACTACAAATAATATACTCCTTCCTTACATCAGACAGAAATATAACTTATATTCTCTATTTTTCCAGAGACATTTTCGAAGAGATGAGTTTCTTGGCAGGATCAATGAATTTGTATACTTCTTACCGTTCTCTAGGTCAGAATTAAGCAAACTGGTTATCAAGGAACTCAAATTCTGGGCAGAAAGGGTATGATTTACATTCTGTTTCTCTTATTATATTGAAGATATACTATGCTCAAATTCAATATTAGAGAATATTGATAATTTCTACACAGTCTCTTTGTAAATATAAAATATAATGTTTTAACTTCTTACATTGTAGATATGTTATGTTTAAAATGCTACATACTATAGGTCATTAAAAAACTGGCAGGTTTTTTGAACAAAATACCCAACTTTACTTGACTTCTTATATGGAATGCAGCTTCCCATACATAGTTTTATTCATTCTTTTATTCAAATTAGACATATTCAGTAGGAATTTCATAGATTTCTGAATTGTGATTAAAATATTCTACTCAAGGATGAGCATAGTATATCTTTAATGTAAATTGTCTATATTTTGTGCAAGTAATACAATTGTATAACATAATTTATATTATATGAAGTTGTAAGGGTAAGGGAAGTGTGGATTCCAAGTGTCAGTAGAAAAAATATTCTAAGTCTGAAAATAGATGTGATGCAAGGGTCAGGTTAAGTTGTGATTATCAAAAATTTGACAACAGTTGGAGGTAAGATCATCCAAGAGTCAGGGGAGTTTTTATGCCACTGCAGCATCTGCGATGCGGTGGCATATAGCGATTCATCTGTGTGTATGTGTGTTTGTGTGTGTTATATAGATTATATAGTGAACTTAAAAAATCTTCTTGTGAAAAACCACTAGTCCAATTTCAACCAAACTTGGCAGGATTGTTCCTTGGGTGAAGGGCTTCCAAAGTTGTTCAAAGAATTTCATTCCATGCAGAAATCTGGTTGCCATGGCAACCAAAAGGAATTATAAGAATAAATTTAAAAAATCTTCTTGTAAAGACCCAAAAGGCCTAGAGCTTAGATATTTTACATAAGGCATTGTCTGGTAGACCTCTAACAAGATTGTTCAAATTATAGCCCTGGGGTCAAAATTTGCCCCGCCCCGGGGGTCATTGATTTTGACTATATACATATAGTAAAACTTAAATACCTTCTTGTAAAAACCCAAAAGGCCTAGAGCTTAGATATTTTGCATAAGGCATCATCTGGTAGACCCTTACCAAGATTGTTCAAATTATAGCCCTTGGGTCAAAATCGGCCCCACCCCAGGGTCATTGATTTTCGCTATATGTACATATAGTAAAAACTTAAAAGATCCAAAAGGCCTAGAGCTTAGATATTTTGCATAAGGCATTGTCTGGTAGACTTCTACCCAGATTGTTCAAATTATAGCCCTGGGGTCAAAATTGGCCCCACCCCAGGGGTCATTGGTTTTCCTTATATGTATATAGTAAAAATTTAAAAAAAATTCATCTAGCAATTGACAAATGCTAGAGGTTAGATATTTTGCATGAAACATTGTGTTGTAAACCTCTAGCAAGACTGTTCAAATTATAGCCCTGGGGTCAAAATTGCCCCCGCCCTGGGGGTCATTGATTTCAATATATACATATAGTAAAAAATAAAAAAATCTTATTGTCTGAAGGTACAAGGCATAGAGCTTTAATATTTGTTAAATAATATCATCTAAAGGTACTCTACCAAAGTTGTTCAAATTTTGCCTCTTGTGTAAAAATTAGCCCCGCCCCTGGGAGCCATAGGTTTATCTTATATGTATATAGTTAAAACTTAAAAAATCATCTTCTCTAAATTTACAAAGGAAAGAGTTAAGATATTTTGCATGAACATTGTGTAGTGAACCTCTAGCAAGATTGTTCAAATTATAGCCCTGGGGTCAAAATTGGTTCTGCCCCGGGGGTCATTGATTTTCATTATGTACATAGATACTTTCTTGTCCTTTGATGTACAGCAATGACATTTTGACCATGTAATCAGTTTTAGTTGTAAAATTGAACTTTGACCTAGAATTTGATGATGTGACCTACTTTCTTGTCCTTTGATGTACAGCTATGAAATTTGAACCATGCGGTGGCATAGCATTTTTCTCAAATGCAGTCTTGTTTTAAAGATGTTCTTTAGAATCAGGCCATGTTCACAAGGGTCAAGATCAGGATCAAATTTAAAAACTCTATAATTCCCCAATGATTATGCTCATAGATTAAATATTTAAAATATTATTGATAAAAATCTAGACTTGAATAAGCATGTTTATGAAATTTTAGAATAAATTTATTATTATTGTTGCAAGATATGGGCATTTTACAGTGGATCCATTTATTGATCTTGATCCTAAAAAGAATCCTTATTTTTGTATTTATTTGTTATTCGATGATTTTATCCCAATATTCTATGATTTTATCCCAAAATAGTTTGATTTCATTGCAAAACAGCATTTTTTTACATATGATATCGAACAAGTACCATTTATTTCTAGCAAAATATCAGTTAAAGTGTTATGAAACAATGAAAATAAAATCAGGATCACTTAATCCTGATTGTGATCTTTTCTTAGTGGACACGGGGGCCCAGTGTTCAAGTGAAACTTTTAACTAATAAAGTTAAAAGTACATGTATGTATTTTCGCATGTAAAAAGGAAAAGTTGAGAAACAAAATCAAAGGTGATTAGAATAATTGTCTTGCATGTTGAAATTTTAACCCTTTTACCTGCTGGAATTGAAAGAAATAAATCTTTGTAATAAGTATAGACCCAGTCCAGTCTTCACATCAATGCAATCTCACCAGGTTGTATACAGCTCAGTTTTGGAATTTTGATATTGAAATCCCTTAAATCTCTAATGGACTGTTCCAAATTCAAAGAAGGGCAAAACCATTACACTCATTCAGCAAGTATAGGGTTAAACTGAAATATTTATGTACTGTACTGCAGGCTGAGAAGAAACATGGGATGGAGTTAATTTGGGATCATGAAGTTGTTGATGCATTAGCTGATGGTTATGATGTACATTATGGGGCAAGATCTTTGAAATATGAGGTAAGTTTTTTTTGTTTAGGGAAAAAGATATCAATTCTGAGTGCGTTATTGTAGAATAATGCATGGTTTGAGTTCAAATCCATAATAATATAACTACGAAGGCCAATAGGTTGATTTATCTCTTTATTAGTCCCCTACCGGTTTACCGGAGGGGACTTTAGGTTTACCGTCCGTCTGTCCGTCCGTCCGTCTGTCCGTCCGTCTGTCTGTCAGTCCGTCAGTCCGTCCGTCCACAAAACTGGATCCCGCGATAACTTGAAAAGTACTGAAAATATTTTTATGAAACTTGATATATGGATAGATGGCAGTATGGAGATTATGCACGTCTTTTTCTTTTCTTCCTATGTTGAAAATTCTGGTTGCTATGGCAACAAATAGGCTGAAAATATGGCAAATTTTACACATAAACTGGATCCAGTGATAACGCAAAAAGTACTGGAAATATTTTTATGAAACTTGATATATGGATAGATGGCAGTATGGAGATTATGCACGTCTTTTTCTTTTCTTCCTATGTTGAAAATTCTGGTTGCTATGGCAACAAATAGACTGAAAATATGGCAATTTTTACACATAAACTGGATCCAGTGTTAACGCAAAAAGTAATAGAAATATTTTTATGAAACTTGTAATATGTGTAGATGGCAGTCTGGAGATTATACACGTCTTTTTCTTTTCTTCCTATGTTGAAAATTCTGGTTGCTATGGCAACACATAGACTGAAAATATGGCAAATTTTACACATAAACTGAATCCAGTGATAACTCAAAAAGTACTGGAAATATTTTTATGAAACTTGACATATGGGTAGATGGCAGTCTTGAGATTATGCATGTCTTATCTGTTCTTCCTATTTTGAAAAAATATTGGTTGCCTTGGCAACAAATATGCTTAAAACATGGCAAATATAACAATATTTGTGATTAGTCAAAAAGAGCTGAAACTTTTTATGAAATTGCATCTTTAATTCCAGAGTTATCTCCTCTTTAAGAATTTTGCTATTTAAAATGTTATATTTTGGTAACAGGGATGTTTCAAATATTAACTTTAGAGTGTCCTTCAGTTCGTCTGTCTGTCTGTTTATAAAAACTTTTTCCTGTGATCACTTTTAAAGAACATTTCCCACAAATTTACTTAAAATAGAGAAAAATTTACACATTAGTGAATGGCCAATGGCCCTTCAGAATGCTGATGGGGTTCTATCCGGTAGGGGACTTATGGATTGCTTGCAATACTATGATAATTGCTTGTTAAACAATGTTTATTTATCTCCTAATAAAACTGCATTTTTTTTTCCGCCTAGTTAAACAACTATGTTTATTTATCTCATAATATGAATATTTATATCTTAATTTAACTACATGTAAGTTAATTTATCTCCTATTAAGGTTGAGAGGCGAGTTATTAGTCAGCTTGCAATGGCACATGAAAGACAACTGATCGAGCCTGGTAGTATTGTTAAACTTACTGTGTCACAGAAGGTAGAGAAGGATGAGTCAGCAGAGGACAGTTTAAACGAGAAAATTACACCAATAAAACTACAGCTTCTCAAGAAAGGGACATTTCGCGATTCATTTATAGATATAGACCTGTCCAAGAAAGATAATCCATTCACTGCCGAGTCATAGCAAGGCTGAAAACTGGATTGTCTCCCATTTGATGGCTTATTTGTGATTAAGTTAAACATGTTTTTGTTATAAAGTTTACTTTAAACACTTTAAGAGATCAATGAGAATGACAGTGCAGGAACGTTGAATGGAAAAGTGGTGTACACTATTGCTTGTTTTCTTATGATACAGTCTTATATTTTTGTGAAATCTATTGTTTTAATCATTTAATGTACACACTTAGGTGTTTGTTCATTTGATGTTCACTTTAAGTTGTTCAACAACAGCAGTAATCTTGCTGTTCAGGCATCATGCAGTAACTTTATTTATACATGGTGAAAATAGTTTTAAAAACTTGACCATGAAAATCATAAAATGAAAAAAGTTTCTGAAAGATTACTTTGGCAACAGTTTGTTATTTCAAATTTAGAACAAAAACATTTTTTATTCTTTTACAATAAAGGCAGAGTATAAAAGTTTATTTTTATGTTTTCAATAAGTTTTTTCTATAGTTTAAGTTGTTGCATCTATCGTCTGAGATAAACAGAATCTCTGAATGTCATTCAGAGATTCTGTTTATCAAGCATTTTGGAACTTTTTCTTTGCTTGTATAACCCTTTTGCTGACCTAAAGACAGGAATAACAGATTCTGATATATGAACAAAGTTTATCCTGGCTTATTGATTTATGTGGATTTTTAGCTCAACTATTTGAAGAATAAAGGACAGCTATATTATTCACCCAGTTGTTAATGTCGGCGTAAAACTTTGGTTAAGTTTTTGTGCTTAAGTTTGTATCTCCAAATCTGCTGAAGGGAATGGGTCAAAAGTTTAGATTTATTTGCGAGCATAATGGTCACTGTCCAAGGCCTATAACCCTAATATGGATTTTGACAGAATTATGGCCCTTTTTGAACCTAGACAATTACTCATTATTTAGGCTCTTGTTTTAATTTTAAGCACTGAGAATAGTTAGGCATGCTGTCCTTCCAACAGCTCTTGTTCTAATGGTGAAAAAAGATTATTTATTTTCTGCGATATCAAAGGTTTTGTATATTTATGAAAATGATATATTTAGTTTTACTCTAAAATAAATTCTCAACGCCATAAAAATTTATCTTGCAAAATCATGTACACTGTTATGATGCAATATAACAATTGGTTAACAAGAATGAACTCTGCTGTACTGTTTTTAAATAAGAATTTGTAATTGTTGTAAATATTTGCGAGTTACTGATTTATGTAATAGTAATATATGTGAATGGTTTTTATGTTAAATAAACACAATACAATATGTTTTGTTATTTCCTTTTTATTTTATATATTCTGTATAACAATGGAATATATAGGTACCATTTAATAACAAAAAAAAAATATGTAATCATGGCAACAAAGATAAATTAATTTGCACTTATTAAGTAATTCAACTCTTTACTAGACAAAACTTTTAACAAGTAAGCTACAATGAATGTGCATATTTTTGTACTTGATGTTTTGGTAGCCATACTATTAACAGGTGAAAGTAATCTCCAAGTTGTGACTAAAGTACAACAAAAAATTATTTAACACTTTACAAAATTTGCAAGTAGAGCGAAATATTTATTCTGCAATAAATAAGAAAGAAAAAATACATTATCTGATATAACAGGTTTCCTGAACCCTTGCATTTCTTTCATAAAGTCAATTTCCAGGAATTTTTTGAAAAAAGGCAACAATTTACAACTTGTCAATGTTTTAAAGAATTGGGTCAGACTGCGTTTTGTGTCATGCAGTCTCTGGGTTTTTTCCCCATTTTTGTATCCTTTTAATCCTTGCCAAAATAATGGACATATCCATTTTACCATGCAAAATATCTTAAAATAAGTGGACTTGCCTATTTTTTAATCTGGACAAAAATATTCACCATTTGCAAGGAAAATTTCAAAATATTGTGACTTAATAGGGAACACAGTTCAGACCATGACCAAATGACATGGATGCACTGGCAGGCCTTATTCTGAGTTGTATCTCTTACCAACATCAGGTTAAAAATATGAGCCGCAAAACAGAACCAACATAATGGGGTTTGCGACCAGCATGGATCCAGACCAGCCTGCGCATCCGCGCAGTCTGATCAGGATCATTGCTGTTCGCTTACAAACCCTATAACAAGTAGAGAAACAGATAGCGAACAGCATGGATCCTGATCAGTCTGCGCGGATGCGCAGGCTGGTCTGGATCCATGCTGGTTGCAAACCTATTATGTTGGTTTTGTCATGACGCAGCTCATATAATAAATCTTTCCAAATTCTAACAGCAGTCGATAATGCAAGTGAAGTAAATTTAAGGTAAAACATTAAGATATCTAGATAACGTAAACACTCCACTGCATGTAAAAACATGCCAAACATGGAGATTATGTAAGAATATTTCATAATTTTGCCTCGTCATCCAAACTGCGAGTGGTATTTTGTTACCCTATCAATATTCTATAAGGCCTACGTGCAAATGCTGTCATTTATTTACAGTAATTTTGTAAAGACAATTTAATCCAAGAATTAGCAAATTTGTTCTTCATACATAATGCAGATTGTTCATTTCATGAATACAACATAATTATAATATATAACAATCTGTAACATGTTTGTATCCAAACCATTTGTATTATATGGGTATGAGGTAAGTTATAAAGAGATAATATAAACAAAGTGGTCTGTTCTGACCAGTCTTGAACAATGAGGGAAAAATACACTTTCTGTTGACTGTCTTGTATTGAAATAGAGAACGAAATTGATGAAATGAAGAGATTAAACCCAGGTCTTTTGGGACAGTGTTTCCTTTATTTCATTTGGTCTTTAATCTGAGGTGATCTTTAAAGTTTTATCACTGACGTTTAACTGAAAGCTGTCTGACAGGAACAAGATAAGTTCAATAGTTAACCTCATGGGCATAATGAAAAGTATAGATCCACAAAATAGATAAACCTAGTTTTTGTAATTTAAAAATTCATTTTTTGGGGCAAAATTTACTTAAATTGGAAATAATTGAGGCAGCAAGTGGATAATGCGTCAGACTAGTAATCTAAGGACAGCTATCTGCTTGGGTTCAAACCCCATCAGGGGCAAGCAGTTGTTTCCTTGAGCAAAAAACTATACACTCATTTCTCAGTACTGGTTAGTTCCAGAAACAGATTTGAGAATGATTTTATAAGCTTTAAGCTTCCTACACAATCAAACTAAAACAAATTCAGTAAAAACCAAGAAATAATTGCGTATAGAATACTTCAACGAGCTAGACGTTCATGAAAAGTGAAATATTTAACAGTATGAAGATGAGTAATAAGGAAAGATTTCTGTTTACAACATTTCATGATTAAATGATGATGAGGTAAATCAAATCTCTAACATTCCGTACATAATATTTCTAAACCACTCATTGTGAGTTTTTGCTTTTCATGAAAGTATGGATAAAAAAGTTTTAAATCACACACCTTGAAATGAAATTGTAAAAACTGAACAACTTTCATTCTCCTTTCATTTCAAATATGTAATATATCAATGGGGTTTTTATTTAAATGGGATTTATGAGGTAAACAAAACAGTTTGAGATAATTATTTTCACTTCCTGTTGATTTACAACAACATTCTTACGTGCAAAATCAATACAATGTCCTGGTATTTAGTAAACAAAAATAAACTATTGCATTTTTAAGTTCTGAAAAAAAAACAAAAAAACTTTTATTAAAATTTTGTTTGATTGAAATACTTTCAAATATAAAATGAAATATTTCCAAATATGAAAGAGGAAAATTGATTTTCTCAATTATTATTTTAAGTCCTAATTGTTAACAAAGCTTTGCAAAGAATTTGTTATCTAGATATATTACAAAGGTATTTTGGGGAATTTTAAAAACCCTCCAAAATGCTTATCAGCTATAAGAACTTGTAATTTCTTGTATAAAGTCATGTCTAGTCTAAACATCTAGGATGTTTGTCTGTGGAAATCTCTTAAACTAGTTATGGACTGGCACCAAATTTTTTTATAACACGACAAGTGTGTTATATAAATTTGAGGTGATTTATACCCATAGGCAGTAACTTCAATATGTATCACAAAAAAAAATTGAGACATTTTTTTTCTTTCAATAGTATACATGTATAGAAAAATACATTTTAAAATTATATAAAAAAAAACATTGTTTGATTTGTCTTTTTGTTTTTGTTTTACAAGTAAAATGGGGGGAGGTCATGAAGATTTGCCCTTGTCTATCTGCCTACCCTGCTCTCAGTCCATGGGCTGACAGAATATTAAAATGTTTGGGTAGTTCTCTACAAAAATTAGCTTCTTTCTCAAATTTCAGTATTTTACTGTGTCAAATTAAAAGGAAACCTACAGCATATTAAGTATTAATCATACAAATCGAGACAGGAAGAAGAATGTCATTTTACCTTGGCTGAATATTTCAAGTTAATTTATCAAAATGAGCCGCGTCACAACAAAACCAACATAATGGGATTGCGACCAGCATGGATCAAGATCAACCTGCGCATCTGCGCAGGCTGGTCTGTATTCATGCTGGTTGCAAACGCATTACGTTGGTTTTGTCGTGACGCGGCTCATATCATGAATGCAACAAAACTTTATAAATATTTACTTACAATATGAAACAGTAAAGAAATCTATCTCAATACTTTACATAGCTCTATTCATAAATTATTCATAAGCACATATTGGATTTATTCCCTTTAAAAAATTTTGTGCCAGATCGGTAAATACTTTAAACAGAATGTTGAGCAAATATTTATTTTGAAATATCTGAAATGTTTTCCCATTAAAGTAAATCAAGACCTTAATTTCCATATATAATTTCGGATAATGATAAACCTTCTTTAAGAATTTTATTTCAGAGTAGCAATTTAAACATATTTGTCCTATTTTATATCTGTATAAATAGGCCACATACTCTTTCTTATATACCAGAATTTCACTATTGAAACTGATGTCAATAATCCTATACCAAGTTTATGAATCAGTAAGCAAGTGGCAGGACAAAGTTCTTAGCTTGCACTTTAGCCTCAAGTTTATACCTAAGAACACTGCCCTTTACTTTCAGTATGTTTTGTTATGGTAATTCCATCGTAATTATAAGCATAATTATATTTAAGTCCATTTTCTTCAAGCAAAATAACAGCAAATATAAACTCTTCTTCTTTCTCTGCTGCTCTTCTAAGGATAAGCTCATCAACTTAGTGTAATAATGGGTTAAGTCCTTCTAAATTTAATAGGAAGTTAACCAGTTATTGCGCTAAGGTGACAAACTACATGTATTCAAATTTTCCCCTCTTAGAAGACAAATCTAGCACCAGAAGTATCGAGGTCACCAAGACTACCCCCACCTCCACCGCAGGGTCCACCTCCTCCTTTATCATCGTCATCCTTCCAGTTATACCAGGTAGAATCGTTGGGACGCTTCCGACTCGAATTTTTGGCAGCAGCGCTTTCCTGCTCCTGTAAAAGAAGAGAAAATCAAAATTCCTGTTAAAATCAAACAAAGAAACTATAGTACCTGTAATATCAATTAGAGTGAAAAATTGATAATAAGAGAAGCATACCACAAAATACTCTAAATCTGTGTTAAATGACACATCTTTAAACAAGATATCAATAATATTTTTTGCCACTGTGTTTATGGTGTTTTTAGCAATCTTTAAACAAGATATCAATAATATTTTTTGTCCCCCCCCCCACCCCCAAAAAAATGACAGTTCCTCCAAAAGAACTAACACTATTTCATTTCAAGGGTCAAGTTAAATTGGATAAAGTTAAAAAATTTCTATCAACATTATTTGCCTTAGATAAATAGTTTCTAAGTCAATTTTTTTAAAAAGCCATTGAAACAATTTATGTCATTTCTATCATTAATTTTCATGTATTTGCGTAATTTACATCAGACTATGAACACAACCATATGTATATTTCAGTTAATGTAGAGTATCAAAGTCTCTTGAAAGATGAACATTTTTAAAGCCTTCCTTATCTTTGATAAAAATTATCTCGACTAATATCATGATAAGAGATTGTATTACAAAAAACTATTATAGAAATTGCAGAGTCATATGCTAGGAAAAAATTAATAAAACCTGTAACGTAATATGTTTAAACTACATGTATCTGATATTTAATGTCATAGGCTTACCCTTTAAAACATTATGTAAAACTAAACTTAGACAATTCTTATAAATATCATCAAAATGTTCTTTCAACTGCTGAATTTTTGTCATGGAATTGCCAAGCCCAGCATTAAATTTGGAACAACCCATTCAAAATTTGATGGATTTCAATACAAAAATGTGGAAACAAATACATGACATCCTAGAAATGCATGTAATTGCCCCTTGCCATTGCATTTGAACATTTAAAAGGCTTTTAAAAGCTGCATACAAAAATGTGGAAACAAATACACGACATGCAACAAAATGCATGCAATTGCCCCTTGCTATTGCATTTAAACATTTAAAAGGCTTAAAAGCTGCTCAGTAACAAATCAAGGAATTAATTACCTGCAAATATATCTTGTTGTCCTTGACAACAGCTGCCCTTAAATCAGATCTCAAAGGTGCGTCTATTTTTGTAGGTTGTATGGACTGATCCAATCCAATTTTATAATCTGTACCAATCTTCTCTGCGTCAATTTTCCTGTACACCAGGACGTATGCCGTATCTTTTGTGAATCGCTGACTCACATTACAAAATGAACCATAGCTGGCATACGACACACGACTGTCGTTGAACAAGTACCATTTATCTTGGAGAAAGTCCATTTCATCCTCATGTGAAAAGTCTTGCATGTTTGCGCAAACGTTTTCTGAATTCGTAACAACAGAATGTCTTGCATAACAATAATAATGTCCGCAATCTGACGACGTCCCAGAATGCACCACAACAGAACACAGTGAATAAACGTCCGCACAGTCAATATCCATTTCTAACCCGCATTTTTCCAACTGGTTCGCAACCGAGGATCGCAGTGAATCACATCTTTTTCTTCTTTCAGAACCCGTCGCTCGCGATTCATCCTCTACCGGTATAAGTAAAGTTTTTGGATACTTGACCTCTCTGAAGATTTTTGAACGGGACTGAAGTTTTGTATCATATGAAAATCTGAGCAAAGTAAGGATAAGATATTCCGGTGTCTTCACGATTTTAATTTTTCTTTCGCCTTCCTGAAGTCCACCACAATTATCACAGTAATATTTGTTATCACCAACCAGTTTTTCTGGTTTTAAATAATGTTTTAACAAATCATTCAAATGTAAACAATTCATTTCTTCAGGTGGGACACTAGCTGTTGATCTAGGGACCGTGTTGGTGCTACTGTGCGACCGCATAGACATTTTACTATCGCCACCTGCGAGGGATTTCTGACTGGTAGTGTTATAATCAGGGAACGCTAATGGTAAATCCATAAACATTTCCTCTTTTTTCGATTCGGATCTGCAATTCAAACATGTTAAAGTAGTGCTCATTTTGCCACCAAAGTTTTCTTCAATCAAGGTCGTTTTTTTGGATTCCGTTTTCTGTTTATCTTTCCTGGGAGATTTAGGACTTCCGGTTGCAGTGAGATATTTGGTTTCCTGCTCATGAAGTTGATCGAGCAGGTATTTCAGAAACTCGGAACAGTCTTGCTGGAAACCAGCCGAAAACCATGCAGGCCGGGAAGCTGCCAAGAAGTTAACAGGAGCATATGTTGGTCTCTGTTGGGAAAATAAAAGGTCAAATATAGTAAACAATACTTAATAAACCCATAACCTTCTGGCCACTAAAAATTCTACCAATGTGACCTGTGCAGACCAAGATCAGATGGCAAAGATATGGTCTGCATTGTCCACAATTCAGTCAGTATATTCTGAAATTTTCCTGAATAATAATGGTTTTGTCAACATTGACAGATGGACAAATCTATTGAAAATAATGTTCTGTTGTGAAGGTTTTAACATTGTATTTTTGTACTAAGTTCTTTTTTTTTTAAATACAAATAGAAAACATATATCAGTTGAAAAAATAAATAAATAAATGTTTTTGTCTTAGGAGGACTGAACTTTGCAATTTTAATATTTTTCTGCTGCTTTTCAGATAAAACCATTCAAAATTGCATAAATTGTAAAGTGTTACATGTAAGAGACCGAGGAATTTACGTAAACACCTATAGAAAAAAAGCAAAATTTATTGCATTTTTTATCTTAGCACTGAACTTTGCAGTCTAAATTTCATTTTCTGCGGCTTTTTTCTGATAAAACCATTTAAAATACACAGTTTTAAACAGTTACCTGTGAGAGACTGAGGAATGCAAACACGTATTGTAACTTGACAACCAACGACTGTTCCAAGGTGGGCTGATGTTGCAGCAAACCATTACGGAAACTGTAAACACGAAAACAAACACTTTAAAACATATTTACAACTTCAAGTGAAAACATACGTTTACATAACATTGAAGATGTTTTAAGGCAAACAGATAATGTTTGGGTAAGAAATGGAATTCTAACAATTTAAGAGGTGAACAGAGTTTGCATTTTTTGAAAATACATGCATCATTTTTAAATTACATTTAAATTAATTTCAGTTCACTAATAGTATTCCCATACTCAACAAGTAACCCCCCAAAAAACGTTTACAGTTGTTATTCATGGAATGTCAATTCAACATTTTCAACAACTCTACAGACAATTGATTTAGGAAATAAATTATCCTGTATCACAAGTGTAGTTTTCATGCAACTATTTTAGACAGATAAATTTATTAAAATTTATAAAAAATTTTGTAACAGGCTATTTCTCTTCAAAGTTGATAGTGTTAAAGAGTTATTAAAAATAGAACACTTTTATAAGGGATGATAAGCCACACAAAAGGAAAATTCAGAGGCAGCACTAAAATGTATCAAAAAGAAAGGTGCATTCGCCTAAAAATAGTCTACATAATAATTATCGTACCTATCACATATATGTATAATTAATCATTATCTCACCTATCACAATTATTATCTCACTTATCACACATAATTATATTATTATTATCTCACCTATCACACACATACACATATATATATATATATATAATTATTATCTCACCTATCACATATATGTATAATTATTACCTTACCTATCAGACACATATATATATATATATATATATAATTATAATCACACATATATATAACTATTATCTCACCTATCACACATATATAGGGCCTGTATGATACTGTTCATGTAACAAGTATTTCCAAGGTTGAATAGTCCTGTTTTACCCATCTCAGCCTTCGGCTGGTACGACCTTGGTACATATGCCTGGCCATCTCTATGTGCCGTCCACTTGGACTCCAGTAACTTAAACTTTATCACATCAGGGGATGGCTTCGGAAATTCCTGTAATTCAAATGTATCACTCGTTTTATAAGTAACAGAACAGAAGCAGAAAAGAAGAAACTTAAACTGAAAACTAGAAATGTATGCAAATACAATTAAAGTTATGAACTAATTATTTAGATTCAAAAAGAAAACAGAAGTCAAATTTTCAAAAAATATAGTACTCATAAACGACAAAACTACCATATAGAATTCTTAAAATGTGTTACAGTTGATTATTATTCAATTGATGTTATAACATACCTTGATGACCTCATAAACGGGGTCATATAGTTCAGGGAAGCCACCATGAAGATACATCAACACATGAAGAAGTTCTGCCAGTTTTGTGACAAGCTGCTGGGAAAACTCAGAACTGTCAGATTTCCAATCCCCAACTATCTTTGGCACCATAGGTAAAATCTGTAATGCAAAAAAAAGTGTTTAAGAAAATGCTGTTGAGTACGGACCTGAGACATGTCACCAGTCATGCCCTTAAAGGGTTAATTTTAAAGCACAAAGTGGTGATAATTTACCTCCGTGCAAGTTCCACAGGGTATAAGTAAAAGACATGAATTTTAAGCTGAAAGTAGGTCACTGTACAGAGGTCAATGAGCACCTCAGCATACAGTAACCCCTGTCCAGATGAGGGCTGTTGGTGCCAGCAAAGGGTGCAGCTGTTCAAGCTGTCATTTCGCTCTAGGGCCTCATGCATCGTCACCCTACCACCCTTCCCTCCTGTCTTTGTCAAAAAGTGTATGTGATGTGATGGCAGGGGAAGGGGGCGCTTTTATTTAGGCAGGGGTGTTTAATATATTAGAAAATATTCAGTAAATAAACAATAGACAATTCAAAATCCAAAGCTGAGCTGGTACATCATACTTTGAAGTATATCACAAGTTACTATGGGAGACATAAAGGCAACACATCTGCCTCTCTGTAACCAAGTGATCAAAAAGGCATTACTCTAGCATATTGATTGATAAAATAGAATAGATATTACATCTAAAGACTGACTGTGATAGATTTCAATTTCAATCTCAAATAAAACCTGATATTATTCTTTTACATGTACATAACATTTCAAAATCTGCTGATTCATTCTTCATATAATTCTTACATCTAATCTATACAAAGCATTGTTTTTCTTCTTTGAGACAAAAGGGACTTAACTCATTTCAATAGTATAACATAAAGTTCTCTCCCTTGATTTCAAATTAGTGAAATATGATTATCATCTTAGAACAATAAAGTTGCGTGTATACACTGAATTAATTAAAAGTGGTTAAAGTGATTGATGGACGCTATCATACCACACAAACAGTTATTTATTTCATTAATTAATGACATTGTACCTTGCTTATCCCTCCATTGCGTAAATATTTTCAAAGCCAAAAAAAATAAATTAGACAGTAACATAGGAAAATTACCTAATGAATGGTGAAATAAAAAACACGCAACAAATCTTTTCTAAAATAAACATAAAAAGAATATCTTCAAATATATCATTTGCACAAGACTTTTTTTGTCTTCTTAATTTAATTTATTAATATCTACGTTAGAAAATGTAAATTTTGATTGTATATCAGATTTCAAATAATTTTCCAGGCTTTTAAGAAAAGAATAAATAAAACAGGTTCTAGAGATATTGCAAGCCAAATTTATATCTTCAAAGTGAAGCATATAATTCTATTAAAGTCCAAGCATAATAAAGTATATTGCATGACAAATTAAAATAAATCTTCCACAACAAGGTAATTAAGTTAAAGAATATTTCTCAAGACCTTGAAATTATACAGGAATATATCTGAGATCTAAATGAATGCTTTGACTGGGGTAAAGTAGAAATATCTATTTTTAGCTTCGATGACCTTGACAGCATTGACCTAGAGCACCTATCAAGGGTAAATGTCAATGAAATGTAACTGCATATGGAGATGCCAAAAATACTTGTCAATGAATGACAACTCTGAAGAAAATTATAAAAAATCTATTTTTAGACACAGTGACCTTGACACTATTAACCTGAAACTCCTACCCAATGGCAGAAAAAGCCTGAGATCCATCAAGCACTGGCCAAATAATGAAGATGCTATGAGAGAAGATAAGTAAATGTGAGAGAAGGATGGACACAGGGAGAAACCAGTGGCTTCTCCACCCTTTTAAAATTTTTGCAAGGGGGGAGGGCTTATACAAAATATTTTGTTAAAGTGATGTAATGGGCCCCAATTTTTTAAAAAATTAAACCCTTGAAAAAAACGTAATAAGGTTTTAAAAAAAACCATGATTGAATTAATAATTTTTTTTTCAAATTGACTTTTTAAGGGATTTCCAATTCAAGGAAGTTTTAAATTTGCAACTTTTGGTTGGTTTTGCAAGCAATTTCCAAGGTTTAAAAAACATGTTTGGGAAATTCAATAGATCAATAATATCCACTAAATTACTAAAAATTTTAATGGGCAAAATATAATATATGACCCAAAACAATTTAAAACTTAGGAAGATAAATATTTCCTGCCAAAATGATGTCAGCAGTCAAAACAGTTTTTTTTCTGTTCAGTGTAGCACTAAAGTAACTTGTTTTTTATTTCAGTATGCTTGATTTAGGACAGATCTAGATCTACTTTAAACCCTTTATAGTACAACGTGTTCTTTAAACAATTTATTAAGATTTATCTTTTTATTTTCTGAAAATACATACTCAGGACGTGTAATTGAGGGACTGCAACATGTACAAATTGAAGGTATTCTCCGAAAAGTCAAAATTAGAACCCTAGAATCAAGTTGTCCCTATAATTTGAACTTGACCACATGAGCCTTGTTAAAATTTCAAAGTTTAATGCATTGTTAAAATGATATTACATTAGCACAAATGTAAAATTTCCTGCAAGGGCCCTTCAAATTAAATTGGAAAAAATTGTATTTATTTACCCTTTTGGAAGGGGTTTTTTGGGGAATGCTGGGGAAAATCAGTAACATTGAGAGATGATGTTTACCAGGTTTTCTAAAGAGCAAACTGTAACTTCTCAAATTTTAAATTTTAAATAATCTTTTAAAATTGTTTAAATTTGCCTTGATAAGCCCCCCCATTTTAAAATGTTTCCCAGAAATTGAGAAAAAATTAGGGGCCCGGTGAACAAAAAGTATCTTTTCTTTTTTTTTTTGTTGAATGCTAAATTTGAAATTAAAATTGAAAATTTTGAATTTTTTTTTTAAACTATGTCCCACCACATGGATTAAAAAGGGGGTTTACAACTGAAATGTTTGGTGGGGAAAATTTTTTATGAAAACATAAAAAGTTAAAAAAAACAAATTAAATTTTTAAAAAAATTTTTTCATTAATACGCCCCCAGAAAAAAATATCTTTCAATCCCGTAAAATTTTATTAAAAAACCATAAATTGCATGATTGAATAAGACAAAACATAAAAAGAAATAAGGTAAAATAATTGTGAAAATAAAACTTTTTACACCTATTAACGCCGAAAAATGAAACTTTTTACACCTGTTAAAGCAGAAAAATAAAACGTTTTTACACCTATTAAAGCCATTATACTAAATAAAAAAATCTCAATTAAATGTAAACTCGGGACTGACTGAAATTTCATCAATATACAATACTTTTCTTTTCTGAACATTAATGAAACAGGCATACAATATTCTGTACATAAATGAACATTTTAACTGATGATGATAGTGATGTTCAACAAAAAATAAAAGAAAATGTTGCGTAGTGGTGCATTTATATGCTCTGATGAATTACTTGTCATGTTTTTTTGTCATTTATCAAAATACAAAATCAAGTTAAAGCAGCCTGACATACTAACCCATGTTTCAGTCTAATGTTGCATTGAATTTGCACATTTATGCAAAATGTACAATCTTTTTCCATATTTTTTCCTTATAAATATAAATGATGATGAAGATAGAATTAAGCCATGTTATTTGAATTTTATGAATTGTTATGGTTTCTTACTAGATCTTCTTAAGAAAGACTTTTTTTTTAAAACATTACATCCTTAATTATGTATAAAGTTCTGAAACATCTATCAATAAAATACTATTCAAACTTGTACTTTGACTGCAGATAACCAAACAAAAAGTATACAAGTAATGAGTAAAGGAAATACATTTTATATCCTTAGTTTAATGCATATGTGGCAAAACTGACCAAATTTACAGATTTAACCTCCGGACCGGACTGTCTTTCAGTCTGCCTACAGCTAGTCATATTACGACACTAAAGTGTTATACTCTTTCTCACTTGCCCATTTTACACCCTGATGAAGTTCTGGCTAAGCAATCAAGAGTAAATTGCTTGCTCAAGGAAATAAGAAGTTGAGACTTGAACACTTAACTTCTAACTCCCGGTAGCCCATGTCAGTACCACATGACTTACTGATGCTCCCCAACGTGAAAACAGGGCTCTTGCAACTGGGCGATTTAGACGATTAAGTACATGGTATACTCATTTTGTTTACATTTTATGTTTTTTAACAGCTTATAGTTTGCAAGATCTTCCCTTCTTATGTTCATATGTAGACCTTCTTGCGGTCCATTTAATGATGGTATTAATCCACTTCTCCCTGAATCTTGAAATTTCTCTCTTACGTGAGCTGCTGAGGGAGAAAGGACTTCTCCCTCAGATTTCGGCCTAGCTTAAGAGCCCTGGCAAAATTGGAAGTATGTTTTCTTTTCTTCCCCAAAATCATCTGCCTGATAAGCAGACAAGTCAAACCCTTTTTTAGTTTTTTAAAAAGAGTCACCAGTTTTAAAAACCTTTTGGGATTTAAATAAAAACAAGGAATAAAAAAAAAAAATGCTTTACATTGACAAAGATGTGCCGTTTGTAAAAAATTTTTTAAGAAATAAGGGGGATTTTCCCCACGGGGTTTAAATTTGACTCTTTAGGGGAAAAAACCCCAATTTTTGTGAAACTGTCAACTACTTTATTGGGGGTTAAAAGAAGTTATTTACCATTACACCAAGGTAAAAAGGTCAAGTTGAAAGCTTATCGGAGCAAAGCTTTAAATGGTCCTTTAATTCCATCTAGTTATTACAGTTTGCTTTTAACTCATGATTTATTTGTTGTATCATATTCATTATGGGTAATAACTTCTTAATATCAATTTCATCAACGTTAAACTCACTTACTCCCATTGAAAAATATATGGCAATTTTTTTTTTTTACGGCTGAAAAATTAATTTTTTTACGATAATGCGATCACTATCAAATATGTTCCTTTAATAAGGTAACATGGCCCAATTAAACCTACTCAAGTTGACGACTGGTGTATGAAAAGTGTTTAAAAGAATACGTAGGTGAAATTTTAATGTTAAATTTTGAATTTTCCCATACTGATGTGATTGTAATTATGATAAATCTTACATTACTTTAAAGAAGACTTTTACGAGAGTTAAATACCACAAAGTCAATCTTATGGAAGAAGACGCTACATTTAAACTAAAAAATTTTTAAAAAGTACATTCTTCCTACTCATCCATTTATAATACATTGGTAATTTTCCATTAATTCAATAATAAATGACATATAACTTTATTAACTGCACTATGTACATGGAATTTTATTTCGAGGATTATAAAAAACAAATTTTGTATAAAAAAAGCTTCTTTTTGTTTTTGAAATTGTAATTCTAAGTAATGACGGACACTTCAAATACCAAATATTTTCAAATACCTACTACGGCTAGAATCATAAATTTCATTATTCCAAATTTAATAACTTATTCAAACATGCTGAGATTTTTTGTGAAGTACATCACATTGTCGTAAAGCATACAGTGTCAGGCTGCAGACTTGTCATACTGAAAGACTTGCGTCAGTGAACTTTTGTTTACGTATGTTTACTTACGTATATATTATTCTACACTATTCAAGGTTAATTTGGAAAGATGAGCCAAAAACATTACCTAATGAACATTTTGTAGTACATCAACAGACAGTATTTTCAAAGTAACTAGGTTGTTTTAATGAAACAAAGACAAAAACGTAACTGCATGCAACAATTTAACTTATTTGGATGTTTACTACATATAAACTTTTTTTTCTTCGTTATTATAATTTCTGTAAAGTTGCATCTAATGAAACCTTTCAATGAAGCAACGTTTGCTTGAATATTAATGTCAGAAGAAAGCCTCCTTTAGCTTAACAAAAACTACTAGTGAAACAACCCATAAAAGTGTTCTTAAGTGTAATAAACCACAAAAATTAAATTATAAAATTCAAATTCAATAAATTTTCAAAAAATAAAAATAAAATTATTGTAGAAGCAGGATATAGATTTTCAATATTCGCTACTAAATTAAAGCGACCTTCAGCTTTTATTTTCTGTTGGAAAAACAATTATGTGTCGTTTCAAACTAAGTATTTCAGTGTCCCGAGAGCTATTTATAACATGTCAGTGACATTCGTTTCTAAAAGTAGAAGATTGTGGAACAAATCATCCACTTCATTAATTTAAATATTGGGAGCACTGGTATGGAGATGTTATTGTTTACGTATTTTGTCATCAGCAAAATTTATTTTCCATCTTAATTCTTGTCATTTGACATTATATGAAAACGATTTATCTAAAAATAACATATATAACCTTTAGAAAAGGTGAAGGTCACTTGAATTCTACTTTACAGTAAATTTTTCAAAAAGATAAAAATTTCAATGTTAAAACTAAGTTATTCTGAACCAACTTCATTTTTCTTCCTATCAATTAGTAATGTTAAGGTGTTAACTCTAAAGAAAGCTGGTATATATATACCTGATCTGCTTTGTTTTCTGTGACTGTAATAAGAATACTATATTTCTGTACAGAAGCGAGCCCTTTGAGGAACGCAATGACCCACTGATCAACGTAGAGTGCTGTCGGCCACTGTAACCAGTCGATTATTCGCTGAATAGCTGTCACCATACTGTTGTTGTTTATGCTTGAATCTGAAATCACGTTCTTAACCACAGTGCTGATCATTTCAACGGGAAGATACTGCACGAGGGAGCCGAGACAAACCGACGGTTCAACATCACACGGTGATGATATAATACGAAATATCTCCTTCAGGCAACCTAATACCACCAGGGAATCTGAAGAGCTCCAGATCTGGGATAAAAGGGAAGCCACTGTGTTTGCACTTTTGATGTAAGTGACTAAACCGTTCTCCAACTCTGGCGGGCTGCATAAACTAAGGGAGAGTATCAAGTTTGTACAAAAATGTAACAGTGATTCCCCTTTAGGTACACACTCTTTGAACTCCAGCAGGAATTCAGCAAAGCTTGTCAGGCACTCAATATAAGGATGTTCTTTCACATAGCTCAGAGCTTTGGCCTCAAACCTGTACACATTGTTGGTCTAAACAAATTACTGTTACACTGCCCAAAAGACGCTCTTTCTGTTAACAGACTACCAAATTTTCCGACTGTTTCCTGTATTTTCTTTTTGACATAATCGCCAGCCCAAGTTATCTTGTTAAAGAAACTCTTTCAAAATTTGGACGGGATTTGCCGCGCCCGATGATTTGGGAAAATTCTCCCCAAACCATTATTTGCCATTGAACTTTGATTCCCCTTCAAGGTACCATTTAGCCGTTAGTTCCAGTACAGACTGGACTGTGCCTGATGACTGGGAGCTTGAACCCTTCTCTGCAATCTTAACAAGCAAGTCCCTCTTGATGTTGTCTGCGTGGTTTGAGGCAAGAATGCCCTTCAATATGACATCCATCCTCTCTGTTTTCACCTTCTCCTTTCCAACCTGAAATATTACAATAAGTGTAAATTATGACTTTACCTAGATATATTACTAAAAAACATAATTTATAAACGATGAAGTAGACGGTACAATGAAGTAGATGGTACAAAAAAGTATACAGTACAAACAAAATACAGTATAAACTATAAACCTTTGAAGGAAGTATAATTTCAGTTCGCATGGAAAAAGATATACGATAATGAAAATTATACTATGATTACATAATAAATTGACACGTTAACCGACTATAAAATATAAAAGATGAATGACAATCAGCTGTATAATATTTTGACCAAATCAGTGTAAAATTAAAGTACATTTTGTTATACCATAGTAACTGTAACCCTTCAGATGGCAGCATATCGTACCCATGTGACCTGTGCGGACCAAGATAAGCCGGTACATCCATGACCATGCTGATCATGGTCTACACTGTGACCTATTCAGTCAGTTCATACTTTGAAATTTTTACCCAAAAATGATGAATGGTTTTGTCCACATTGAAAGATGGACAAGTCCAATTAAGGTATTTAGTAAGGGGAGGGTTAATAATTTTGACCAAAATTGGAAACTATAGAAACAGTTTCTTGAATTTGTTCAATAACAAGTTTAAGGAACGCATGGTATCAAAATTGCATACAAATTACAATCAAGGGCTATAACTCATACTAAATGTCCTAATCAAGATTTATTCTACATTCAAAATCAACTTCAATGAGTGTAATATAATCAATAAAATTCAGGGTCAACTTCAATGAATGTAATATAAGCAATAAGTTCCTTGCAAAAGTAAAGGCAAATAGTACTGGTAAACTGCTTGACAGCCTGCCAGAAACAATGTGATGGCTAAACTGTTCTCTGGTAGAATTCAATGTGGCTAAATGCTGAGATCAGTACCACCACTACCACAATCAAGGCACTTGAAAAACACTTATATATTGAAACAGTGCATAAAATGATTTATTATACATAAATGCAAATTTCAAAATATATAATAGCAGGAAGCGAATTGTATAAATTTCAGTGTACATAGATTGAAGTTTTATAGAATTTTTTAAAGGAAACTTCATTTGGTTTATACAAAATAACTTAAACTGTGCAATAAAAAAGTTAATTTTTAATCATGCCTAGACCATACTTTCCATTTTTACAAAAATGTTATAAGAAGATATCAAACAAAACAAATTACCTCACATCTTTATCTCTAGGGAAAATCATTACATTAAAAAAAAACAACTGAAAACTATAAACAACTCGGTCTCGTAAACTAAAGTTTACAAAATAAAGATTTTTTTTCATCAGATAGTGTTTACAATTGCTCTTTCATAATGGTAGGGGGTGAAAATGATCCCAAATAATAATGAAACTAAAATATGTGTAAATTTAATCAAAAGTAATAAATTTGCTCCTCAATTATCGTCAAAGGGTTTGTTGGAAAATATTTCAATACTCCTTTATCTGCAAAAGTTTAGCTCCACTGGTGGCAATCACAGGTGTACAGCAGCACATTGATTGGTCACTTAACCCATTACTTCATATACACGCCTTTTAACGCCTTTTTCACCCCCCCCCCTTTTTGTTGTCTCAAATGATGAAAAAATGCCTTATTTAGGCCCCAAACACTTGTTTTTGTTTGAGAAATGTTGTTAAAAAAAGTGACCTCTTTTTCGGCGCGGCCCCCCAACCAAAAGATACATCAGGGGTTGCCAGAAGGGGATGTGCCCCCTTCTGTTTGGGGGGTTTGAAGGGGGGCGGAGTCCCCCTCATCGCCAAGAAAAATTTTGGACTTGTGAGAGGCTGTAAATGACCCCAGATTGATCATAAGGTAACGTGTAACCAACGCTGAAAAGCATTTGACTCTATCTCAATCCATTGAGAAAGTGCAGCACTTTGAAATCAATTTTGATGGAAAAAATCAACGCAAAATAGTGATTTTTGGCAATTTTGAGATGTCCCCTCGTTGCCATGGTAACAGAAAATTTAAGCCTGAGCATGTTGTTGCAAGTGCAATGGTCCAGTCAACATTTGTGCCAAGTTTGATAAGTGTTGAAGCAGTTTTTATAGTATTATAGCAATTTGAACTTGTAACGGGAGACTTTTCAATGAAAACAGCCATTTTTCACAAAATGCTCATGAAGTAATGGGTTAACATGCATAAATATTAAATACTAAACATATATCTATATGTATCATTTTTTGTTGTTGGCGAAGTGACCAATCAACACGCAGAACACCTGTGGTGGCAACTGACCCTACCTATGCAACCAGTGCAGCCCAAAGTTTCGGGTTTGGCCCATTCCCTGCGGTAAATTCATGACCCTCCCACTAGTCCCCTTTTAGCCCCATTTCCCTGCCCTTTAAACCCCCCCCCCCTCAAATATGTTGGATGATTTTGTCCAGATTATAAAAATTGGTCAAGTCCAAATCGGATTTTATAAGGGTAGTGGTTAATCTTTTAACTTCTAACCTGTCTATGACAGCACTTAGACCAGTATGACATCAAAATAGCTTGTACTTCCATAAAGTAACTGACCAGACTTAGGTCACTCTATACTTTTGAATTTGGCTGTTTAATATCAAAATCTCTCAATGGACAAATACATACTCCAATCAAGAAAATAAATTGACAAATGGAACCAGTAGTGACCAAAATTAGCTGTTACAGGTAAATCAAATACAATCAAATACAGGTAGTCTGTGCCATCTGATCATGGTTGGCACTGTTCACTAATCAGTCAGAAAATGTTGAAATTTTTTTCCAGATTGAAAGATGGATGAGTCCATTTGTGGTAAAGGTATTGTACTTAGTATTTGCTACCTGTTTCTAATGTAATCCCTTGACACATTAAGTATATGTAAGTGTCCATCCCTGCTGTTCTACAGAAAGTAGAAACTTTGATGGGAGTGATGGCAACTGGAGAATGTAGAACAGCTACGGATAAATACTAAAATCACTGCCTTTCTATTTTTACATACGCAGTTCTATGAAGTACTTTGAAAAATAGAAGGCGCCTATGAATGGAATTTGATATAGTATCAACTTCTATGAAAATTAACACACAGAATTTTTAAGAAATACAGCGTTTTCATTGGATGACAATAAAGCTAAACACAAACATGGATGATTTGAAGGGTAAACCTTACAACTGTTATCATTGCCCGTAAAGGTCAAATATTTCCATAGATCTGATTGGAGATATATAAAATTATAGGTCGCACATTCCTTTATATACCTGTGCACCTAAAATAGCCTTCAAATTGCCGCCATGCCATAAATAATGCCATAATAATGCCATAAATAAACGGTTGATACTCAAACAAGCTGATCAATGGGAAAGTTTGTCTACCAGTATAGACATGAAAACATGTGAAAATATGTAACTTTATTTCTATGTGTACGTTTTAAGGGGATTTTCTTAAAAAATAGTAAAATAAAAGTTTAAAAATTGTTTACTGACTTAAAACAGTTTCACAAAAGTAGAAAATTTTGAAAAAAGAAAACTATTATAACTTCTAAACTACAGTATTGACTTAATCTATAGCATTTTTCTTTTAAACTCTACCAAACTAGTCCGAAGAATTAATGAACTTCAAATTTTATCAATGGAATTTTTCTTTAAAATCGGTCACTGACAAGTCAAGTCTTTAAAATATTCTCTATTTTAACTGAAATTTTTAATTGTCTATTAAACATCTATACTCTTTAAAGAACCACTGAATATTAAACAAACATAATAAACTTTTAAAACCACCCCTACTTCTGCTAAATTCTAATTCAATTCCGCCGCATTTTATAAAACTGACCTAGATTTATCAATGAAAACTTAACTTGTAAGAAATTTAAATCGTCTACTGTCAATATCTTATACAAAATATTTACATAATTATCTATTTATTCATCTTTTAAATCTACCCATTCACGCTTCCTTTACATGCAATGCTTTGCTGACAGTCGTTCAAGGCCATTTCATGCAAATTTCAATTTTATTTCATTAACTTTAAAATGACTTCAGTGTCCTCAATAATTTCCATGTCTCAAAAAAAAAAAAAAAAATTCAAGTTAATATATTTCTAGTATGAAGATTTTAAATTGAAGCAATTACATACTTCAAAAGAGGTATGATATCTTTTTAAATATTTAAATACAATTTTTGACACCAGGCTCTAACTACGTCAAGCAGATAACTTTTAAAGTAGAATCTTGTACCCTACATCGTTTAATTGAACACCCAGGACATGAGCTGCATCGCAAATGAACTTATCGATGATAGACGTTTATTTTGTCACACAATACTGATGCTGAGTATGCATTTCATTTTCAAGATTAACATCTTACTAGGAGATAATTTATGCATACTTCTGAAATATTAGAGATAGTCTAGGTCAAATGTTAAGTGTCTCCATTAATTCTTCAACAAAGTAAGTAAAGCAAACCTGTGCAAAAATACAAAAAAATCAGCAAAGCATGCAGGCATTTAATATAATATATAATATAATCGTAGATCAGGGTGTGTATTTGATAATTTCTCATCCAAATCAGCAAGACTTAAACATACTTTTATGCACTAATTCAGCCACATATGATTGCACTTTAAAGTTTATATTATTCAAGGTGAGGATGACACTTCATTTGCTACGACTGTCATGGTTCAAAACTGTTCCACTATTTAGGGGAGATGATGTGTAAGCGGCCCAATACCTCAGTAGGTATAGTGAAGGTGTTCCGAAAGTCCCGAGTTTGAGTCCTGGTCAGGCTGTACATTTTTCTTACCCTGTGACATTTTTTGTTAAAAGTGGACTCGTACCAGCAAAAGTAAATCATATGATTTTGGATTCTTTTCTATCTTTCCCTTATGTGCATGGATTTACTAGTATTTGAATCTGGAACAGTTCATTCCAAGATTAATAAGGGTTTTCAATATCAAAATACAAAACTGTGTCAGGTTAAGCTGAATTGACTATAATTATATTTCAAAAGATTGGGTATTACAAAATGTATAATG